ATTTAACTTCTATCAATTTAATCAATTAGGGATTAAAATGTTAATTTGAGTTGCTACTGATTTAGCACTTGTTTTGTAGGTGTATGAATGAAGAAAGAATGTGCAAAGGTGGATAGCTGCAGAAGTGGATTGCCTTTACTTCAGTCGTCTGAGCATAACGTGAGTCGCTGATGACCGATCATTGCGAGAGTTGGATCACCGTAAAGCTAAGGGAAAGGCCTTCAACGTTCGTGTTGATTATGTCGACTAGATTCTATCCAATCAAGCCTAAACTTCACAAGGAAAGTGGCTAAATGCAGCAAGATAGAGCATTGAAACAAGTGAAGGATTTTTTTGGGACGTGTATCATCCACATCAGCCTACCTTTCTCACACTAGTTTCATCTCTCTCTTCTTTACTGTAGAAATGAATTTTTTTTTGAACATATTGGGTTTTGTATTAAATATGTTGAACTAAAATTTTTAATTTAAGATTATGGTGAATTTTAATATGTAGCTCGATATTGTGTTGGTTGCTTATTTTCTATGAAAATACAGATGTTTACTCAAATTGGAGTTTATTGCCCATTTATTTGTTTGATCACCATTTAAATGTGTCTAAGTATTTAGATGACACTTGAGAGAGTTAGTATAAATTAGACCTTGATTTGGGTAATGTGTGTTCAATATACTTAGAAAGGAATTTTAATATTTTGATGTGCAATTAGAGTAGACATACATTTAATTGTCACACAGTCAATTTTTAGAACCTTTGCTTAAAGAACTTAATTTAGTTATCTCCTATAAACAAATAGTAATTCAATTAGGTTAGCAAGTGTGTAATATCTCAACAGAGAATTACACATACTTTAAGATTTTAGACTAACATCAACTTTCATTGAAATTAAGTAATTAAGCAAATACAATTTCAAGTGAAATGTTAAAGGGTACCATAATTGGAGATTATTAAACCATTACTTCCACCTCAATTGTTATTTGCTCTTCTTAGATTAGAGTTAGTTAATTAGATTACTTTTTAGTCATTGCTCAAAATTTGCTACTTGGATAAAATTAGCTTGTTTTAATTTTAGCAATTAGCAACAACAATTAAATCAGCTTTTCGAGGGATCAACAAACTTAACCTATCATTATATCACTTGTTACGATTGTGTACACTTGCACATAGTCTTTGCTTATATTTTACATTTAATTTAGAGCACATCTCATATCATACAAGCAAAATATATTTTACACAACAGTTATTTCATAAGCGTATTGAAAAATTCTATCTCTCGATGCTCATGGAAATGGCTTGGGGGCAGTGGAATAATTAGCAAGTTTCGTTGCCTTTGTCAGCTTGGTGCACATTTGGTGATTGTCAAAGACTGCCAGTTTAGTTTCTGGAGCTACTCCATAAGTTTTTTCCAGTGTTTGGGTTCTGAATTTGGATTTCCAGGCTCAGAGTGATGGACAGATTATTCTTACGTCAAGCAATATCAACATTTGTATTTGAGAAAGAAAATATTTAGAAGGAAAGAATGAATTTCATATGCATTTTACATCCGGTATATATCTGTTTCGTTTCCACATTGGAAACACCAAAAATGGTAGAATAAATAACACCTATGTGATGGAAAGAATTGCGTACTACCCTTGAATCATAACTTATTCAAGCAACAAAGTAAAGGAGATTGAATGAATTTCCTTGATTTGCTACTCCTGAAGGGGCGAATGGGGTCATTCATTAGAGGAGAAGTTTTCTTCAAGGATCGTATATGTTCTCGCAAATATTACAGTGTTCTGCAATCATTCTGGCCATGACACTTCCCTCCTCTATCTTCAATTCCCTGCTTCGCTTGTTCCAGAGGTGCACTACATAGCTATCATTGCTTATATCAGCCAGTGTATCATCTGCCCATTTCGAGTCCGCCTCCGTTTCTGGCTTCTTAAAGAGCTTGGCTATCTTAATCCAATCCACAGGATAGAAGGCCTTTGGGGGGAAAACTGTAATGTTATACTCAGGGTTTTCTCGTATTCTCTCCAAGACCCTGGAAACCAAGTATGGTCCATTGTGCCCCCACCTGTTCCCGTTGAAAGTTGTGGCATACTCCCTTAAGAATTCCACCAAAACAGGATGGTGGATGTCAAAGATCATGACTGCACCGTTTAACCTAGTCCATTTTTTGGTTTGTTGGTTGATACTTTGTGCACCAATGGCATTCCTCAACCCTGATAAATCTTTCAAAAAGATGAAGTCTGTGTCCAAGTAAACTCCTCCATACTTGTACAAAACTGCTAGCCTGATCAGATCAGAAAGATGATTGAATAAAGGGATAGAGCCAGGGTCCATATTCCCACTCTTCAAGTCATCAAGCCACGGTTCAGCTGGGGTGTTCTTGACTAGAAAGGGCAAGTCTGGTGTGACTGCAAGAACGTTAAACCCGCGATCAATAAGTGGTTTCAGGATCCTGTACCCTTTTGGGCTGTCCATGGAGCTTGACAAAATCAGCAAACATCCATCAGGGGTGGTGCTGAACAGACTATCCACGGCCAAGAACTCTCTAGGCCCAAAGGACTGCGCTGTTGACAGCCACACCATGAAAAACTGAGCTGAACATTTGTTGTTGAACAATTCCAAAACCCGACCATGGAATCGCTCACTCAACTCATTTGATTTGAGAATTTCAAGTTCCGGTAGTTTCCTCCTGAACCATTCCATTCTTTCATCTACCGAGGCTTTGAAAGGAGGAATAAGAGGATCTTCATTCTCAGTTTCTTCTTCAATCTTTCTTTCCTGGATGGTCGTAGCAGCTGCCACTGGCAGGCTATTCAAACTCGTGGCAGCTTGTCCTTCTCCTTCAACAACTGGAGTCGTCTGAGTCTGAGTAGATGGGAAAATCTCACCGGTCTTGATATTTGCATTATGAATGGAAAGATTAGACATCAAGCTGTCTGCATAGATAAAAAAAAGTATTGCAGCCAGCGAAATGGTGGACAACACAGGCGACTTCGCCATGCGGCTAATCAAGCGGTAAGTCAATGACTTCTTGGACATTCTTCTGAATGGCCCAAGCATTGAACGGACAGAGAATTTCTTTTGAGGAGACATGCTCAGACAACCAAACTGGCACATACAACATTACTATATAAAGAAATGGAATTGTCGTTTGTTGCTGTTTCTTTGCAAATTGGGTCAGGGTTTGAAACAACATAAACGTGGTTGTGGTTCATGTCTTGATGCAAATGAATTATATATTCTGTATATTTCCATCTCAAGGGGAATATTTTCTTCCCATACATCAGAAATGGATACACCCAGTTCGAATTTCCATATTGGGATAGGTGCAATTTAATGAGAAAGTGATTGAGACATGCCTGGTTTTAGATAGTTTATAACACCATGTTGTTTTATTATATTTTTGTATCCGTTTTTACCCATTAATGATAGAAAATTCATGATATTTTATGTTATTTTATGTTTCAAATCCTTTTTTATGATGGCAGTATGGTACTTCTTTTGCCATATATCATCGAAACATTAAGGTTATTCAGAGTTCAATGATCAATTTGACAGAATTTATATACTGATAATGAGCCAAGGCAAAATGAATTTCATGTTGTAACTTGCAAGTGAGCTTTTGGTGATTGTTGGAAAATCATACAATTTGGGTATTGAGGACATTATTTGTCAGATGCATATACCAATTAAAGAGAGTTGCTCTCAGTAATTGTTTGCACTTTAAATGCAATCCAAGTGATCATCAAAATCAATCAATTCTTTAATAAATTTCGTGCTTATGACTGATATGACCAACTAAAGCAAAAATCCTAAATTAAATCAAATTAGTAAGTACAATTTTAAGTATCCTTTTACTATACAATAATACAAACAGAGATAAAACTTTTCCTTCATTGCCATAACTTGCCATCCAGTACATCAGTTCAGTGGCGGAGGGAGGGGGCCTAGTAAGGGACTCGCCCCTCTTAAAATTTAATAATTCTTTTTTGTACTTTTTTTTTCAAATTTTATAGTTTTGCTCTCTATTTTTTAAAAAAAATTATAATTTTGTCTCTACAAATATTGAATTTCTAATTTTTATCCCTTAAAACATGATATTCTGACTATGGTAGTGCATCAGTTAGATATCACAATTTTGCTTAAAAATAATTCAAGGGAAAACTCTTAATCTAACCAATATTGGCATCTTGGTTAATAGTTTATATTAATGACTCTCAAATTAAATTTGAACTTATTTAATGAGAAATTTAGGGTAATTTTACCCATTTTTATTTTTATTTTTGTGAAAACAACTACTTGTGTATACTTATATTCTTTGTTTTGCAGCAATAGAATCTTTCGTTGTCTTAGATATTTTTAAAAAATTTAATTATGTAACAATTGAAAAAAGTCATTGCAAATACAAAAGAAGTGTGCTTCTGTCATCTCAAATTAATCTTCAGTAATGCATTTTAATCTTAAAAAGCTTGGTTGTTGTTCATAACAAACTTAAAATTTCTAAATTTTTTTAATATCTCTGCCAATGCGGCAGCCAGCAGGCCAATGTGGCTGAAAACTCTAGATGTTCAATGTTTTCAATTTTATTACTTTCCCGAGGAATTACAAGTATATCTCTGTCTAGAATGAAATATTTATATGATGAATTTTGTTTTTTTGGTTTCAATTTATATAATAAGCTGAATAATCTTTGTTTAGATTGTTTATAAAGTAAGCTTGAACCATTATCTAAAGAAAATCCGTATTGAAGTCAAGTTCAAGGCCTACCTGAAGATTTGGGTTATCTAATTAAATAATAACTCAAAACCCAGGATAATCTTCTGGCTTCTGGCATTGTCATCTAGCAGTTTAACTTGGGACAAATAGTAGCACCTAACATTTCCATGGCCGGCTTTAGGCATCCCTGTTTCTTTTCTTAGTTCTTCTTGTGTCCTCATTTTGCTTCTCCATAAAGAAAAAGAACATTTTTAGATTATGATATCATCAGAGATAACCAGAGAACAGGATGAAGAGAACCCTTGTTTCATCAATTCAGAAGTTGAGAAGGAAAGTATCAGACGGATTATTCAGTATCAGAAATCTTTGTATTGGTCTTCATCTTCATCATCTTCCCTGTCTTCCTCAGCTGCTTCCAGTTCCTCTGTTTCTTCTTGCAGAAGCAGCAGTTTGTTAGAATTGATGAGAAGTGGAAGCACGTCTCTGAAGAGATTATTTGAAATGGAACATACCAGTTTGTTAACCCATTTTGAAGATTACAGCGGCTCACCCATGACAAAGTCTGTACCCCTGTGGGGAAGCGATACAGATGGTGAAGTACAGGATCCATGGGAATCCATCAAGCAGACTGGACCCTTTCATAGTTTTGAGACTGGTACCCCAAGTGGTTTTGCTTCAGATGGTAGTTTTATGGAAAAAGACTTTAGCTTCAGGAATACGAGAACAAAAAATGGTAACCATAGATTGACCAGGAAAAAGTCATTTAGGAGGCTGCCAGGATTTGGTCTATGGAGATGTACAGGATTTAGGTTCAGGTTGAGATTGAGAAGACTTAGGATTATAATTTGTGGTAGAATGTTCTGATATTACTCAATAGCTTTTGCAATCAAAGTAAGCAATCATTTACCGATGAAATTACAATTGCATCAAGGAAAAATTCAGAACTCTTTCTTTTCTTTTTTCTTGTTCACTGTACCTGATTCATATTTAATTTACAGAATAAAAAAATGGAATCAGACAACCAAAGGAAGTCTAGGAAAGAAACAAAAATCACATCCCTGTAATTGGGGGGCTTTTCAAGCAACAGACTATACAAAATTTTGACACTTAAAACAGAAGGAACTTACAATTTGTTACCCTGCAGTTTTGCCAGAGGAGAGTCTATTTTGATTGGCTATCTTCAGGATGGAAATCTTACTTTTCAGAACTATATATGTGTTGACACAAGACACAGTTCTCTGATATTAATCTTCCCATCACACTTCCTTGTTCAACCATTAATTTGCTACTTTGCTTGTTCCAAAGGTGTACTCCATAAGTTTCCCTGGTTAGCTGTAGCAGCTTAGCTTCAACCCATCTTGAGTCAGCCCGGGTGTTGGGCATCTTAAAAAGGCTGCCTATTTTAATCCAATCAACAGGGTAAAAGGCCATTGGTGGCAAGATGGTAAAGTTATACCCAGGTCTTCCTTCTACTCTGTGAACTACCCTGGAAACCATGTAGGGCCCATTGTGGCCCCATTTGTTTCCGTCAAAGGTGGAAGCGAATTCCTCTATGAACTTGAATAGGAGTGGATGGTTCATGTCAAAGACCAGAACTGCATTGTTCAATCTTGTCCAGTTCTTGGACACGGCATGGATACTTTGTGCTCCGATTGTATTCTTCAGACCTTTGAAACTTTTCAGGACGATGAAATCCGTGTCCAGGTAAACCCCTCCATACTTATACAAAACTGCAAGTCTCATTAAATTAGATAGATTCTGAGCCAGTGGAATCTCACCAGGGTCCTTTTTCCCACTCTTGATAGCATCAAACCAAGCTTCAGCTGGTGTATTCTTGAGCAGAAATGGCATGTCTGGCGTAACAGCAAGCACTTTGAAGCCACGATCAAGCAGCGGTTTCAGGATCCGGTACCCATTTACGGAGTCCATGTTTCTTGATAGAATCATTAAGCAACCATGAGGATGGGCTTTGAAGACACTTTCCACAGATAACATTTCCCTTCTTCCAAAGGACCCTACTGTTGAAATCCATGTCATGAAGAATTGAACTTCACACTTTGGGTTGAAGAATTCCAGAACTCGACCGTGGAACTTCTTTGTCAATTCGTCTGACCAGAAAATCTCATATTCTGGCAGTTTTCTCCTGAGCCGCCCTGTTCCCTGTTCTTCTCTAACAACCGAGGAAGAAAGTAGAGAATCATGATGTTCACTATCAACATTAATGATCTTTCTCCGTGTAAAAACATCCAATTGTACAGCAGAAACGTCCGACTTGATTTTTCTTATAACTTTTCGAGCCTGTAAAACCTCAGAGTCTTCTTTTTCATCGAAGGCAGCCGATTGCAGCGATATGTTGGAAACGATACTGTCTGCAAACATGAAAAATATCAGAAGAGCAAATAGAATTACAGTGACAACCGGAGATTTGGCCCGGCTAACTAGCCGGCAACCAAAAACCTCATGAGATGCTACTCTTTTCAGTGTCATGATAGTAAGAATACAAGGATTGAAAAGGCTTGAAGCTATCTGAGATTCAGACTTTCAGAAGAAAATATAGGCCTCCCAATAAAAACCTTTCATGGCGGTCACACCAAATAGATTGTTTTAAGCATAGACAGAGAGACGTTCCAAGGCAGCGGCTTCAATTATATAATATATATAATATGGTTTGCCCTTTTTTTACCTTACTTGGTATTTGCATTTTTGTTAATTCTTGGTCTAGCCTGCCCTGATCAACCGTGTTTGAAGCGTTCTACAAGGCATGTTTCTTCAGTCACATTTTCTATTTGGTAACTTTGAAAAGCCGCCAGGGTGACTCCGGGGATAGACCTTGGAAAAAAAAAATATGTGATGGCGCTCGGATTTTCTTTCATTTTCTTCTTATCGGAGGCATCAATTTATCGAGAGGAACGTGTGTTATAGTCCTGGGGACCCCTTTTTACGTCTGCTTGTATGTAACACTAAAATCTTCAGGAATTGCGTGGAAATAGAAAACTCTTAACGTTGAAAAAGTCAAGTTCTTTATGTACTAAAGAGGGGCTGTGGCTAGAGCTTATAGACTTGAGGGAAGGGTTGTAATCAATTGAGAAGTTGGCCATGTTCCTAACCCTTGTTTCTTGGCTTAATGTTTCATGCGTCATTTTATTGCAAATGGCCACCTTCGTTTGGAAAAGTCGGATGAGGACAAAGGAATGGATGAGGTCATCGTTCATCGAATAAGATAACACAAACAGAACTCTTTTATCCGTTTCATGTAATGTTTTTTTCACAATTTAATGTAAATATTTAATAAATGTTTTACATTAAAATTTATACATAAATAACATAAGACTAAATACCTGAAGTAAAATTATGAAAAAAAAATCACATGAAATACCAAGCGAGATTAAAATATTTCTATTCAAATATCAAAAAATGTTTGTTTTATTCCATCAATATATATATATATAAACACCGCCAAACTTATATGACTGGGTTTGTCCTTGACTCCTTTCTTTACTCGGTTTGTATTGTTTTTGTTACCTAAAACATATAATTCTTTAATTTCAGTATCTTGGGGTTTCTGGATTTTATTACCACACAAAATCCTATCATTCCTCACCGACAGAACTAGTTAATTATCCCTAACGTAGAGACAAACACTGCCTTTTGTCACCTTTCCTCTCCCAATGGAGCCAGTTATTCTTCAAGTTAGTAAGATTTATTACTTGAATATAATCATGCCATATGAAAAGAGTTAAGTCTGTTTTGTGGGAAAGTATATATAACATGGGTTCTTGACTTTAGGATTGAATCAATACTACATAGAATAGATTATGAATTCTGGCACCATCCATGATGGAGTTCAAGTCGAAATATAATTATATCTTAATTTTTCTTACCTTTCTTTTTTTAATATTGTTTAAGTCATGGCCAAGTGTCAAGTTTATGTAAAATGACTTGTGGAGAATGATAAAAGTGAGTTACATGTGATGTAAGAGGCAAAAGAAAAAACAATCTATATTAGCATTATCTTACGGCAGCCCATGAGCAAAGCTAAGCAAATTTTCAACGTTTTAAGTCTTTATTTTTTTTTATATAATTTTGGAACAAGTAATCCCAAATGATGACGCAGGCTTCATTTGAGTTTAATTCCACCCTCTCTAATTAAATATTATTTATTAGTATATAATTAATTTTTTTTGTCCCCAATCTATTTTTGGTAGATGAGAAGTCACCACACAGAATTAAGTATTGTATATGTATTGATATCAGTATTGTTCACAAGAAAGAAATATCATAGAAATTATTAAAAAAACGAGAACCCCATCATTTATTTTACAACAACAAACTCATGGATCATGACGACAGAATAATCTAATTATTTATTAATAATGATCAAGTCATGTCTCGATTTTGAATTCTTAATCTCTAAACTTAATTACTCTCTTTCTCTTTAATTAATATTTGTCTTTCTTTAATTATTACTAAACAAATAAAAGGACTCCCATCTATTATTATATGAAAGTAGACTCAAGGATCATGACAGAGATAATAAATTAATCTCTAAACCTAATTAATCTTTGCGTCCCTAAATAATTAACATTTGTCTCTTTAATTTTTATGGAAAGTGAAAAAAAAAATCAATTATTATATAAAAACACTCATGGATCATGACGAGATAATAAACTAATTATCTATTAACAAAGAGGAAACCATGTCTCAATTTCAAGTTCTTTGTTAATTTCTAAACTTATTTACTCTTTCCATCTCCAATTAATGAATGACTCTCTTTATTTTTACAGAAATTAAAAGAAAAAACTCATCAATTATCATATGAAAACAAAACCATGTCTCGATTTCATATTCTGAATTAATCTCCAAACTTAATTACTCTTTCCCTCTCCAATTAATATTTATCTCTTTTTAATTTTTATGAAAAAAAAAAGAACCCCATCAATTAGTTTATCAGAACAAACTCATGGATCTTGGCAAGATAATAAACTAATCATCTATTAAAAACAATGAAACCATGTCTTGATTCGAGTTCTTAATCTCTAAATTCAATTACTCTTTTCATCCTTATCAATGTTAACTAGGCTATGACTTGTACGTTGTACACGGATTTTTTTTTTAAATATGTTTTTTTATAACTTACATGAAATTAAAGAAAGAAGTCCCTTTGAGATTTTCTTTTACTTATAAAATAGATTTGTAAAAGAAAATACTAATAAAAGTATTAGGTGTCTTTAAATAGGAAGGGAAATGCTAAAATGTCAATTCAGGTTCAAGTGTGGGCAGATAAGATGGAATCTTGAAACTGAAGCTTCAATTTATGCATGCATTCTTCGGCCTCCTGATTGGTGCTGAAGTACTGTTTTCCAACCTATCTATATCTGCATATTTAACCACGTTGAGCCCACACCGTACCATCAACCAAACTATCAGGTTTGAATTAATTTAAAGAGAAAAAGCAAAATTGAATGGCACTAACTCACCTTACACTAAATTTTTGTCTCTTTTTTGCCCTTTGTTTTCCCTTTTGGGAATTGAATGAGATGAATAATTGGTTCATGGGCTGGATTATTTTATGAGTAAACTGCTTTTATATGACTAAAATATTGTGTATCAACTTTGACAAGTAACCTTGTGTGCGGCAAGTCTCTTTCTCTGCAGCAAGCTTTAGGCAGCCCACAAAAAGATGCCACGCGTTCATTGACCGAATCAAATAATACCCAAGTACGTACCTACTAAAACAAAGTCCAACTCCGTGTTCTAGGAGGAAACCATGAAGAAATTACATGCAGTTTTCCAATTGATGCTTCAATGTCTCACTGTTTAAAAACTTTGGTCCTGTGTTAACACTGAATTTGATGGAAAAGCAACTATCCTATGATATGATTGTCAACATGCATGACTCTTAGCAGGCCATGACCAGTTTATACATTTATAGAACTTTTTTCAACAACCTGACATCAGCGATGTTCATGCTTTGATGAGCAGTTTCTTGCAGTATTCTGATAACATCTTTCATCTTCATGCTTTTTTCTTAGAATGTTACTTCTTGAGCTTGCCTGGTCGATATCTTGAACTTTTAAGTGCATGCGTACGTCTTCCAGGATTGTGGGAACAGCCACTTCAATTACCCTGTCCGGAGTATTAGCCAATCTTGAGCAAAGACATGGAGGTTTAGGCCATCCTTGAACTTGTCATCGGCTGGTCTCGATCCAGTGAAGATTTTCTACGAGTAAGTATGAAGGATAAAGCAGCCTAACCAATTCAAAGAGCTCAAGATTTAATCAAGTTTATCAAATTAGCTTATCCATTGAATCTTGAGCTCTTTGAAGTGGATAGGCTGCTTTATCTTTCATAGTAGGATGCCATGGCTGAACTTGTCTCCATTATTACTTGCGATCTGATTAGCTAGCATTATGGATAAGCAACTAGCAGTATTCAAGCTTAAGACAAATTTGAAAGTCAGGTGCTGCCATGATTGTTTTCCGAGCCTGTGAATTGAACAGATGTGTAAATGAAAATTCTGGAATTTAACTAGAAAGCATATCGTTTCCATTGATTGCCATTGAACTTGCATTTTTCTAAGTCTCTCTTCTGGAACTGCCCCTTCAAGGTTCTTGAAAGGAGAGGTTAACCTTTTCAGAAAGGAAAAGAAACCAAGAAAATTTGGAGTATTTTCGGAGAGATGAAGCTAGAGGTCCCCTGGAAGCAATTACAACTCATAATTAGGTCCAAACTCACGCAGATTTCCAGCGCTAAGGATTTGGTCTGACATTTTTCTCTCTGATAGATTCTACCACTAACATGGCACTGGTATTATTGAGCGAGGTAAAGCCCATCTTAATTCAGGTTTGGCCCTTTGGATAGCTTGCTCAAACTATCCACACCCTTTTGGAAAAACATTAACCTCATGTTGTTGGCTGAAAAGATCCATTCAGAAAGCCCGTTTTGGAACAGGCTGGACTGTAGCTGGCAGAAAGGTTAGTGAACAGGTGTCTACATAAAGAAATGCCCATCTGCAACCAATCATTCGAGGCCCAGAAGTGTGTAACAATCCACATGTTTCAACTCCAAGTTTTAAGAAAAAGAACCCCACATCTTCACAATTTTTTACAGCGGGAAGAATGAGAACACTGTATGCTTCCTGTTTATCTTCACTGAGTTTCTTGAAATTTTCAAGTTGCAAGGCAACGAAACGTCTTTGTCGATTTCATTGTCTGGAATTGAACTGAAACGTTATAGCTGTCATGCTTTTACTGGCTGTAAATGTTCAGCCCACGTTACCAGAAAGATATGTTCATCCAATTTATTGCGGTCCTACAAAATTGTCTTGTTCTCAACTGAGATGCCCTTTTCATCGTTTCTCAACCGAAATTTCACATCCATTACTAGGCCAAATTAATGTTGGCTTGCTTCTTTTCCTGGACTACTGTTGTCGTTTTTGCTCATACCAGGACTCTTGTTTGCCCAAAAGCATGAATTCTAGATGTTTTTCCTCATATTTCCTCAAGGTGATTCTTATTTCATGGATGATTTCGAGTTTGGAATCTGCTGTAGTCCCCAGTTCTACAAATGCAACTGAGTCTGATCGATTGGCTTTGCTGGACTTCAAAAACCGTGTAACGCAAGATCCATTGAAGATCATGGACTCATGGAACGATTCCATTCCTTGCTGCAACTGGATTGGTGTCGCATGCAGCCCATCCAGCGGAAGAGTAGTAGTTTTAAACCTGGAGAATCATAAAGTAGTTGGCTCCATTCCACCTTCCATTGGAAACCTTACATTCCTTACTGGAATCAACCTGGGAGGAAATGGATTTCATGGTGAAGTTCCTCAAGAAATTGGACGTCTTTTGCGCCTACAGCATCTCAATTTGACACGCAATTCTTTTGGCGGGAAAATTCCTACCAATCTAACTCACTGTACAGTACTTACAGTACTTGATACTTCTTACAATGAGTTCGTTGGGCAGATTCCGGACCAGCTAAGCACATTATCAAAACTGGCAATCCTTCGTCTTACAGGTAACAGCCTTACGGGAAGAATCCCCGCTTGGATTGGTAACCTTTCTTCTCTTCATTCTCTTTTCCTGTCAATGAACAATTTACAAGGAAGCATACCTCCTGAACTTGGCCAACTGTCAGGCTTGGGATATTTTCAACTTTATGGAAATTATCTGTCTGGTATTGTTCCTCCTTCAATTTATAATGTTTCTTCCATATACTTCTTTTCTGTCACCCAAAACCAGTTGCAGGGACATCTGCCACTAGATGTTGGTCTCACCCTTCCTAACCTGGAAGTATTTGCCGGTGGTGTTAACAATTTTACAGGACCTATCCCGGTATCATTGTCAAATGCTTCTAGACTTCAAATAATTGACTTCGCTAATAATAGTCTAACTGGAACCATGCCTGGAAATCTGGGGAGCTTGCTAGGTTTAATTAGACTGAATTTTGATGATAACCAACTTGGAACCGGGGGAATTGGCGACCTGAGCTTTCTCAATTTCTTGTCTAATTGTTCTTTTCTTGAAGTGTTGGGTCTTGCCGGAAATCGTTTCGGAGGAGAATTGCCAAGCTCCATAGCTAACCTTTCAAACCTGTTGCAACGTTTAACCATGGGGGAGAATCTGATTAGTGGAAGTATCCCTATTGGGATTGGGAACCTTGTTAGTTTGTACATTCTAGGATTGGAAAGGAACTACTTCAGTGGCAGTGTTCCCACTGTTATTGGGAAGCTTCAAAAACTAGAGGAATTGGATTTGGAAGGTAACAGATTTTCAGGGTCAATACCTTCTTCATTGGGTAACTTGACTCTGTTGAATGGGCTGTATCTCCATGATAATAAATTTGAGGGTAGTATACCTCCAAGTCTTGGAAACTGCCAAAATTTGCTTGCAATAAATTTGTCAAGCAATAATCTCAGTGGCATCATACCTATGCAGATTTGGGGTCTCTCTTCCCTTGAAAAATTTTTGTCCATTTCTCATAACTTTTTGACTGGTTCACTGCCAGTAGAAGTGGGTCAACTAGACCAACTTGAAAAGCTAGACCTCTCCCAGAATAAATTGTCTGGTGAAATTCCCAAAAGCCTAGGCAGTTGTACTAGTTTAGAAAGCCTGCATTTGGAACATAACTCATTTGGAGGAACAATCCCTTTATCTTTGGAATCTCTAAGAGGTATAGAAGAAATAGATCTTTCATACAACAATCTGTCTGGGCAGATTCCTGAATTTCTTGGCAAGATTGTGTCACTCAGGCATCTCAATCTTTCTTACAACGATTTTGAGGGTGAAGTGTCACGAGAAGGCATATTGGCAAATGCAAGTGTCATTTCCATCCTTGGGAACAATAAGCTTTGTGGTGGCATCTCAGAGTTATATTTACCTCCATGCTCTACCTCAAGTTCTGGAAAATATCTTACCCTGATAATAATCTCTGTCACCATCAGTGTAGTCACGTTAATATTTCTTCTATTCTGTTCTTTTGTTACATATAATTTAGTACAGAGTCATTCCATTCCATCTTCCTCTAAGGAATGGCGATCAGGTATGTCTTACTCAGACATTCTAAAAGCAACTAATGGCTTTTCTGAAGAAAACTTGATTGGCTCTGGTAATTTTGGTTCTGTATATAAAGGAAATATTGCCAATGATGGAACAATTGTTGCGATTAAGGTATTAAACCTTCAACAGCGAGGAGCTTCTAAGAGTTTCATTGATGAATGCAATGCTTTGAGAAATGTACGACATCGAAACATCCTAAGGATTATAACCGCTTGCTCTAGTCTTGATCATCAGGGAAATGACTTCAAGTGTCTTGTATTTGATTTCATGTCCAGTGGAAGCTTATACCAGTGGCTGCATCCTGGAGGTAATGATCAGTATCAGAATAAGAAGTTGAGCCTTATCCAGAGACTGGATATAGCCATAGATGTAGCTTCTGCTTTGGATTATCTCCATCACCAATGTGAAACACCAATTGTTCACTGCGATCTAAAGCCAAGCAATGTACTCCTAGATGAAAATATGACAGCACATGTTGGTGACTTTGGATTGGCAAGGTTCTTATTTGATTCATCAGATAATCCCTCCAGCAATCAAACCATATCAATCAAGCTGAAGGGTTCCATTGGGTACATTCCTCCTGGTATGATTTCAACCTGATTAATCACATTTTATTCAATTCTTAACTATTGTTAAAGCTCAAAAACTCATGTTTGTGTGTACATTAGCACACATGAAATTGCCAAAATTCAATGACTAATTGAAATCTGTTACAAGTTGCAGAGTATGGCATAGGTAGTCAAGCTTCAATATATGGAGATATTTACAACTATGGGATACTGTTACTGGAGATGTTTACAGGTAAAAGTCCAACAGATGACATGTTCAAAGATGATCAGAGCCTTCACAATTTCGTCGAAGTAGCCTTGGCCAAACATGTCATGGATGTTGTTGACCTATCTATGCTTTCCGAAGAAGAGAACGCAGAAGAAGAGACAGAGTTGATCATGATGAGGAAACCTCATTCCCATGTCAGTGCTGCAAGCATGGTGGAAGAATTCGTAGTTCCTGTCATGAAAGTTGGACTCTCCTGTTCTGCAACATCACCAACTGAGCGGGTGATTATGACTTTTGTCATCAATAAATTGAAAGATATCAAAGACAGGTTCCTCAAATTAAAAAGAAACAATAAAAGAAGGATGAGAAGGCATTGACTATACCAAATATGCAGCTCAGGCTGCCTTAAGATTTAGCCTATTAAAAATGGAAAAAAATGTAAATATCTTTTGAGAATTTCAAAGGTTTCTTTGTAAATATATATATATATATATTTGAAATTTGATGATATATTGAAACCAGAGAGGAGTAAAGAACCTCACCTCTGGAAGAAAAAGGAAAAATCCTGGTTATCATTCTCTGATCTTTGTAAATATATAATGATGATTTGTTGATTGAGAACTAGTCAGATCAGTAAAATAGTTTTATTTGGAGTTCTTCAGGGTGTGTCAAGTATTACTCCATTGAAGTAATTGAAAAGAAAGAGGCAAAGGGTGCATGGTGATGGTGATTATAATTTATAAGTTGAATTACAAATTTACAAGAAATCATGGGAGAGAGAGGGAGAGAGAGTGACTTAGCACAAGTCATAAAGCTGATATATCAGCCACCATGTCTACCACATCTTGCAATCCCCTTGTAACATCTTTGATTTCCCATCATTCCTGTCAGGAATTTCCATCTGAGCAAAGCCATGGAGGCTGAGGCCATTGCTGAAACATGTCATCTGTTGTCTGTTGGTCCCCTTTATACTTCTAGCAGTAAGATGCCGCATATAGCTGCAGGTGTCTCCGTCTGGTGAAACCTTGGCAACCTATATTACTCCTCGAAAACGAAGTGGGAAAATCTGAGAGGACCCGTTAATCATTTTCTGGTCCAAGTTTCTTTTTCCTGAGGACCAAAACCTAACCAATGTTTAATGCTCCATTTCCATACCAGAATAAGCCACTAGAGCCCACGTCTTTAAATTTTGAGGTAAACTCAAGCCTTCAGCATTAAATAGAGCAGAAGAAATCTTCTGCCCCAAAAAGCCTAGTTCAAAAATCAAGGTGATAAAACGGTCGTCCCATGCGACCCTGGAAACTCGACTGTCAAATTCTTGGGTCATTATCAAGCAATTCCAGCGCTTGAACAAAGTTTCAACTGTATAGCATTAAAGGAAAGGTTTAAATTCAATATTCATGATGACACACTTGCACCAAAAGTCAAAACACAAAGAGGTTTAATCATCTGGACTATCTCGGTTGTTGAACTTTAAAATCTCTGGATATTTTCAGGATTGTGTGGTCCTCCAATGAGTTCTATTTCTATTTGTTTCTCTTTTACATAATTTCGAATATGGCATTATGTTCTTAATTTTGATTTTTTTTCTAGGACTTGGTATTTCCTTAAGCATGAAGCTTACTTGTTTGTTCTTTCTGGGGACTTTACTTTTGTGGATGAGTTCATGTTCGGAATCTGCAATGATGCCTGCTTTTGCAAATGAAACTGATCGATTAGCTTTGCTTGATTTCAAAAATCGGGTAACTCAAGATCCTCTCCATGTCATGGACTCATGGAACAATTCTGTTCATTTTTGCAGCTGGGTTGGCGTCACTTGCAGCCCATCGAATGGAAGAGTGGTAATTCTGAACCTGGAGGGTCAAAAGTTAGTTGGCTCCGTACCACCTTCCATAGGAAACCTTACATTCCTCACTAGAATCAACCTGGTAAACAATAACTTCCGTGGTGAAATTCCTCAAGAAATTGGTCGTCTGTTGCGCCTGCAGCATCTCAATTTGACATACAATTCCTTTGGCGGGCAAATTCCTACTAATCTAACTCATTGTACAGAACTTGCAATGATTCGTTTTGCTGAGAATGGGCTAAGTGGGCGAATTCCAGACCAGCTTGCTTCATTATCAAAGTTGACAATTCTGGAACTAGGAGCTAACAACCTTACAGGAACCATCCCAACTTGGATAGGTAACCTTTCTTCTCTTTATGGTCTTTCACTAGCACTGAATAACTTACAAGGAACCATACCTGACGAACTTGGCCGGTTATCAGGCTTAGGATTTTTTCAACTTTATGGAAATTATCTGTCTGGTATTGTCCCTCCTTCAATTTACAATATTTCCTCTATATACTACTTTTCTGTCACTCAAAACCAGTTGCAGGGACATCTACCACCAGATGTTGGTATCACTCTTCCTAAACTAGAAATATTTGCTGGCGGTGTCAACAATTTTACAGGAACCATCCCGGTATCATTGTCAAATGCTTCTAGACTTCAGATAATTGACTTTGCAGAAAATGGTCTTACTGGGACCATACCAGGAAATCTTGGAAACCTTGGAGATATGATTAGACTAAATTTTGATAATAACAAACTTGGAACTGGGAAAATTGGTGACCTAAGCTTTTTCGATTCCTTGACTAATATTTCTGCTCTAGAAGTATTAGGTCTTGCTGGGAATCGTTTTGGAGGAGAACTGCCTAGCTCCATAGCCAACCTTTCAGACAAGTTGAAAATTTTTACCATAGGATGGAATCTGATTCACGGAAGCATCCCTATTGGCATTGGAAACCTTGTTAATTTGTACTCTCTAGAAATGGAAGGCAACCAATTAGAAGGTACCTTACCTGATGTTCTTGGGAAGCTTCAAAACTTAGAGGGACTGCATCTGAATTATAATAGATTTTCAGGATCAATGCCATTTTCACTTGGAAATTTAACTGCATTAACTGGGCTCTTTATGGACGAGAATAGATTTGAGGGAAGTATACCTCCAAGCCTGGGAAACTGCCAAAATTTGCTAGTGCTAAATTTTTCTGGCAATAATCTTAGTGGCACCATACCTAGAGAGATTCTGGCTCTTTCTTCCCTTTCAATTTCTTTGTCCATGTCTCATAACTCTTTGAGTGGCTCACTTCCAGTTGAAGTTGGTAACCTGAACAATCTTGTGGAGTTAGACCTAGCAGAGAACAGACTTTCAGGTGAGATTCCTAGCAGCCTTGGTAGTTGTTTTAGTTTAGAACGCCTGTATTTGGACGGTAATGCATTTGAAGGAACAATTCCTTTATCTTTGAAGTCTTTAAGAGGTCTAGAAGAAATAGATCTTTCGCGCAACAACCTGTCTGGGCAAATTCCCGAGTTTCTCAGCAAGATTTTATTTCTCAAGCATCTCAATCTTTCTCATAATGATTTTGAAGGTGAAGTGTCACATGCAGGCATATTTGGAAATGCAAGTGCCTTTTCTGTAGTTGGAAACAATGAGCTCTGTGGTGGTGTCCAGGATTTACATTTACCCACATGCACCAGAAAAAGTCCTGGAAGACGTCTTGCCCCCAAGGTGGTGATCCCAGTAACTGGTGCAGTCATATTTGTTGTTCTTCTTCTCTGTTCCTATGCTTCATATCATCGAGTAAGAAACCCGAGGAGTCAATCCAATGCATCATTCTCGAAGGAATGGCAATTATGTATGTCTTACTCAGATATTGTAGAAGCAACTGCTGGCTTCTCTGAAGAAAATTTGATTGGTTCGGGTAGTTTTGGTTCGGTATATAAAGGAACTATATCCACAGATGAAACAGTTGTTGCGATTAAGGCATTAAACCTTCAACAGCAAGGAGCATCTAGGAGTTTCATTGATGAATGCAATGCTTTGAGAAGTGTGCGACATCGCAACCTCCTCAAGATCATAACTGCTTGCTCTACTGTTGATCATCAAGGAAATGACTTCAAATGTCTTGTATTTGAGTTTATGCCTAATGGAAATCTAGATCAGTGGCTGCATCCTGGAGGTAATGACCAGTACCAAAGTATGAGATTGAGCCTTATCCAGAGACTGAATATAGCCATCGATATTGCTTCTGCTTTGGATTATCTTCATCACCATTGTGTCACACCAATTGTTCATTGCGATCTAAAGCCAAGCAATGTGCTCCTTGATGAAAATATGACTGCACATGTTGGTGACTTTGGACTGGCAAGGTTCATCTTTGATTCATCAAGTAATGCCTCCAGGAGTCAGACTATGTCAGTCAGGCTAAAGGGTTCCATAGGGTACATTCCTCCAGGTATGATTTTCATGTTGATGGATCACTGTTACTTCATAATTAACAATTTCTATAAGAATAAATCAGGTAACCATAGGCAAAAGTAGTTCAAAATTTTTAATTTTCAACCTTTAAACAACTTAAACAATTTACTGCATTGAAATATGTTTGTTGGTACATAAATACAAAGATGGCTAATTGTGGTCTATTACAAGCTGCAGAATATGGCATGGGTGGCCAAGTTTCCATACATGGAGATACCTACAGTTATGGAATTCTGTTACTGGAGATGCTTACAGGCAAAAGACCAACTGATGACAGCTTTGAAGATGATCTCGGAATTCGTGAGTTCGTTGACAGGGCTTTGCCTGGACATGTCATGGATATTGTTGACAGATCAATGCTTTTTGAAGAAGAAAATGTTCACAAAAAGGTCAGGGGAAACGGAGAAGATTGTGTAGAAGAGAGGGCGTTAATTAAAAACCAGAATTCTCATGTCAGTTCCATAAGGAGAAAAGAAGAATGTTTGGTTTCAATGATGAAAATCGGACTCTCCTGCTCTGCAACATTGCCAAGTGAGCGAATGACTATGACTGTTGTTGTGAACAACTTGCTTGATATCAAAGCCACGTTAGTTGCAATATCTGGTTTTTGATTCTGCTCAGAGCTTGGTTACCAATGTTCATGGAGTTTGCCGCCAAGAAAGCGGAGAAGAAGACAATCACGTGCTACTGATTCACATGACCTTTTATTTTTTGTTTAAGTTGTATCTATTTCCAGCCTTTTAAGTTGCCTTCCATTTCATGTCTCTAGTGTTTGTTTTTTAGTTAGTTTCCTTTTGCGGTTGTATAGGAATTGTAGTTTATCCACCTTGCATGGTGGATTAGTGACTTTATCCCACACATAGCCAACTGCTGAAGACGTTTGTAGCAGTTGAATGACCAGGTGCTTAGTTTCCACCAATAGGATAACTACCTTTCAGCATTTTGTATTAAACTATATATATATATATATATATATATATATATGTTCCAATTAAATGAAACTGTGTGCAGCACCTATCTTCTTCATTTTGTAGTTTTCTTCTCTCAGCAAAATGTAACTTTTATCTTAGAAAATATTTTCTTTGAAAAAGTTTAACAATGTTCCTTGGATTGAAATTGCAGAAGTAATTGAAAAACAACAATGTCTTTGCTCTACAAAGTGCAACCAAGTCCATAGATTTTTGGCAGTTATTGACTTTATGTATTCTCTAATACTTTCGGACAATAATATCAGACAATCTCTGTGTTCGGACACGTTTTTTTTTTTTTGTTCTCAACATTGGGTCAAAAAGAACAAGGTTTAAGGTAAATTTGATTGCCTGGGAGTAGAATCCTGTCTTGAACTCCAAAATATGAGAATCTGCTTTGGATTTTTTTTACACTGATACTCTTTTTGTTGGTGGTTTGGATCTTGAGCTAAGGGTCTGAACCAGAGTTTCCAATTCCATTTACAAAATCCCAGACCCTTGCAACAGAATTGTAACCGTCTCAGAGATTTGGAAGTCTATACATGAAATCATAAATCTAGAATAGAAGAATTTCATTTCTAAATGGTGTTTCATCTTTGTGCCATGTCAGATCCAAGAAGAAGACCTCTGACCAGCTGCAATTCTTTGATAACATCACCAAGTTTCTTTCTCTCTCTGGGTTGTTCCATTGAACAAGCAATTCCCGGTTGATTCTGGAAGGGCTCCAGTAAAGCGATTGTGACCAATATTCAGGACTCTCAAATTAGGAAGAGTAAAGCCCAAGTTTGATGGCAGATTTCCATGGAGTTGATTAAATGGCAAAGTAAATATGGTTATAGATGATAAGTTGAATATTGAGGGAGGAACAATACCAGTTAACCGATTCAAGCCAAGGCCAAGAAAATATAATGTCTTTAACTGTCCCAGGGCATCTGGTATGCTTCCCTCGAAGCTGTTAACTGAAAAGGACAGAGACCTAACAGAAGAAAGGTCGCCTAAAGAAGCTGGTATTGGTCCACTGAGATTGTTGTAGTGGAGCTGGAATCTCTCAAGGTTCTGCAATGACCCAAGCTGATATGGGATCTTTCCAATCAACTTGTTGAACCCCAAACGAAGCATAATGAGGTTAGAACAGCCAGATAGATTGGCTGGGATCTCTCCTTGAAAGGAGTTGTTGGAAAAATTCAGGTACCTGAGCCTACTTAGGCGGCCAACTTCTGGCGGAATTTCACCGTGAAAGTAGTTCTGTTCAAGGCTGATACCTCGAAGAAAGGTGAGGTTCCCTACAGAAGGAGAGAGAGAGAACCTACCAAATCATGATAACTAAGGTTCAAGGTGATTACTCTTTGATGCCGGTGACCGCAAATGACTCCACTCCAGTTGCAGAAATGGAGAGAATCATTCCAGGAGCTCGTTAACCCAAGTGGATCGTGAGTCATCTGAGCCTTGATGGCGAGTAAAGCTAGCCAGTCTGTCTCATTTGCATGCAAAGTGGTAGCTGCAAGCACAGCAGAACGTGAATGCAGCCAATTGATGATACATAACAGAAGCAATGTATTAAAATTGAACAGCAATAAGAAATTCGGAACTGGTTTCTTGTATAAAAGTGAACACGACAGCAACATGATTGGTTTGAAATGAACTCTCGCTTGAGTATGGAAAATCAGATTGCTAGGAGAGATGGCTCTAAAACAACTTGGAGGGAAGGGCCATTATTTATAGGAATATTTGTCTAACAATAGAGGTTGGTCGGTCTTATCCTTGCACTGACAATGTTACCCTCGGTCATTAAAAAATATTAAACAAAAAAACAGAAAGAAAAAAGGATCTAAACTCCATTCTTCTGATACAGTCAATTATTGCTTGAAGAATATGGTGGTTCTCTTGCAAGTTGCAAGTATCATAGTTTAGTCAATGTAATACCTCGTTCTTTGGAGCTAATCAAATATAAATCGTGTAAAAAATTATAACAAATGGCAACGTGGGAGATCATAAAATTCAGTAAGGTATGATTAATTGTAATACCAAGGCATTTTTCTTTAGACATGATGATTGAGCCCAAGGCTTTGAGGAAGAGATTTTGCGCATGGGATAAGGATTTGGACCTCAACCAATGACTTCAGTTCTATGAGCTTGACTAGCAATGCAATCTTATTATTAAAAGACAATGCTTTTGCAAGTTGCAAAGTAATATACTCTTTTCAGTAGGGGTAGAACAATCTCTACCAATGTAAGACATGGCACTTTGAAGGTTATAGGTAAGTTGACATTATAAAATTTAAGAAGGTGAGATTGATAGTTCTATACATTTTGGATAAGATGATTGCGGCTGAGGCTATGAGAACAGGTTTATGAATGGGTTAAAGGGTTTGGACCTGAACCAATGGCATCAGTTCTGGGTGCCTGAATGAGGATGCGGTTTGATCATTAGAAGAAAACAGGAGTAGAAGGAAATGACAGAGTGATAAACCTACCACGCCAAGGAATTAACAGTGGATTATGTCCATATGGTCAAATTTTTGGATTTTGAAGCACCCGAACAAGAAGGGTACACGCGTTGCAGGTTGTCAGCTCTTTTTGAGTAAAACAAACCTTGAAGTCAACCTCGTGAGTGAATGAATGGCAATCCGGTCCATTCCCTTCGAAGGGAAAGGCCTATCTAGCTAGTTGCTAGCTACCATGCAAAAACTTGACTGAAAAACGGACAAAACGTGGAGGACCATTCTACTCCAGGCAGCTGACAATGGCTCCGAAGGTATTCGTCTCAACGCTGATTGTGACAGTAACCGTCGGCTAACAAGGACTGCCCTTGAATCCTGATAGGAGCAAGTTCTTCCAATCTGTGGAGAGTCACTGATATTATGACAAGGATCCCAGAACTAGGCTGAAAACCCAGACCGCTTCAGGCCTAAGTTGTCTCAATTGGAAGCCCGTGATGAAAGACCCAAAGCCTGGTCAGCTAACCAATTCTGGGTATTGGTCTGAATAAACGAATATGTCGACTTCTCAGAATCTTGTAAATTGCAATCCATGCCTACGCAAGAAGTGAACAAAAAACGATGAACGAAATTGGGTCAATCGAGTGGTGTCGAAATGTTACCATTATGTACCAATAAGGGCATTGGATTAGCTTTGGAAATCGGTTTTGGCTGGATAATTGTGGTCAGTGTTAGACAAAGCTTTATTGGCTGATCCCTGGAATGCCTTTTTTAAAACTCGTGACCCAAAGCAGCAGAAATTTCAGAATTTTCTTGGCCACAAATGGAGCACCCTAGCTGGAATCCTCCAGAAAAGTTTAATCATCCTATAAGCTCACATTTTTAATTTAAAAAATTTATATTTATATATATAAAATTAAGCTGATCACTTATTAATGTAAAATTTTTAATATTCTATTTTGTTCAATTATATTGCATTAGCTTCTTAATATTAAAGAAAAGAAACTCTTACATTGATTGAAGCCTATTTCAATTTTCATATTTATCATAGAAGCCTCACGTTAGTAAAAATTTTAAATTTTTAATATTATTTATTTCTAATTTATATTTTTAATTTAAAAATATACTTATTAAATAATAAAAAGTACATATTTATATGTTTAAAATTCACTTCATCATGGTAGCAAATTTTATTAATAATAATTCACATAATTAAATGTATTAAATTTTTGTTATATGACATAATTATATTTAATAATAATTAAATTCTCGTGATTAAATATATTTGTTATTATAAGAAAATTAATGTAAAGTATAAAAGCAAGACAGATGTCACCGCCAATCTTTTAAATCGAACGGTGGGGATCAAGACAGGGCCTCTCGAAACGCTGGAAACAGTTGCCAGCGGTTGGGAATTGGAGATTGTCACGTTCGGAATGAAGAGCCAGATTCAAACTCAACTCCATGGCGATACGTGTCGAATGCCACGTGGCATCGGATCCGATCCCCTTTATCCTGATCACGGCCCACGCATTAACATTAGAGAACTCACCTAATGTTCCAGAATGACCACCAGAAGCGGATTGCTAGTACTATTTAGGAAACACAGCAGACAAAACAGTGTATCTTTGATGAGCAAAACTTGAAGCTTTTAGAGACACAGAGAGAGAGAGTTTCAGTTTGGAAACTGGAAGTGATGAAAACCTTGACGAGTTCTTGCTCCAAGGCAATCATTGACAAGCATAGAGATAAAGGGTTGTCTTGTTTTAATGATCTTTCTCTTAACAGAGCTGAAGTATGCTTGTTCCCTTCCAAAAAGCTTGTGAGAATCCGGCTCTTGCATTTGCCTTCTGTGCAACACAGGCGCCTGCAGCCTGTTTTGTCATCTTCTTCCTTGTCACCAGACTCACAGGCATGTACCCTTTTTATCTCTTTTGGTTTTTCCTTATTATTTCTTCAAGGTTTTGAATGGTTTTGGTTTCTGGAAACTTGAATTCTTGTTGTTTGTTGTTGAGGCAGCTCGTTGCATGATTCCCAAGTTTTCATTCGAAGTTACTGCTCTTTGCTTTTCTTTTTTCCATGTGATTCGAGGCCAGTGTGGCAGTGACTGCCTTTTCAATATTTTAAGGAATCTCATGGACTGTCTGGTTCTAAAAAGGAGTTATAGACAATATAATAATCTATTCCTGGTTCCTTTAACAATTTCTTTCAAATTCAAGAAAAGGATTAACTTGTACTGAAGTTAGGTTTCAATTGGTAAATTTTCTTCATGTAGGTGGACTTTGGGACAGCAGAAACTCAACCTGCAGAAGACAGTAAGATCTCGTAGCACTTTTAACTATTTGTTATTATTGAGTATTCTGAGTCACATCTCAACATCTCTGATGCGCAGATCCATCAAAGACTGTTCATGTCAAATTCCAGTTACAGAAAGAGTGCTCCTTTGGGGAGCATTTTCTCATTGTAGGGGATCATCCTATGTTAGGCATATGGGATCCTGAGAGTGCTATTCCACTGAATTGGTCAGAAGGACATGTTTGGACAGTAGAGCTGGTAAGGAGGAACTTAGGAAGAATGTGAATTATATTCTTGTTGAAGGCTATATTCATGAGATCTCTTGCTTTGTGCTTTGCTTAGGACATACCTGTTGGAAAATCAATCCAGTACAAATTCGTTCTGCAAACAAGCACTGGGAACCTTTTGTGGCAACCTGGCCCTGATCGGATATTTAAATCCTGTGAAACTGAGAATACAATCATCGTTAGTGAAGACTGGGAAGAAGCTGAATATCAGAAATTAATTGAGGAAGAACCATCAGCTAATCAAGATGGACCTGTTCTTGATTCAGAGGTGGCAATTGTTGCAGAGAACTTGACAGCTCCAAAGGAGGAATTAGTTTCTGACATGGAGCTGGTATCAGAAACTGATAGTATCACCAATCTAGAAAAGGAGCCATTACAAGCATTTTCAGAAGAACTAACCACTAGCAGTGGTGCTTCTTCACTAGAGACGCCCTTGGCCATTGTTGCGGAGAATATTAGTTACCGAACTGAAAACTTCGTAGCAAATGTACATAATGTAGCGTTCGGTGTGAAGAGGACTAACTACCCCAATGATGAAGCTTTGGCTACTTCAAATAAGAATCCTTTGGTAGCAGAGGACCTTGGAAATATCGGCAGAGTAGAAACAGTCCAGAACCCAGCAACTGCAGATGTTGAGGGAAATCTGGTTGTACATGAAGGTAGTCCTGTTCTGGTACCTGGCTTGACTCTGTTAGATACAGTGTCAACTGAAGAAGCAATTTTGGATGAAGATGAGAAGAATAGTACTACTGAGGCATCAATTGAAGTTAATGAAGCTAATTATCAGAAAATGCCAGAGGTAATTGCCTGATGAGTGTGATGCTCTGTCCTTTGTTTTTCCTTTTGCCTCTCTTCCATTTCTCTAGTACTGTCACCTAGCAAGAAATAAAAACCTCATTCCCATGTATTAAGAATTCCCATCTTCCAGTTATCTGGTTTCAGCTCGTATCTTCTTTTCATGATGTGTAATCAGCAATGCAGCTCTTTCAATGCTCACCAATGAAGTATTGCAGATTAATCACTTAGAAAAATGGCATATAAATCATCACAAACTGGGACAAGGAAAGCCTTAACATATAATAAATCACATCTCCCCTTTCTACTATCCACTCATATACTGATATGCAACAAAACTTTGCTGCAGATGAGAATGTTCAATCTAAGATTTAACTCCACTACCTAGACCTAACTCAAATGACATAATTGTTTTGAGTCACCAATGATGCAATGTTGCATATCCAGTTATTCTAATATACGAAGCCCCAAACGAAAAAGGAAAGCCTTTGCTTCTCAAACGGGAACAGAATTATCAGTTACTTGCCCAATTTTGACAATCTGTGATGCTGTGATATGTTGCTGAATGCTAATGTGGGATGTACTTTAGGAAGATATCGTTAAGACAACATGTGATTCTCCCCTTGCATAATCTGACATGGCTGTTGCTATTGCAGATGATATTTTTATGTCTTTTCCTTTTCTTTAAATTTTTTTAACTGAAACTTAATAATATTCAGTTAGGTGAGAAGCAAGAACCTGAAGGTGAACCACAGGAAGAAAAACCAACTGCAGTGTCCAAGGATGAGGAGGAACCTACTGCAGTGTCCAAGGATGAGGAGGAACAGCTTGATAACCGACACATTCAGAGCCCCCAACTAGCCAGAGAACAGTCTGATCCAGATACTTTTCAAAGTAATGTCTTGCAAAGTGATGTCCAGTGGGGTCATAAAACACTTAAGAGGCTTCTGAACAGTTTAAGATTTCTATAACTCATCTAGACTAAAACAAGCCTGTTTCCTTGTTTCATTGGTTTTAAATTCTAAAAGTGGCCAGGAAAATGAAGTGGGAGGGTTAGCCATGGTGGTGCTGTTACTATGTACATACAACCCCTGCTTTCTTGATTCTGTTGTTATGTATTCTACCATGTGAGGATCCTTGAATTTTGTATCTGTTTCACAATGTACTGTATTTATACCAGGAGATCATTTACGTACTCGCATAGTAGGAGTGCTGCTACAATTCCATTAGGGTCATATCCTGATGTTCTTAAATCTTAGTTCAAAGGTTCTGTTTATTTCTAATCTTTCCTTGGCTTGGCTGCAGATATGGCTTGAGATACCAAATCAATCTCGTTCTATCTCTGCTATCATATGAAGAACATAGCATCATTCTGTTTTTTAACCTTATTGCGGTAGGTAACCTCGAGACAAGAGAATCAAAGAAGGCGTACGTCAAGGAGTACCTGAATTCCCTGCATCTCCATGTCCAGCTACTGAGAGACAATCTGTTCAAAACCCAAGCTAGATTCCTACTTGGGAAGGCAAATTTCACATCCTTCAAAGTCCATACGTTTTTGGTTGACTACTCCACCATATGCTTAAACCCAAGCATTACAGTAAGCAACAACTCTCAGAATCTAGTATTCTTGTTTAATAATATAGTATTAATCTTACAAATGGTTTCCAGAAAAAGTATTATTGCAATGGAAGATCCTTTAATGACCCTTTTTTCTGTATCATTTTGTTATAATGAAAATATCTGTTCTTTGTTTAATAGTCAATTGACAAACTGGAGATTTGATGCCTGCAACAGGATGAGAACTGGCCCAATTTTTCACCAACAAACCAAGTTAATATCTTCAACTGATTTTTTACACAATCTGACTTGCTCAATCAGTTGAACATTTTGCTTAAAGTTATTACTCTATATGGTTGGATTCCTATTTAGCACCAAAATGCCTCATTTTATCACAAAAGACAATGAATTTCTAAGAAAAATTCATAAGAAATTTGCTGCCTGACCAAAAAGATTCCTAAGTTCTGCAACATGATTTTGGAGTAGGTACATTTCTGCACAAATATTGTTGGAGAACAAGAGATGCAGTGTCAAGTAATAACTTTCTGATTTTTCAGTTTTTCTTCCTCTAATTCTATGCTGATTCAACGTATCAGTTCAGTAACTGCGAATGTAAAATGTAACAGATATCGATGCAAGATTCCTTTGCGCGAGCACCAGAATCGACATTCAAAGATAAGAGATGCCAAATCTGCTAATTCAAAGCAGAGGAGCATTTTGATCTGAGCATCAGATCAAAGAAACTAGTTTTGTTCATTGAAATTGTGACATTTACAAAGCTAAAGTAACCCGTTACAACATCTAAGGTAAAGCTGTGACTGCAAACATACACAGAAAAAGGAATAAAAGACCTACCACCAAAGAAAGACGTATCACAAGTACTGCTATATCATCTTACAACAGCTCCGAGCCAAAGGAGGGAAAGCAAACACGAGCTCCAAGCAAACTAGGTTCTAAGATAGAGTTACAAGAAAAAGATGGAAATTTACTCCAACACAACATATCATTCCCTCCTTTGAGAATTAAAATTGTTCTGCTTGCACAGTTCCTGATACGGGTTAAAATATTCTTGCCACTTCGAGAACTGCCTTTTCAATGTCTTGTATGCTTCTAATTCCTGTGACATAAAGTTCATGGCAGGAACATCAAACTTCAACTCAATGAGAGATAGATCATCAAATAGTTCCAGCCCAACATTAGCCATTGTGACAATAGAATCAGCCTCCTTCTCATGGACTTTGGTAATCATGGTAATAAATTTCTCATCTTTATACATATAGTTTCCCTGCAGTTGACCTGTGCTAGATGGCTCACCTCCCACTGGATGGTATAAGAAGAACGGTTTCGGCCTTTGAGAGTCCAACCACATCTCATCTCTGTCATCAGCAAGAGAGATGGCTTCGTCATTGTTAAACAAGCTAGAATCTGATACAGCCATTTCTGCAGCAACCTGCATGACTTCATTGCACCGAAGGCCAAGTTCCACCTCTGATGAATATTCACACATGTTCTCCGAATCAGGACAGCCATTACGAAACTCATGAAGGGTAAGTAGAACAGGAAGTGGAAGAACAGGACCCACAAGTGAATCATCAGGCCACACTTTATGTGACCACTTAGTACTGCAGCCTGAGGGCTTCCTTAATAGGAAAGGAGGTAACTGAGGTAGGTCTGGAACAACTGAAAATTTCAAAGGCATTGTATTGTCATCAAACGGTGCATCAAATAGCTCAGAGTAGCCAGAGAAAGCCAGTTGTAAAAGTTCCAAAGGTAAGGTTGCCCACATTTGCCTTGAAGCAACTTCACATATGCTTGTTGGCGAGTTAATGTCATTAAAAACAATGGCAAGTGGAGGAGAGGACCTGAATCGACCAAATCCACAGACCTTCAACTTCTCACACAAAATTTCATGAAAGTCTAGACCGAAAGATTCCTTCTCCAAAGGACCCTTGCAAGACTTCATCTTGGAATCTAGGACTTCAGCAAGATTTCCATTCAAATACCCACGAAGATAGTCAAGATTCAAATACTTAAATTTTTTAGGAAATTTGTATTCATCATCGCCCAAAGAGTATAGCAAGCTATCCTCAAAATTCAACAATGGTTCTCTGTGACCTACATCTAATTTCTGCACCAAATCCCAAGAGGCACAATATCTTTGAGTTTCAATCTTTCCTGAAGACATTAGCCTAATCAAAGTAAAACCTCCAAATTCATCAGACTCACACACCAATTCAGAGATATCCCTATTCAAAATTCCAAATCCCAGGACAATATCTTTCTTCTGCTGCCAATCAACCCATTCAGGAAGAGCACCCTTCGAAAATTCTTCTCTAACAAGACAACTTCCACAATGACACTCTCGACTTGACAATAAGAGATCTGAAGGAAAATCCCACGCCAAAAATGGTTTGCAAAACTTTGTAATCTCCGAAGCAGTGGATCCTTCACTGGCTGGAGAAGGCCCATAACAGAACAGCCTAAACTCACAATTCCAAAACGATCCCAATATTATGCAAAAACCTGATTCAGTTGCCCACTGGTTCCTATCATCCCTTGATTGTGATCGCAATTCCGATAACCTAAACACATGAATATAGCATGGATTATCAAGATTATGAGCCCAACGCAACAGTGGCATCATTGGTTTACGCACATCACAAAGAACCAGTAGACTACGGGAAGCCAAAACAAATTGAAACCCATCAGCACCTGCTCTAGAAAACGCTAGGAACTGATCCTCTTCACCGACAGTATATGGGCTCAACATCTCAACCTTAGCTAAACAAATTAAGTTACATTGGTCAAGCCTATTATCAACTAAAAAGACAGCATCTGAGCGGGCAACAATCAAAATCCTAGGATGCCAACTAAACTCAACACCCAACCATTTATAATTCTCTGAACCACTCGAATCATCCCATAAAACTCTCAATTTACTCCCTTTAAAATAGGCATTGGGTATTTGACAATTAATATCAGACTCTAAATCAAAAAGGAACAATGCACCATTCTGTAGCAAAACCATACTTTCTTGAGGTAAATGCGGACTGAAACAAGCACTGACAATCGAGGAACTCTTGAACAACTTACAACCCAAGTAATCCAAAGCAGGGCTTTTGCTAGACTTAACAAATTTAACAGAATACCAATGAACAGAATACAAAGTACAAGCCATTAAATACCCAACAACAGAATCACCTGAATTTTCCTCGAAATCGTCATCGTCTACTGGGTTCACCAAAATCCTCAGTATTTTGTGATTGCAGTGGTTGTCTGAAATCAAGATGTCACCATCCCGATCACCCAGAAACTTGAAATCGTTGTCCTGGACGAGAACAGCGAAGAACCCAATCCGGTCATGGTTGGCGCCAGTCGTGAAGAAGACGACAACAATGTTTTGGTCGGGGCAGTGGAGAAGGTGGAGGCGATTGTGCAATAAAAAGGAAGAAGAAGCGGAGTCATCATAGAAGGACTCGAGGCCGAAGCGGGAAGCAATAGAGGAAGAAGTGGAGTAAGGGACAGAAGAAGTGGAGAGGAATCGAGAGAAAGAAAGGCGAGAAGGAGGAGGGAGGAGGGGAGGGAAAAGAGAGGGAGAAGAGAAAAGGGTTTTAGGAAAGGTTCTGGGTTTTGGGATGAAGAAAAGAGGACCAGGCGAAACAGAAGAGAGGAGAAGCGGCGGGTCCAAGGATTTACCTATAGGGAAATAAGATTTCCACTCCTCTGATAACTCCATCCTTGTTCTGGGCTATGGCGGAAACCTGAGAGCGAGAGGGAAAATTTGCAGTGCCTTGACAATTTATAGCAATTCTTGAATCAAATTATTCAAAATTCCTTAACCGTATCGTTAATTCCACTAAGTGTGATATCTTCAACCTATGTATTGTAAATTAACAAGCATTCCTTCCATGAATTTTCCTCCTCTAAGAAGAATAAACAGTATGAATAATATCACCGCCCAGTGCATTGGAAATTAATTATATAATATTTGTTACTCCTACATCTAACATAAAAATATTAAATAATATCATCACTTTATGTATTAAAAATTAATAAATTATCTAATAATTATTATTTTTAAAATTTTGATAAAAAATTTTAATATATATCAATTCACGCCTATAAATCTAAAAATCATCTCTTATTTACTTGAAAACATTCTTTACACGTCAAGTCATTAACGCAAATTTTCTCACTCATTCATCACCATTATCTACATACTTCATCCATTGAAGCACCAACTATAGCATTGAAATCAAATAAAATTTAACTCTAATATCATTTTCTCACAAAATCATTATTTAATCTCCAAAAAACTTAATCTATCCAAACGAAAAAAACCTACAGACTTGTAAAAACAAAACTGTTTTTTCACCTATTCGATATAAGATTTCGTAACAAAAACACTTCCTAGAAGACCTTTTAAAGTTATTAGGTATGGCTAAAATGGAATTAGCAAATATCAAACTTCCAATAAAATGGGATTAGAACTCATAATTTTTTAGATGAACGATTGATTGATTCTAGCACAGGGAAATTTTAACCGTTGGATCAGGTTAAGACACTAGTCTTCATCATTTATATAATGATATTTTATAAGCTAAGATGACCGATTACAAAGCATTAAATAACAGGGCAAAATGACAAAAAAATAAATTGCCCATATATCCAGAAGAGAAGTTAAAAGGAGAGGAAGAGAAACTATTCACCCCAGCACTAGTTAACTCCAACCCTGGAAAAGAAGATTGGAATCTGAACATCTGCTATGCTAATAAAATTATGTGTAGTCCCAAAACCTTCTGTCCAAAATCATTACTTTCGATTTCTCATGGCTTTTCATGAAATCGGATGCTCGTTTTTCGGTTGCCGTGAGGATGATAGACTTCATAATCGACGCAGAACTTCTTCCTTTGATCGTTTGCTTGGTGTGGATTCGGGCGATCTGGTAACAGTCATAAATAATCAAATGTAAGGAAGTAGAACATCCATTTTTAAGAATCAAGCTCAAAAACATATTCGCATCCTTTGATACTCGTTTTAGATGAAGCCCTTTCAGGATTTCAAAAAGTTCCATTCAAAACCTAGCATGATAAGCATCATGTAAAAGTAAAAGCCATGCAGACCATGAGGTATGAACCAAAAACACCCAAAATAAAGAAGCTTCTATGAGTACGAATGGCATGTGAGAAGTACATGCCCCTAGAATGCAAAACTCAGCATGCAAAACCAAAACAAGATGCAGAATATGACACTCCAATCGATCAGACTCAGTCAGGACTTGGCAGGGTGAATCCTATTTTCCAAAAAATTTCCAGGGTGAGGACCTGAATACATCCTTCAAAGTTCAAACAAGGGACAAAGAGAGATATAATACTTTCAAAGCCCCTTGACATCAGCCCCTTCTTATGTTACCTTGGTGAATTGGCGCGCTTTTGCACTGATTGATTTACAAGACTCGATGAATTACTCCCGGGTTCAACTTCAGCATCCTGAAATTTATTATCAATTAACAAGTGGTTAATCTGTGCCAGTGGAAATGACTAAATGCAATAGATCATTCAGGAAAAGAATAATTTTTCTAATCAGCATTTTAAAACCTGATTTTGAGTGTTAAGAAACTTAGTCCTCCAATTCTGCCCCAAGCAAAATCAGATGATGTAATAAACACTCTTCAAGGAAGTACATTAATCACCTCATTTTGCTTGCAAACTCATTAACAGGCTTGCTCATAACAATTAATTATCAGGTGAGCTAAAAAAAAAGAACATAGAATTCACATTTAGCAAAATTGTGTCCTAAATATCAACTTTTAAGAGAGTGAATAAATAGCTGCAAGTATTAATTGGGAGTACTTGGATAACGGGTAGAAACTAGGGACTGACCACCAAGTCCTTACCTCTTAAAAACGATAAATTGAGCCAGTTAAGGCAGCAGTAGCAGACATGAAGCCAGCTCACTCTCCTTTCAGTGTTATAGCTCTCACATCTTGGTGCAATGCAAAATCCAAAGAGGAGTGGTTTCTCTCCAGATAACCACTACCTCTAATCTGGAAATTTCTTGCCCACATACCCTTTATCCAAGCATCACCTTTTTTTAACAAAGAAATCAAATCAAGTACTGAAAGCATCATCAGGAATCCCCACCTCAGATGTACTATCTTTAGGCAACCCATCTTCTCTTAGTGCTTCACTTGATGCAGGATTCATGTCCCACAGAAATCCATTTTCAGTTCCAAGAGAAAGTTTATTGAAATCTCTATCCACGGCTCCTGAATGAGGTGCTATATATGCTACATATTTTTCTGAGATGCCATGTAAAAAACTACTCAGTTCCTTCCTGCACCTTTGCTTGGTGTCATAGTTGAGAAAAGCACAAACAACCAGAACAAGACATAAAAGAATCATTGCTGTCTAACGATGAACCCATATTATACCAATAGCATGTTATTCGCCAATATATGATGTATGTAATGGTGTATATCCATAACTCCATAAAGCTCAAAAAGGATTTAAAATTTTAACTCCTTCCAGCTAAAACTCGATAACATGGAGACACAACTCATAGGACCTTCGAAAAGGTTCAAAATGACTTATTGAAAACGTTTAAAAGAAAATAAATCATCTTATACACCAAGGACCTAACTCTCGGTCATTCATGTTAATATCAATCATATCTAAACTAAGACACTTGGTTCCCTCAGTCTTGAAACAAACGAAGTAACCCTTAAAATAACAAGAACTGCAAGGAAAATGAACAAGAATAAGCTCACCTGCCAGGTTATGAAGAGCAAGCTCAGCAGCTTGTTGCTGAGCATCCTTCCTTGTCTTGCCCATTCCAACACCAATCTTCTCACCAGTGAATAAAACCTAAATAAAATAAGCCAGCAAAATAAGCTGGTTTCTCAAAAGACATAAAACAGATTACACAAACTACAATTAGAGAGGGAAAAGAAAACAAGGGAACAAAGAGCATTTTTGCAAGCCGATTTCAGGAAGAAATACATGCCAATACATAAAGCAATTTCACAATTCAAGAAAACACAAACATAGTCGAAAAATCAGATCAATCCAGAAGAAATTCGTAAATTAGTAGCAAGGAAATAGACTTTTCACTGACCTCAACAGAAAATTGCAAATCCTTACTGGTGCTTACCACAGACCTGAACTCAAACTTTAGAGGACAAATTTTTTTCTTTTAAAAAAAAGGAAGAATTAAGCAAAGCAATCAAGCTTAAGTATAAACAAACTTGAACCTAACAAATTGTACCTTCGAACCACATCTTCGTCCAATTTCTTGTAGAACACCGATTGATAAATGGGAAGGTAGAAGATTCAATTTTCCACCTTCAGTAGAAGACACATGATTCTGACTTCCGCCAATCTCTGCAAGAGATTTCAAACAATAATTAATTGAAGCTGGGGCCAAACCTCTAAAACAGCCTTTACTCCAAATAGTAATAACAACGCATTTGCATTCCAAATCTTGGAACCATGTTCTTATCCCACAAGATTTAAATTAACACAACAATACACAAAAGGCTTTTCTACAGGTCAAGTAAACTCTTCTACTAATTTTGGTCTTTCTAGTCAACTTTTTCATTTATACATGTCTTTATATAATTTCTTGAGCATATTGACCTTCAATGCTTATATTCCAAACTTATCCTCCATGCATAGCACTTCTGTTTATTCAACACTCAAACTACTTCACTAAGTAATAGATTCACAAGACCACAAGCCTGCTTTCCATAGCATATCATGCAACCATTGCCAGACATGAGATGGAGCAAGAGTGATAGCTTCACATACCTAATGAATGAACTGCAGGCGGAACATTCTGTTTTTGAGTATCAAGTCCAGCACGTGCCTGAATATATACAATTAGAAAAGATATCCTTAATGATTCACACAGGTTATATGAGGTAAATCTGAAGGAATTTTGAACAAACCTCTTCAACTTTCACTTGGGATGCATGCGATGGTAAGCCAGTGGAAACAGAACCTGGCGCACTATGAGAAAATGGATTCTGATTTCGCAGTTTATCAGACTTTGTTGCATCAGATTCTTGAGCAGAGCCTGATGATCGATCATTTAGATGTGCTTTATTGTTGTCTTCTTCCACCAACCAACCTCCCTGAGGCAGTATTGACGATGAAGATATCTGTGCAGGTACTTTAGATAGGAGTGGAGGTTGGACTGAGCTCTGGTTCCTTAAGTCTAAACTCTGTTTTGTGCCAAGGGCTCTTCTCTTCATGTCATAATCACTATCAATAATGTTGCTATCTCTTCTTATAGAAGCTCCAAGCAAGGTGGGAGCTGAAAGCAGACCAGGAGCTCCAAGCAAACTAGGTTCTAAGATACAGTTAAAAACAAATAATGAGACAGAATATACTCCAACCCAGTACATCATGCCTTCAATTCAAAATAAAAGAATATTAAAAAAATGAAACCCATACTCTGAGAAGGCAATGGTGCTGTCAAAGATGCAGGACCAACAACATTGGGGGCAATTGTAGCAGGTAGCTGAGAGGTTTCAGACCTCAACTCAGGGTTATTCATTACAGGATGAGTGGAAGAGTCCGAAACATGCTTCTCCTCCTGAAGGAACTATAGATATTATAATAATGAAAATTAAGCAAAACGCATAATACAAAATAATCAAAAATTCAATCTGACGCATGCATATCAATAGGAGCAACTGAAAAGAATGATTAAAGCCAAAAGGTGTTAATTCACCAGATAACAGCCTTGCATGTATAGTTCAATTAAAATTTCATCCCAACTGACCAAAGTCCTCCACATAAATTCAATATTCGTTCACCATATAATTACCCAAAACTTACCAATTGATTCAATCTCCGCTCAACTTCAACTCCATTCATTCCTTCACTAATAGGCGCACCACTATTCCCATTTGGAGCAAAACCAGCATCCTGCAAAGTAATAACAAGTAAATACTTCAAATACAACTAGAAACTGAACGTTTCTCTCAATTAATTAATCATCAAATATTGTCAATTGAAGTACCTCTAACATCAAGTAGTTGCTCACATCAGGAGCAAGAGGCAGATTTACCACGTCATCTTCGTAAAAAACTTCAGATATTTTCCTTATTACATTCTCATCAAACTCTCTGGATAAAAAGTAGCATTAGAAATTAGAAATGCAATCATGAGAGGATGGTGAGGATGGATAGCCATCTACAAAGATTTGACCATTCAAAATTAACAGCTTACTTGAAAAACAAACCCCTGACATTGCATGCAACATTTCTTGCTACACAGAGAACAGGAACTGCATTTGCTGTCTAATAAAGGGGGGAGAAAATTTGCCAAAAAAATCAGGAACAAAAAAATCATATCTCAATAACTTGATTTACAAAAGGAATAGCATGTACCTCTGCCTGAGGAGCATAATATGGAGCAAATGGAGGAACTACGTGAACTCGAGGTTGATCCTTATCCTCCCAGACCTTTGAACGGTCATCAATTACCATTGCCATCTGAGGATGGCACTTGCCATCTCGGAACACATTTAGCAAAGATTTCCTAGAACCTGCAAAATTAAAAACAAACGTACATAAGAACTTTGCTAAAATAGATGGCAAGGTGGGTACCAACAAGAAAGGAAGACTACCTACTACTGCAGGTTCATTATTTGAACCATCAGTTTTTATATATGCTAATAGAAAATCAAGAATCAGAAACTTAATTTCCACAAAATAGCAGAATAACTTTCTGAAACTTCATATTCAGCATGATAAAGCATCAAGACCCAAGTACAAAAGAAAATATTAAAATTAGTAGAGACTTGCCAGATTTAACACAAACAACACGGTCCAGGAGTTGCTTTGAGCCTATCAGGTGTGCCTCTGGATCAAGAAGCCTCCACATCTCTAAGGCATAATCTCTTTCAGCCATAGTACAAACATAAACTTCAAAGCGTTTTCGTCCTTTTGCAGTCAAATAACTTCGCAATTCCTCCCATGCAGGACGTAACCTCACAAGCACACTGGTATCACGAATCTGAACAAAGAAAACTATTCATAAATGAGATAACATACACAGCATTATATTCCAAACAGACGCCATAAATCCATCCAATTTCTGTCTAAATGTTTCAAAGAACAATAATTGTAGACATTCACATAAAAATTTCATTTCTAGATCATTGAAATCACAGTAAGTTTAATTTACTACACTAAAACCGGTTTGGTAAGCACAGAAATGGGTTCAGTTAAATTGATAGTGATCCACAACTAAAATCCATTCGACTCAGCAGATTCCAATTCAAATCGTATCCTCTTTAAATTAAGGCATTGAACAAATCAACTATTTCTCTATTCGTCACAAATCCACACAATCGCAAAGAATCATCAAAATCATAGTCTAATAAACACAAATCCATTAATAGACAAACAACTACTTCAACAAAATACATGGCGCGAACTTTCTCTAACCTCAGGATTGATACGAGTAAGAACAATATTCCTCTCCTGCAACCTAATCACAGGCCGAACAACTTTCTCATGGCCATCAGACAAAGGAGGAACCTCTTCCATTTGAGCCTTAAACATTTTTCCATTATCCACGACGTAATCACTCTCCGTGTACTGCTTCAACAGCATCCGGTCATCTGTATACCTTCTTAATTCAGCCGACATCCCCGAACCCCGAATCAGATCATTCTCCCGCGCAAGCCAACCCCTTAGAGCTTCGATTCTATCCTCAAACGACTTCATTGTGTTCGCGACAATCAGCGTTTCGTCAAGATCAAAAACTATCGCGAGGCACCTTAAATTAAGCATTCCTAAGCAGGAATTGTACAGTCCTGTAGGAACCGAAAAGCACCAGAAGCACGGAAACTTCTTTTGTTTACTCGGCATTGGCACTAAGTGAACCTCCTCATCTCCAACCAAAACCACCGCCGTCTGAAGAAAAAAAAATAAACACAGTCGAAAATAACAAATTAAATTAAATTAAATTAAAAAACTAAAATGTAAATAACATTTCGACTTTAACGAAACCTTGAATTCGTAAAACCAAGAGGCGTGGAGGTGAATCAAATGCGGTTGTTCGACAGGGGAAGAGGATTCCAGCTTGCAACGAACGGGGGATGAGGAAACGGTGTGGAGAACGGAAAGAGGAATGCATCGTTCGCTGGGAGGGGAGATGTGGTGGATTCGAATTTCGTTGTTTGGGAATTGGAAATTCGTGTCCGAGACAGGGATAGTGTCCAGTTCTCCCAAACAAACGTCTCCGTGATAGACCACCGATTTAAACCCTAAACGACTCATTAAAGGAACAAAAATAAATCCCACCTCGATTCGGGAATAAGGAGTTTAAAGAAAGGAAATTTCCAAGAATGGATGGCAAAACAGTAAATGTACGGATAATTTGGGGCGAAAGATGGAAATTCCTACGTTCCTGCTTCTCTTCTCTCACTTACTCACTCACTCGCTCACTCTCTCTCTCTCTCTTCGCTTCTCGCTCGGCACTCCCTTCCTCCCTCCCTCCCTCTCTATCTCTCTAACCTACACGGGATTTTTTAAACAAGAGGGGGCTGATTCTCTATTTATAGGCGAGATGATCTCTTTATTTAAAGAGGCATCGGGTTTGGATAAAATTTCGAAAATACCAGGATGTACGGCCCAGTTCCCTTTGGCCAGCGAAACTGCGAATGTAATAAAATCATCATGATTAAGTTCGCAAGAGGTACAAGGGACGGTGGGACCATGCTGTACACGTGGCATTAAGTATGGCTCCTGATTCTGGACACCGCTTTGACACCGTTCATCTTTTTGTTTGGGATGGTGTCATAGACATTAGCTAAAAATAATTAAAATACTATTTTTTTAAGAACAAATATTTCATTTAATGCATTATGTCACCTAAAGAAAAAATTAATCTACTTAAACCGGAACAAAATAACCAATTTTATTGAAGTTTAAAAATTTTTCTAGTTTCTTTTTTATATATACCTCAAAATTAAAATATTGAAATGTACTAAAAATAAAATAAAATATTGGACAATAAAGCGTTCTAGTTTTACCATATGATGATTGGTTTAAGGAGTATGGTTTAATGCTTCAATATTTGATTTTTTTTCTATTTTTCATATAGTTTATCAAAAGCAAATTTTGCTTCAAATCATAAAAATGCATTGAATTTTAAGTTAAAATCATAGATTTAAAATAAAATATAAAAGTTATAGATACAAAGCTACTTAGTTTGTCTTGTTAAGATAAGCACAAACATAGATCACACAATGAAAAATGCATGGTATACAACTAATAATTTTTTTTATTTCAATTCAATCAAAGTCAATCATATTTTGCCATCGAAATCTTACCTTCTGTCTTAGTTTTGATTATTTATTAATTAAAAAGTAATAAAATTTTTATTTAATATTTTTTGTTATCATTTACGTCTATTGTCTTGTTAAGTGATTTTATGTTCACGTGATAATAATTTTTTAAAATATTTTATTTCACACATGAGCATGATCAAGTGGTAAAGTAATTAATATAAAATATCAAGTGAGATATCATTTTTTTAAGTCGGTATCATTATCTTTTAATATATTAATGACCAAAATAATGCTAATATTTAAAATTTTTATGAATAAACTATTATTTGTTAAAATTAAATGATTAAAATAAAAAAATTTTAAAAAGTTTGGTGATCAAAAAGATAATTAATATATACATAAGGTATAGTTAGTACATGCATAAAATATAATTAATACGTTGTATATCTATACTTTTAATCTAAAAAACATATCTATTAAATAGAATAAAATTCTTACTCATAAATTTAAGACTAATTTCACCTCTTGCTTCATTCAATTTCATCATTCTATCTATTATTAATGTAGCATTTTTTATATTTTATCCCGTTGGACCTTGTAACATTCTAATATCTAATTAGATAGGTTATGATAACTCTTGTCATAAACGCACATTCCTAATTTAAAAAACATATTTATAAAATATATGAAGGTACTAACTTATAAGTTTAAAATTCATTTAGTTTATTATTGATGTAAGATCCATTGCAAATACATGTCAATATATTTATAAAGTTTAGCTAAAATAGTGTCAATATTTAAATTGTTGTTGAATCAAATATTATTTTTTTTACAATTGAGTGATTAAAATAAAAAGTTTAAAAAATTTTAGTAATCAAAAAGATAATTTACTATAGAAAAATACATAGATAATGTTCAATCCTTATATACACAATGTATAGCTAGTACATGCATAAATTAAAGTTAATATGTCATGAGCTCATACTTCTCACTTAAAGGATATATTTATTAGATGTAATAAGATTATTGTTTATAAAATTAAGATTCGTTACGTTATTTATGGATACAAGATTCGTATATTTTATTTTATTTAATTATGTATTTATTTGATAAAAAAATTAAATAAATCTTGATATCATTGGGTATAAATTTAAATTTTTGATAAAAAATATATTTGTAAAATAAAAAAATAATTATTTATAAATCTAAAATTTATTTTATTTTTTTAATAATGTAAGATTGGTGTAAATACACGTTAATATATACTTAAAGTTTAACCAACTTTAGAAGGTTGTTCATTCACAAGGTACAACATTACCTACAAAGGATACAGTTTAACAGTTGCACACGATAATTGTTTAACAAGCGTGATTGACTGATTGGGACATAGGGGTCCCACCGAATGCTACTATTGTTGGATTCGATATGCGTATCTATGAAGGACTGATACACTCCCAACCACAGAAGCGTAGCCCACGCCGCACCATGCAACAGAGGCTTCTCTAACGCAACAGCTGAACACTGGAGGCAGTGGGGACACGGTCAAGGAAAAAGGCGGGCGCTGTATCAAACTAGAAAAACATCGGAAGCCTTCAACTCCAGGATAATCAAACACGTGGCGACACTCCATTCATTTAAACGTAGATTCTTTCCATTCGTTGATCACCATCTGGCAATTGTTCGTCAGCACGAATGTAACGTATCAAAAGCATCTGAGATTCTGTTCTGTGCAATCGCTCATGGTTTTTAACTGAAGAAAAATATACAGAGGAAGAGAGAGAGGTTTACTGAAACCGCAGCGATCGGTTAGGGTCGGGGGAGAGAAAGAAGCATTTGAAAACGATGTCGTCTCGTCCATTCGACGACGATGGCTACATAGGCTACGACCCTCGCCTCGCTTCGCAGCGATTCGAGTCGTACTCAAACTTCGAAACCGACTCGGTCAAGGACTCGGTTGCTGATTCCCCTCCGATGTTCAACAATCAATCATACGGTACTGGAGATGACGTGTTCGTATCTCAACCGACGCCGGAAACACCTTCTCCACCGCCGATCTACGGTAGTGGTGGCGGATACTCTGCTTTCTCACCGGAGGAGAACGGGAAGGGATTCAACGGAGAGTTTGGAGGACTGGATGATCCGATCTTGCCTCCACCTGCAGATATGGAGCCAGAGGAAGGCTTTGCTTTGAGAGAGTGGCGCAGGTAAGCTTACGAGTAACTCTGTCGAACTTCGTTTCTGTTGATTGACACATACATCAAATTTGAGAAATATTGAGCAAATTTCTGTAATATTCAGAATTTAAAAGGCTCATATATATAAATTGCTATTAGCTCTTTTTTTTTTTTTGGTAAAATCTGAGTTGATGAAGTGTCTGGAAGTTGATTTCTGATGATCTAACGGTTTAAGTTGAATCTATGGATTGGCAGACAGAACGCGATTCAGCTGGAGGAGAAGGAGAAGAAAGAGAAGGAGATGTTGGAGCAAATCATAAAGGAAGCAGACGAGTACAAAGTTGAATTCTATAGGAAGAGAAGCACTGCTGTTGAAAACAACAAAGCCTCCAACAGGGAGAAGGAGAAGGTGATGGATCAATCACAATTTCTTATACTACGTTTTATATTGTATAAAAAGTTTAATGGACTACCATATTTTTTGCCCATCACTTTCATCTTGTGAATCTTAAGCAAAAGTTTCATGTTTATAGATTTACCATGTTAACAAGCTTGTTTCTTGAGTATAATTCTACTTATGTGGAGAAAGATCGATATGGATTTTATTAAGCTACTTGATTTCCTAAGAAAATTGGTCTGGGATTATTAATTGATAACAGAGGTGGTTCTGAAGGTAACAGGACAAAAAGTGTGACTAGTGTGTGTATGTTACCTTAAAGTTGACATGAATTTATTATGCGTTTCGTTATCCTACACAGAGTTGTTGAAATTGCTTTAGCATTGACTGAGTTGCAGGTGTTGTGAAATTCCTTCTTCTTGGTAGTTGTCTTGTCATAGTTTATTATGTGAACATGCATTGTCATAATAGTTGACTTTTTGGTACCAAATAAATGATATATGCAATTGCTGTTCAGCTCTACTCTGAAAGGAAAGGTGCAGTGCAGTGTTCATGGTCATAGCCTATGTGGGCTGGAGCTAATTCTGAAGGTCATGGGATGAAGAGTGTGAATATTACCTTGAAGTTGACATGAATTTATGATGTGTTTCATTATCCTTCGTGGAGTTGGTGAATTTGCTTTAGCATTGACTAAGTGTTGCAGCTTATTGTGAAATCCATTCTTCTTGGTAGTTGACTTGTCATAGTATAATATTATGTGAACATGCATTGTCATAGTAGTTGACTTCCTGGCACCAAATTAAATGATATGCTCAATTGCTGTTTCAGCTTTACTCTGAAAGAAAAGGAGTAGTGCAGTGCTCATGGTCATAGCTGTTTACATTGTGGGACGGTTTTATGTTGAGTGTCAAGCCAGTGACTGACATTGAGATTACCTGTCTTGGATTGTATATGACAGTTATTCTTGGCAAGCCGGGAGAAGTTCCATGCTGAATCTGAGAAAAACTACTGGAAGGCAATTGCAGAACTTATCCCACATGAGGTGCCAGCTATAGAGAAGAGGGGGAAGAAAGATAAAGAGAAGAAACCTTCCATTGTTGTGATCCAGGGACCTAAACCTGGGAAGCCAACTGACCTCTCGAGAATGCGTCAGATACTTGTCAAGCTAAAGCACAATCCCCCTCCCCACATGAAGCCCAAACCGCCACCACCAGCAGAAGCCAAGAAAGATGCTAAAACCGGTACTCCTGCTCCCCCTGTGGCCCCTGGTGCTGGTCCCAGTGCTGCTCCCCCCAAGACAGCTGCTGCAACTACTCCAAAGACCGTTGCTGCTTCTTGAGAATGAAGCTGCTGAGTATTCATGTGACAAGTAAATTAGTGTGATTACAATACTTTTTTGGTTTGTATAATCCTTTACTTTTCTGTTTGAAAGTTCCTCTGGCTGTCGGTGTTCCGTGTGTTTTGTCTTTATGAATCAAAACCTTTTTGTTTTTGGGCCCTGCATATATATCTTGTCTAAGTTATCTTCTTGCCTTGGGCCTCCTTCTTGTCTAATTGTCTAGTCTAAGTTCATATTGTTTTACTTTTGAGGTCTGAGCAAGTGTTGCTTTGGGCAGGGGTGCAGAATTTTCCTGTCCTTGACATTAGTTTTCAATCCCGTGGGCTCAACCAGATGGCCCGCCTTGTTCGTTTCGGAAAGAATAGCCTCCTACATTGCGGCCGTCTTCGCTGAGCAGGACAAGCTGGGCGCAGTTACCGCCGCATGTCGGAGGAAAGGAGTCTGAGGTAAAACATAGACCGGTAAATGCCATCTGTTGGCGGCGCTTTCCATCCATAACATTATCACATTTTCCAATTTATTAAACGGAGAAGGGATATATGCACAGTTCGGAGCAAGTTCATGGTTATTACAGTTGAATTAGGCAGTTCTTTCTCGACACAGTTATATGGGTAAACATTAATACGACATTGTTAATTAAATGAGTCAAATTTTAGATATATATAGATACGTTTATTATATATATTATATGATACTATAAGATTAACACATTTATTAAATAAGTTTAATCAAATTTTATATGCCTTCATACTATTATGATGTCAAACTCATTTAAACATAAACATAATTAATCTGTTTAAATAGATATTATAAATAAATTAATTTGATGATATTATACAAATTGATATGATAACATAATTAATTAAATAAATTAAAATTATAACATTTGAGTTAAGTTGATTTAATCTGTTTAAGATATGATATTATCATATTTTAAATGTAGTAACACGTTTAACATTTGAAACACGATAATTTTAAATTTAAACTAACTCGACTCAATAACCAACTTCAATTGGGTACATTAATTTCTCACCAATTACACAAATGGGTCTATGGACATGGAATCAACCTTTGACCTTCTGGTCACAACTGCTGGTATTTTCAAAAAATGAGAGTAAAAAAAAAAAAGACTAGCAATGATCTGTAGTGTACCACTATCTCGTGTAAATCAAATGGAATGGTCAGGGCAGTAAAACTGTAAGAAAGATCAGGCAACCAGCCAGTGCATCACCTAGGAAGCATCTCTGTTATGTTGTGAGAACTATAAATGTTGGTTGAGGAAGAAGGATGAGCCGATTGCTTGCCTTTGGTCTTTGAAGAATATGATGTCCCCGAGCCACTAGCCCCCAAGTGCCGAGAGGTTGGACCCTTGCAAACACCTGGCTCAGTCAGTATCTTCTCATTGAGATGCACATCTTTGGAAAGCATCTCCACCACTTGCTTCATGGTTGGTCTTTGGTGTGCAGCTGCTTGGGTGCAAAACAGGGCCACCTTGATGAACCTCATCACCTCACCTTGTGGATAGTTAGTCAGCTCTGGATCAACAATGTCTAGAAGCCTTTCTTCTTGTTTGAGTTTCCATGTCTGCAAACAGCAGCATTTCTAGTTTCTGTCAGCACAAGTTCAGTTCCATTCCCTTAAAAGTAATGGGAAAAAGGTTTTGAAAGATACCCATTCAACCAGAAGCATCAATTCCACTCCAAATGCTGTCTTGCTGCTACTTCTGCCACTGATTACTTCAAGCACAAGCACCCCAAAACTGTATACATCTGCCTTCTTGGTTAGCTGTCCTAAAAGGGCATACTCCGGAGCCAAGTATCCACTGCAGAAACATAAGATTATAAGTGGGATGCAATGACAGAAATAGAAGAAATGGCAACAGAAGGCAAAGGACATGAAAGAAAATCATGAGAAAGATTCCATGTTGTAGATCTGAGTAAGCCTTTTACGTGAGAGTTCCATGTCTTTTATCTTTCCTGTTCTATGCTTGCTAATGTTGAAACAGAGAATTTGCAGACGCTAAAAAGATGGTTTTGTAAGGCATGAATCCTTCAAACCTCATGAATTTAAACAGTTTAGGCTGCTCATAATCAAAGGATGGAATGCAATGAGAATCAAGCTTACACTGTTCCTGCTACTCGAGTACTGACATGAGTGACATTTTCCGGGAAAAGCTTAGCTAGACCGAAATCCCCAATTTTAGGCTGAAAATTTCTATCTAGAAGTATATTACTAGCTTTAATATCCCTGTGGACGATATGGGGTACAGCTTCATAATGAAGAAATGCAAGACCAGAAGCTGTACCCAAGCATATAGCAGCTCTCCTAGGCCAATCCAGAGCAACGTATTTACTTCTCGAACCTGAAAAATTATGATTTCTGGACATTAGCACACCCTGAAAGCTTGAAACCTACCTACATTTTTGTCTCTTAAGTAGAATGCATTGGATAGACATAAGACAAAGTAGAAGGCATAGGAGTTATATGGTTACCAAGTAAAACACTGGCAAGGCTGTTATTCTCCAGATACTCGTAAACCAATATCCGATGATTGTCATCAACGCAACAGCCAACTAGTTCAACAAGGTTCGGATGTCGTATGTTTGATATCATATCGATCTCTGTCACGAATTCACGCGATCCTTGTTTAGACTCTGCAGAGAGAGTCTTGATGGCTACCTGAGTACCATCTCTCAAAACTCCCTGCAATCAATCACAAAAGGCAAAGTCTTAGGACTATTATTTTCCTAATAAATCTAACATGGCATTGACACAGGACCCCAGTATGCATACAGAAACCAGAAAATCTGCTCTCTCTTCTCTCTCTCTCTCTCTCTCTCTCTTACACACACACACACACAAACTCATGCGAAAACACCCAGCAGACACAGATGCTCTCTTCCAAAGGATTGAACATCTACTGTAAAGACATCAAAACTAAAGAATGGCCATTTTGCTTTACCCTGTAGACAACTCCAAAACCACCTCCACCGATTCTGTTTGATGGATGGAAATCTGATGTTGCTGATCTCAACGAATTATATGAAAAGAGCCTTATATTGTCGGTGGCAAACTCTAGCCATGCACAAATACAACAAATACATGAGCAGATGAGAACCTTGTCAGGTACTACATAATACAAAAATATCCAATAGAAAACAAAAAGTAGAACGATCTGATGGCACCCTGTGCTTCAAACAGAAAAATAAATCAGGAAAGCACAAGGAACTCATTAGAGAAAAATAAATGAATCTACTGTAGGCTAGACCAGAAACACAGCAAAAGAGAGTAAGCCAATGTTGAGTTTTTCAGAAGTTCTTTGTTCTTCCAAATGTTTTTGATATATCAGGTACTCATTCTACTGATATACAGCCTAACAATGTGCTCTTTCCTTGGTGATTCTTTTACAGAAACAACCAAAACCAAAGTCAGTAGTAGGAATTTCAACAATATATAGAAAAAGAAGCCACAAAACCGTAATTAGCACATATTTCACTACCAAGCAGACCCACATTTTCTTTCCAGGCTTTAACAACCTGCATTGCCTACGTATGTTCAACTAGTTGTCTTGTTGGTAAAGTAAGTGGATCAAGAGCTCAAACAAAGGAACAGAGCTTTACACAAATGCCGTTGAAAGGTGATTACAGAATTGCCTTCCTCTAAAATGCTTACAACTTTGACAATCTAAATAAAAAAGAAGCAGAAAACAACAAAAGAAACAAGCCCATAAACAAATCAACTGAATTAGACTCAAATTCTTACCATGAGCTTGTTTCTGGTCCTGACTATTCCTTCCCTTGAACAGTTCAAACAAACCAAAGCACCTACAACTCATGGCAAACACAGTTACCAAATTAAGATCTTGGAGCTACACACCTGAACCCATATAAACCAGATCTCTCATTCAACCCTGAAAACACCAAGCCAAAGACTTGTTAATTGTCTCATAAAGCAAAAAGAAGCAATATTGAAGGCAGTAAAGTACCCAACAGAACCAGTTAAATGAAACAGAACAAAAAGATCAAGTAGGTAAATTCGCCAACCTAGCAAACCTAGAATGTTAAGATTTAGTAAAACCTTCTCAGAATCAACAAATCCTAACCTGAGTTCCCAGGTGTTTGTATGCTGATAAGATATGGTTTGGTTGAAGAAAATTCCGAAAGAAAGCCCCTCGAAGGATGGTGGAGCAGACAGAATTGGGAAACAAGTAGATCCATTTATCATCAAAGGGTAGACGAAATGTGTTGTAAAATTTGACTAGGAATTGATAAATAGGAGGAAGCAAAGAGTTGGCCATTAACACAAAGGGGTGAAAGAGATACTGAAAGTGACAACCTTGGGTTAGATTTTCTTAAAAATGGCAAAGACACGATAGCCGAAAAGCCTTGTTCACACTTTGATGATAAGAGTTGGAGTTGGTGAGTTTGATAGGCAGTGACTTTTGCTTTCAATAAACTAAAGGAGTTTTCATTAGTATTTGTGGATACTTGCATTTCTTAATTTAGACGGGCAAATGGTTTTGTTGACTTGTAGGATTGCTTTCTTCAACCATTCAAACTCCTTTTGCCAAAAAAAACCTATCAAAATTTCTCTATAAGTAAACTAAAACAAAGCAAAGCATTGCCCCGAAGTTCCATTTTCCAAAAGGATTTGGCTTTGATGATAGTAATTTAAGGTCAAATAGAGAACTTGCCAGTGGATTTGACATTGCCTCTGACTATTTCTGAAAGCAAAATCTAGCAGCAAACTGCAAACATGGTCCACAAGACCCTGGACGGTGGACCTTCATATATTTGGAAGCAAATGGGAGCAGCATCAAGGCTTCACTCTCAATTTTCAAAAAGTCAAAGGAGTTGTAGAAAATCAAGCACAGTTCCACAAGTTGTCCTGTCATAATGAAACTACTTTTGACATTTATGAATTGGAATGTGAAATGGATTCTTGCTTGTTTTTTCTGCGCCTTCTTCTCACAGTGACACCTTGTGTCAACTTGGCCAGTAAGCCTGCTTGAAACTGTTTGCCTTGGAAGTCTACAATTTTGACAGAATCAAAGTATCCCAAAAGCAAGAATTCATATTTAACCATCCCTATCTCCTTCAGTGGTCGAATCCTAGTATGTTTGACTTGAGACAATTGTTCCTGGAGGGTGTCACTAGGAAATTTCCACTGTTGAAATTATCCTTTAAAGTCTCCTTACTTAACTTGAAAAAGAAAAGAAAAGAAAACTACAAGTAGATAATATCTTATTAGAGTTATACTATGATTCTGTCGATTAATTAAAAATAGAGTAGGAATGGGATTATGATTAACCTTATATATATCTTATTTATCGAGTCTCTGTTAACTTATTCAGTTAATTTCTCTTCTTAGAGCAAATGTCGAAGCTAACTCCAAACAAAGCAAACGGCCTTGACACGGAGAATCATTCGTGGGGCCAAAATCTGCAAGAGGCGACTGTTAGCATCCCAGTTTCTCAGGGAACCAGATCAAGGGACGTTATCTGCGATATAAAGAAGAAGTATCTGACGATTGGGTTAAAGGGTCAGGCTCCGATTCTTGACGGGGAGTTGTTCGGGATGGTGAAACCCGACGAATGCTACTGGAGCTTGGAGGACCAAAGCATGATCTCTGTGTTTCTGACCAAGTGTGATAAGTCCAACTGGTGGAAATCCTTGTTGAAGGGAGGTCCCGAGATTGACACTCAGAAGGCAGAACCTGAGCCCAGCAAGTTGTCTGATTTGGACTTTGAAACGAGGTCAGCCGTCGAGAAGATAATGTTTGATCAGAGACAGAAACAATTGGGGCTTCCCACCAGCCAGGAGATCGAGAACCAAGAGATGCTCAAGAAATTCATGGCTCAGAATCCGAATTTCGACTTCTCCAATGCTAAGATGATGTAAAGCCAATAAGATTAGCTCCATACATTTTTTCGTTTTTAGTTACATTATAATATCTTATTCGGGTTACTATTAATTAGAGTTACCCTCTAAATAATATTAAGATTAATTCCTTTTTATATTTTATTTATTTATTTATTTACATAGTTTAAAATTTTTTAATACATAATTTAGAGTTCTCTATTTTATATTATTAATAAAATTATGAAAATTTCCAAAATTTGTTTAAAAGATATCTATATTATATAAAAGGAAGCTCTGACGGGACTTGTAACGCTTGGTCAAGCGAAGGTTAAAGGAGGGGTTGTGAAGCTTGAACAAAGCTTTCAACCGTCTTTTAATAGAATTCTCAAATTTTGTAACGTATTTGATGGATGAGTTGTATTTTTAAATTTAATCACGTGTTTAATAAATGAACCGTATTTTAAAGAATATAAGTTTGACGGACCTCCAATAAAAACTAATTCCACTAAATTAATTCAATGGAAAGGTACTTGAAAAGTATTGCTATTAGAACCTTTATTTATTTAACTGTCTACCTTAAAAGATTTTGGTTGGAAGTTGGTACAAAAGATTGGCTGCGCACCAGGGAATTCTGTTTTGAGTTATCTACACTGTGGGTCAATTTGTGCCGTTTGTGCTCCATCATTGAAACTTACGAGGCTTGAAGGAAGCACTCTGCTTTGTCTTTTTGACTTAATTACTGATTTTTTATTTTTTAAATTATATTATATTTTTTTATTATACTCAAAACCCATAATTTTTATAAAAAAAAATTATAACCTTTCAATTCAATTCAATTTTGACTTAAACACTAATTTTTTATTTTTTAACTTATTTTATTATTATACTCAAAACCTGTAATTTTTACTTTCAATTCAATTTCAATTAATTTTTTTATACATATTCTTAAATATCACATCATATATCTTATCAATCCATAAAATCAATGGATTAATAATTTTTTAAAAAATTAATAGATCAATAGTGTAAATCAACATTGAATTTGACTGTTCTTAATTTTGCGTTTAAATTAAAAGTTCATGTCAATACGAACTAAAAAATAACGATTTTTTTAATAATTTTTTTCCGTATGAAGTAAAATAGTTTAAATTTTTTTTAATATATAAGCCATGTCTTTTAATGCCTCTATCACTTTATTTGTGCTTGTCTAGCTTGCAATTACTGAAAAAACCGACCTCATAAATTGCATATTCTTAATGACAAAAACCAAAAAAAAAAAATACTGATTTAGTTGGAGTAAACTACTTATCATGTCCCCATCCAGCCGGTGCCTCCTGAGTTAAAAAGGTCAAGGTGTTTTTTCAGGGCTCCCAGGGATCCCTGGAACCAGGATGTTACTGCTAAATGGTAAAATCAAGAGGCAGAAAACTCTGGTTTTGGGGTATTTTTTGTAGTTTGAGGAAGGCAGGGTGCAGTTCCATAGCTTCCATTTCCAGGAATCACAGTTTAATTATAAAGAGTTTCTTGTTTCCCAAGATCTAACTCATTCTTACACATTAATATACTGGAGGATTGATTGCCTACAAGAGCTAACAGATTACAGAAATTTGAAATGTGGCTTACCAATCAGCTTCTTTTGAGAAACAGGTTGTTTCTTAATCATCGTGCTGAATGAGATTCCACGTAGGAATATGATGAGCTCGTAAATCGATATATATTTTTGGAATGGAAAGTCCGCTGGTCAGCTAGCGCGCTGGCTGGCTGGTGGGAGAGGAGTTTCCTCTATCGCTACTGAGATCGTTGTATTCCATTTCAATCCCATCGATGCAGAATGAATTATTGTTGACACTTGGCTCAGAGCTAGCATTGCTGCTTGTGGCAAGAGGAGAATCAGAAACACTTACAGTCCTGCTCTTCGTGGATCCTGATCTCACACTATATATGGAGGAAGCTGGAACATTTGTCATAAGAGGACGCTGGTTACCTGAAATACTTCGCCTGATATCCTGCACAAGAAAAGATCCGGAAATTACTAATGATAGTTAAATACCAAACAAGAACAGTACTCGATTATTAGAGCATGCCACAGTGAGGGAGTATCAACAAGCTTCTAGGTATGATTCATAAAGTTGACAGAATGAGGCAATGTAAAGAAAGAGATGTATACCATGTGTCTCAGAGCCATATCCAGAGACTTCTTTGAGAGTGTTCTCCCAAAGCCTGAGCTGTCAAGGGAAGCAGATAATTTTGCAGTAGGGTTATTACGAGGATTGTCATCTTGTTTTGGGGGTACCAGTTTCCTCATATTTACCACTCTCTCAACCATTTTTGTTCCTATTACTACTGGACTGTCATTGTCACTACCATTGGTATCTGCTCTACGAGCAGAACGAATGGAGCTCCCATTACCACAGACACTGCCACTTGATGCCCTACTTCTAGCAGGAGAGCAGGACTGACGTCTTGGTCTTCCATTAGAACTGGCCTCAACAGAAGCTGACCTGGTGCCACCCGCTGCTGGCCTCCCCCGTGAGGCTGAAGCTGGTCTTTCTGGCAATGATGTTCTTAAATTTGGTGGGGTATCAAGTGAAAAACCAGGCATCTCAGACGGTTTCCAAGGCCTAGACTTTACTGTTGGAGATGTGCCTCGCGATGGTACTGAATTTTTCGATGTAGTGGGAGCTGATTTTGTTACAGAAGATGTAGCGGCGGCTGATTTCATAACTGAAGAAGTAAGGGGAGCTGATTTTGGTACTGAAGAAGTTGTGGGAGCTGATCTCGTTACTGAAGATGATCGACCAGTAGGTGCAGATGCAATAGGAGTACTAGATGAGGTAGCTGGTCGACGGGTTGGTGTAGCTGATCTTGACATTGACTTGGAAGCTGGCAATGAGGGTCTAGCAGTTGGTGTGGAAGAACGTGCTGCGGATCTAGTTGGAGTTGAGGATCTTGCTGTAGAAGCAGCAGGTTTTGCGGAAGGCAAGGTGGCTCGTGATGTAGGTGTAGAAGATCTCGTAGGCTTGGTTGCTGTGGGTAGAGTGGGCCGGCCAGTAGGTGTTGCAGGTCTACTAGCAGATTTCGGACCCCCTGAAGATGATGGCCTTTTATTAAGAGTTGTGGAAGAGTTTAGTCCGGCTGACAAAGTTTGTTGCTTTGGTGCTAAAGTACTCTTTGAAGCAGGTTCCTCCGGGACATTTGCCAGCTGAAACCCCAAGGCAAAATAAATTTGCAAGATATGACAATGGGGAAGCAACAAAAATCTCTAACAACCACAGAGCAAATATTTTCAGCAAACTGTCATAACTTGACAACTGGAAAAAGCTGAAACAACACATGCCAAAGGGATCTAATGCTCCCAGTATAACATGATTGAAACTGAAATCTCTATTAGAACTTTAGTTTGGCAATCTGCATAGGCTGATCACAGCAGAAGAAAAGGGTAGAAAGCATCCAGAACTCAAATCACATAAGAGTTCTTACCCTTGTTTTCAGAGCAGTAGGGCGAGCATTAGACATCCCAATCTGGCTCATTAGAGTCTTCTGTGGCTCCATCTCCAAAGAGGGAAATAGTGGTGTACCAGGTGGAGTAAGAAGCCTGAAGGCAGAAGATATCTCCCGTCAATACAGAGCAAAGAAACAATTTTAGTGTTGAATCACATGATTATGATCGATCTGAATTCAATGTGTAACAATCAGGAAATGTCAATTATCACTCAGGTATGCATCACTGTTGTTTTGCTGTCAAAGCAACAAATAATTACTCAGTTTTGAAAAAAAACATAAGCTTTTCCATTTTTGGAAAAAAAGTAAGAGCTTTAACAAATCATATGCTAACGGTGATAGCAGCCAAAACAAAGGTTATCTAAATGCAAGTATAGAAAGAAAAATCCCATTTAGAACTATTAGTGACAACATCCTACAAATGGCACAAAATTATATTGAGAGAAAGGTAGCAGAGGGACCCTCAGAATTATTAATATTGCTGAAGCAGCAAACCTAATAGAAGCATTATGCCATATCCTTCAACTAAAAAATCCAGCCATTGGCTTTTTGAGACAAATACCATATCCAAACTTTGAACTCTTAAAAGTTTTCATCTGATATATGACTGATCGGAACACTCTAAAAAAAAATGCAAGTAATAAATTTTAATTCTTCATTTAAAACAAAATGCCCAAATGCAAATTTTGCAAAAAGCAAGTGAAGCCTTTCTTTTAAAAGATTTGAAATGATGTCTAGTTCTTCTCTTTATGGCTTAATTGGTACCCACACCTCTCCCTCTTAAAAGGGAAGCTTTAAGATCAAATCATTGCTACTTATGCTACTAAAACCTTAAACTAAAAAGTTGCTCACACAAACTTCATCCTTTTTTAGTTTGCTCACACAACCATCATCCTTTCTTCATTTAAAAAACTGAAAAAGGGAAATTTGTTAAACACGTAGATTCCATTGACCAAAACTCAGAGCTCCTTACTTATAGTAAACTATAAACAACCAAAACAGAGATCGATCTTAAATTCTCAAGCTAAAAAAGAAAAGGAAAAATACAATTAGAAATCAATGGATCGCTGAATCCTGTTAAAAAAATAAATCAACAAAAACACAGAGAAAGAGGTGGAGATATCTTCAGCATTTACCAATCATAATCTGACTTTTCATTCTCCGAATTCAAAAAATTATCAGCTGCAGTCTTCCGTACCGGCACAGCCGGTACAATCTTCGATATCGGAGAGCCGCCGCCGCCGCCGTTTCCGTTGACGTTGATGTTCGATCCTGCACAAACAATCAGTTAAGAAGCTTCCATCTTCCACAAGGAAGAACCTTAAGAGAAAAAAAAACGAAAGTCCGTAACGTTTTTACCTAGAGGAGCATTGAGTTGTTCCGAGTTGTGAAGCGAGAGAAGATTGTTGTTCTTCTCTTTCTCTTTCTCTCGTCTCCGCATTTCCAGGAACAAAGCCAGCTCCTCGTCTCTCTCTTTCATCACCATTTCCGATCTCCAAAAACCGATCAAAGCACACCAAAATCTACCTCTTTCAGATCCCAAATCAAGCTTTCAAAGCCACAAAAATGGAACCAAAAATCCAAATAAAAAAAAAGAAAAAAAAACAAAGGTTGGTGCAACGAAGCTGGAGGATCTTATTAGTTATGACAACATCATTTCCGTGTAAAAGAGGGAAATATTCAATCTTTCACAGAACAGAATTTTTTTTTCTCTTTTTTTATTTGAATTAAATATGATTTTTTTGAATGATCTGACAGGGAACAGGTGTGAGTGTTAGTTCAGACGAAATTTGAAAAAAACTGAGGGAAGAAGGGACGGAACGAAGCATTACTACCGGGGTGTCGCTCTTGCAGGTGTTTATATCATTAAGTCATTATCACTAGGATAATCACCAAAATGCCATTTATCATGGAGGGCCCCTTTGGATATTGATGTAATATATTTAATAGTAATAATTGAAACTCATTTTTCTTTATTAATTTTGATTAATTATTTCGATTTAAATAGGATATTTTTTATATATATTTTTAAAAAAATGTATTATTGATGAGCAATTTTTTAATTAATATTTTTATGAATAAGTTGAATTATTACATTTAACATGTTTGATCGATGTGAATAATTAATATTTTATTAAATAAATTAAATTTTATATGACACAATAAATTGTTTAAATACAATTAATCTGATTAAATGAGTATTATAAACGGATTAAATGTATCATATTATATGAATTAATATACTAATGTGGTTAATTAAATAAGTTAATCTATTTAAAACACGAGACATTGAATACAAAATTATTGGATCTTATTAAAATGTCGCGAGAAAAATAGTTTCAATTGAGGTAATGAGTGATGAGTAATGAGTGGCAATTTCGTAGTTAGATTGTAAAACCATGTCTACTTACAGAACAGTTTTGAAGAAAACATTCCTGAGGGCAGCGCATGGCGGACGATTGACTTTTCAACATATAAGCTAAAATCCGCCGCGACGCACCGGATCCTTCCCTTTGAAGTTTCAATTCAAAAGCTCGGGTCGGGCATTCAAAAGCTGAGATTTAAACGAGGGCTGTAGGATTTCTCGAGATGAACGATCGTCTTTCCTACGGCCCTGATTTAATGAAGAGAGGGGTTTTTAAACCCTGAAACACAGGACAATGGGCCTCGTGAATCGAGCGGTTTAAACTCGGCGCCTGCATGCATTTTTATTTCTGGGCCCCAATCAGTCCATCCCAGAAAAAAAAAAAGAAAAACATTTTGATTGCCATTTTTTGGAAATTTGGAAAGAGACAAAATGCTTGTTCATTTTTTAAATATTTAATTATTCACCGTTTCCCATATTTCCTGTTAAATAATGATATAATATTTAAAAACATTTAAATTTAAATTTATTTTTTATTACATTTAATAAAATTTTTATAATTTTATATTCAATTCAATAATTAAAATATAATTTATTATTTTATGTGATAAAAAATTAACATGATTATAATATTAATCTGAAATGTTAATTTATAATAATAAATAATAATATAATTACGTGATATTTTTATAATTTATATTATCATTCAATTTTTTATATTTAATACTTTAATAAACACTGTAATCTAATACTAGTAGGTAGTAGGCTAATACTTAAAAGATGAATTAAAAGGGAGGTAAGTTCAACAAACGACAATGCTACTATGATTTCAAGCTAGAAACCTAAATGCTGATGCTACTAACATTGCATTTGGGGTCCTACTAGAGTTGGCAGGCTTCATCTACTGAGTCTCCAGGGGAACAGTATCATAAGGAAAGAAAAAACAGAAGCAGAAGACCTTATTTTGAGCCGCAATTAAAGAGCAAAATTGATGATAACTGATGTTGAAACGAAGCATTTGCTTTGTCCCTATCTATCACTTGGATTTGATATTCATGTTTACTCATATAATACGACACAATGAAGATACATGAACACGAAATTAAATCTTTTTATCAGTATTTAATAGAAATATCATTTAACAATTTTAGACATGACACAATACAACATCCATCGTGTTTGAATTCATGATAATTGTTTAGACACGACACGATTAAGACATATAAACACGAAATCCCCTACTGATCACATGGACAAAATACCCTAATCAAATGATCTCAAGATGAAATTTAGAGCTGCAGAAAGCAATAGAGGGTAACTGGGGAATGAGCCAATTTGGCGGTCTCAAATCCTTTTGAGTCCCACATCTGTTTTCTTTCCCCATGTCATTTCAGGCCCCATCGTAAGAGATTCATAATTCATCTCATCTCCTTCCTTGTTTCCTTTGTAATGAATTTACACAAAGCTTAGCTGCACATGGGTCACGTGCCTTACACTCTTTTTTTGATTGATTTTTTCTGGAGTCTAGAGTTTTCCATGATTGAATGGTCGGTGTCAGAGGATTGCAGGTGAAAGGATGTTCATGAATGCAAAGCACATTCATACAAGCTTTGACAAATTAATCCCATCTGGGCCAGGGTCACACATGAACTTAAATCCTACCTATATCTTGTCCTAAGGATGAAGGTTTTGTCTATATTAATCAAGCTTAGAAAAAGTACCGCAAATCAAGATGATATGCTGGTTGAAGAGATTTACTGAATCAAACAATATCATTACCAAGATATTCTTAATTAAAGGCATTAAAATGGGTCAAGCCTACCTAATCCGCCATGGCCATAGAATTTGGATCCTTCAGGTTGCCTAGCCCAAGCCTGTCTTTGGGCCGATAGAACCATGATTCAACCTCAAAGCAACAAAATTTTTGATTAACATGCGGCCATCTATCAAAAGGGGAACAAAAGAAATTAAGGCAATGCCTCCAAAAGCCAGCATTTCAAGAAGCGGATAGAAGTATGATGTAGCTGCAAATATAAAGCATGGTGTTATCTCCCATGTGTAATGTGCAAGACTTGCATGAAGATGCCATTAGTGAACAGTAAAAGCAACCCGGACTGTGAAGAACGGAATCATTCTAATAATACTATTGGCAAAGAATGTTCTGTAACAGGAAAAATAATTCCAATTTAAGAGCCTAAATAGCAGGCCAGCAAGCACATGAGATGCAGAGAATGTACAATTAAAACATTTGATCAAATGGCAAACTGAATTGCAATCAAGCATCATCAGCATCACTTCCACCAACCATAGCTTCCTGACTCACCAAGTAATTGCTTCCATCAGGGCCCAACACCTTAAACCTGCTCCACGGTTAAATAGACATTTGAGAACACTGAAATATTACATGCAACCAAAAGAAACAGTGATATGGCACCTCTCAAGAATGAATTTTCCCTCTTTGTACTTCTGTGTCTTCTCATGTGCAGCCTCCTACAATCAGTCACACTGTTAGGAAAAGGAGATAAGTTCTAAGAAATTAAATTAACTCATGCAACTAAGCCTTGTAAAGAAATCAAACCAGCAAAAACTCAATTTCAAAACTACTTCTTACGTATTTCCATCCCACGATCGAGCCACACCCAACACAGAATATATCAACAACAGTGTGCATCCCAGTCATCATCAAGCGCTCTTCTTTCTCTCCTACTGTGATATTCACACTGTTATGCATTAAGAAAGAAAATATGTTATTTGAACCATTCATATCTGCAGAGTGCACATGACATAAGTAATGGAGCATGCCCCTAGACTCTCAATTCTATCGCAAAAAAATAGTCATTTTGCATTCGCCTATCCTGTGATTTTTCTTACACAATTAGTGTACTTCATTTATAATTTAGAATATGCAGAAAGAGGGGAACAAATGGAAAGGGAACGACTGATTGATTGATTCTGGCCGTCTGTTTTCCTTTGGCTTGTTCTAGAATAGAGGGTAGTTGATTGGTTTAGATTGTTGACTTCTTAATTGCTTCTTTAGTAGAAATAAGACAGAACTCATTCATTTCTTTTTTGCAAATAAATAAAAAGGAAGGAAAAGGGCATACCATACCACAAAAAACACCTTACAAATGCATAGCTTTCAATTCAACGATTGCAATAAGAGACCATGTATAATAATATTAGTAGAAAAACACGTATGCGCATAACTTTTGAATAGAAAAGAATATTTCTAGGCAACGCTCTATGGAGACAAAAACTGGCTTTAAAAAGTACACGATGTGGAAATACTTACACCCTATCAAAGAGATAAGCCTTTCCATGCCTGCAGTGGAAAGACTGAAACACAAGGTAAAGGCTGGGTTAGTATATCTCTGCGTTGCTGAACAATACCTAAAATAACAGAAGTCAATGAAAAACTTGGCTATGATGAAGAGATAGGTAAGGCAGAGAATCCATTTCAATAAGAGAAAGGAAGGGTCTATTGACAATCTCCCCCAACTGTCATATCCTTTTTTCCATCGATCAAGCAACAAAATGGCTTGATAAAAATCAGAAACAAATGTATGTTCATGTATGATGATAGTTAAGTATATTCTATGGACATTTGAAACAAGTCAGACTGTATCTAAAATAAAATCAAGTTAATAGTCAGCAAAAAAAGGATGAGGTGATTCTAAAACAAATAAAAATCTAAAATGAAGCATGATAGACTGATGTATGACCTGCTCATTCTCCTTCTTCCCTTTGTCTCGAATTTTTTATGTTCAAATTTACAACACCGCACAAAATGTTAGATGTAACATCGAATGAACTCCAATTCAATCAGCCAAGTTGCTATTTAAGAACTACTCCGTAATCAAAAAGAGAAATGGAGTTGCATACGAGAAAGTTACTTTCTAGCACCAATTTAAAAGCCCCATAAAATCAAAAGAGCTTGCTAAGAACAGTCACCGTCATTAAGACAGACGTGACCCTCCTTAGACTTCCTCCCATCAAAACGACCCCATCCATCAAAGTTCTAAGCAAATATTTATTCCATAGCAACACCCATAATTGCAAAACGAAAAGAAATCACATTGAATGCTATGTGGGCAATCTTTGGGCGTATTTCTCTCATGAAAAATCATCAAAGAGAAACAGCATGAGGCATTGCATCCCCTAGGAAAAACTTCAACGACCATAAATTACAGAGCCATCAACCTGTTTCATTTTTAAATTCTTAACATGAAAAATACAGCTATGATGCAGCCTGATATGATTGTTCAAATCATTTTCACTAGTTTTTGGGTTCATTTGTCACAGATTTATCAATTCCCATATCCCAAAAGAACCTCCCAAGGAACCCCGGATCAAAGTAACCCCATAGTGAACTAATGCATTCACAAAAAGCAGAACAAAGGATTTTACAAACAATCTACAAAAAAGAGGACCTTAGAGATAATGTCATCGAGGAGAGCAAGATGGGTTTGGCAGTGCTTGCAGCTATAAACGCTTCCGTCGAGAGTGATCACGAATAGCCTTCCCATTCTGTTTTCTTTCTACTTAACCTTCCAAAAACAAAAAAAAAAACCCACAAAAAAAAAGCAAATAAATAACTGAGAAAAAAAGAAAAAAAAAAGGTTGATGGAAAATGGATCGAGAAAGAAACCAAAGATGAAGGGAAAAGTAATGGCGGACGTGGTGCGTTGGAAAGCGTTTGGGCGCTGATTGTCAGTTTGTCACACAGAGCAAAAGAGAACTCTTAATCGTGACATTTGATCCAATGGTGCACCGGTTTGCCCTTTATATATACACATACAAACACATTCCCGCAAAATGATGGATGGTTAAGCGTAAGTACAATCTACTAATATCTGATATCTTAAATTCAAAAAAGGGTCCATTTCAATTAATAATTTCAATTTTGAACTCAAAAGTCTTATTGTGACAGTAACTTTACTTATAATTAATTAATTTTACAGTTATCTAAATTTTTTTAGTATATATTTCAAATACTTTATTTAAATTTAAGTAGTTTTCATCATGTGTAACACTTTTATGTGACTTGAATTATTAATTATTTCATTTCTTATCAAATGGTAAAGTCATGATGATAAAATTATTATTCAAAATCTTGAAACCATAATCGATATCCAGTTATTTATTATTTTAAAATTTTCACATGATATTTGATTTTTTCATTTACTTTATGTCAAAATTTTAAATATTTAAAATTCAAACAATATATGTTCACACATCATGAAATTATAATAATCGTAAAATATTTCTTCAATACTAGAAAAGCTTGCATGACGCATACTTAAGTGAAATGGTAATAGATTTACTATTCGAATCTTATCGCATGACTCGATATCCAATTATCCGTTAATTCAAAACATCGTCCCTCGAAAAATAGCATGGTGCAATTTTTACTTCATTTAAATGCAGGGGAATTATGGCATTATTGATAAAAAATCATAGCAAAGCAAATCACTACATAATAAGATTCTCAAATGAAAATACTTTTTATTTAACCTAGATCATCATCCAGAGCTTCATATGACCTGTCTTCTTCACCAAACTATGAATGAGTTGTGGCTAAAAACAAAACATGATTGAACATGGCATCCCACAGTTGGACTTTAGCACTTAAGCAAGCCTCTCATCATCTTAGTCTCTGCTGAATCTTAAGAGATTAAGCTTATAAATCTAAATCCTTCAACTCCAATTTGCATGTGATATTGTCCACTGTTAAACAAGAATAAATGATGAAGGTAAAATAGCAAAGAGATCACCTAATGCAAAAAATTGCATGGAAACACTTGTAAAACTGTCCATGAAAAAATTGTGGCTCAGAAGCAATTAGGAGGAAGAAACTCTGTGTTGAGGAGCTTTTCTCTCGACACTGCCTACTCTATGCGGAGGCCACAGAATGTGGACGACCCTTCCATTAACCAAACCCAAAGGAACCTGCAAAAGATAGCTCATTCAAGTTTAAGCTCATAGCAATGGACATATAAAAAGTCAACAAAGTGATCTTCACTGCATTTTATTTAGTTACAAGATAAAAGAAATCATTCTTGAAAGAAACTTCACAAGGAAAAAGTTTCAACAACAAGATATTATCAAAAGAATTAGGAGAAACAAAAAGATTGAATTACGATGAACTTCGAGCTATCTAATCATGGTGGAGCAACTTACAGGGCCAAAAGACCTCGAGTCCATGCTTGAAGCTGAATTGTCTCCCTCAACCCAACAATGTCCTTCTGGAACCTTCACCACATCGTAATGAGTCCCAACCCAATCACCTGGTAAGCCAATAATTCTCTTTACATGTTTCTCCTTGTGATCATACGGAGAGCTGCAAAAAGGTTGCAGCCAAAGCGATATCAGATTTCAGTAATAAAACCATTTATGAACAGTACTGAGCATTTAAAAGATGAGTCTCGTTTAAATTGATTGAGGAGACGGGATTGCATGTAGGAACATGAAATCCAAGTTTTGTCGAAATCCTTCTGGAGCAACAAAAGAAATTGCTCGACTACTTAATCTCTCTCCCTCTAAAGTCATCAAAATGTGATTATTACTCTATCAACATCTCTAGTGTCTCCGTGATTTTCTGGTTTAATGAGAAGAAGTCCATGAGACAACATACTAGAGTTTGGTTCCATAATGAACAAGAGTTTGATGGTAGCTTTCTTTGGTTAAGTAGAAAACTTTATTCCTAACTCAACAGTGATGAAACACAATATTGGCACGCAGAAGTCAAGAATGAGAAACCAACCCCAAATCTTGCTTCATTTATGAGGTGCCTGCATTGGGCTTAACCCGTAATTCAGACAGTGTACGAGCAAAATCAACACAAACAATTACCTGAAAACTACCACGTCGCCATGTGAAAATTTGTATTTTTGGAGGCAAAATTTCTCCACCAGAACATAGTCATCTGCAGCCAAAGATATGATTACTAGCTACTGAAAGAATCAACAGTGATGCAAAACAATTCTTTCAACTCTCTCAAAGTATTACCACTCAATGAACCAAGCAAGGTATTGGTTTTGGGATTAAACGTGGGAGACATTGAGCCACCCCGGACTGACACTATACTGGCAAATCGATCTGAAACTGTAAGCGAGACAAGCCCAACCGTGAAACATTTCTTTGCAACATTCCATAAAACACTAGGGGTTCCCATGTCCACGTTTCCGACAACAGATGCATGTCAGGTGAAAAATGGAACCATCTGCATTCACAACTGACAATCAAAACCAAGAAAAACTTCAATATTTTCCTCTAGATTAGCTATAAAAGTTAAATCCCAATCAATGTTCACTAAGTAACACAATGTAAAAACTTCACAAACCATGCAATTTCGAGAATCAAAAAGACATACAACATCTGGGTATCTCAGAAACTCCCTGAAATTGAGACTGACGACATGAGCAAAACAATTAAACAACGAAACACACACAATCAGGCCATCCGCCATGAATTCCAAGCAACAACACCGCCAATATTGGATTAGGCAAAAAATCGAACATCTTACTTGCTGTGGGAGCTGAATAAAGGGAAATTTATAAACGCAGTTACTAAGGTAAGAGCTTTAAGAAATCATGGAAGGAAGAACTCAGCTACCTGGAGAGCAAGAGAAGCAACGGGGTAAAAGGAAAGAGAGGCGCTAGAAAAGCTTCGGGATCTTTAGCTTATTTTGATTCTTATTGCTTGCGGTCGTCGCTCTGTAGCTCGGCAGTTGACGTCAAGAACTGCTAGTAGAGGAAAGTAATAGCCCCGTCAGCAAAAAAGCAGAGTCATATCGTCCATTTGGTCAAGTAAAAAAAGGCCAATTTGAGGTTGAGCAAAAATTAATTTAATATTCCATTTATTTCATTTGCAATAAAAAAATTATGATATAAAAGCTCGATTAATTAAGCTCTAACGATTTTGTTAAATTTGAATAAAATTATCTGATCGATGTTTAATTTTTTGTTTAATATTTTTTTTATAATTTTATATTACGTGTTTATAAAAATATAAAGTAAAATTGTCGAAAATGGTACCAAAAGAAAGATCAATTGGCAGACAAATAATCAAACTCAACTCAGTTGAATAAACTTAGTTACCCCAGTTCATGAAATCAAGTTTTTAATTCAATTATATAAAATTAAAAGGAAAATTCCTAGCAGAAGTTCTGTTTCTGCCTTAATCAGGCAAAGTAAGCTTTTGGGTGTAATTAATGTGGGCCTGGTCCAACTGCTTCCGTGCCCTTTGTTGCTGTTAAAGGATAAGATGATATGAACAGGGAACACCCTCTGACAAGCATTGTTCTTGTTCAATCAAGTTTCTTTTTTGGATAAATGGCAAAATCAAGAAATTTTCCAGTTTTGGCAGAGAATGGCATTGGCTAGCCTATGCTTCTGATGAAAAGTATCCCAGCTTAAACCTGACCGTATCTTCTATGTCTGGTTTGAAAGGAACAATAGCCTATCATGGGAGCCAAACTCGTTTAGCCCAAGAAAAAGCTGAGTGCTACTAAGGGATGGAAATGATTGTTTCTCTATGCCCTTTTGTTTATTCTGTCCATAATCAAAGCCTGCCTCTGTTCATTTTGATGAATAAATCTGCATTTTCAACATATATACTCGCAATTTTGGAGGGATTGGTTGGTGTGTGTCTTTGATAAACATAGAAGTAGAAGATTTGTTGTAACCAGACAATATGAGCTAGTAGCATTCTCAGCTGGAAACTGTCGGGAAAGTTATAAATTTTTTACAGCATAGAAGGCACATACAAATAGTACATCTAGCAAAATTCTACTCAAGCAAAGGAATCTTTTTAAGAGGTGAAGGTGTCAATGATGGTTGTGTGAAGAGGGTCACTCAAGTGGGTAGCCCAGTTGTTGAGAGGACCTTTGCCTGTTGCAGCAGCTTGGACTGCAAAGCCCAGGAAAGCAACCATGGCAAGGCGTGCATGCTTGATCTCAGCCAGTTGAAGGGTGGCTTTCTTCTCTGGGTCAGCGGCCAAGCCAAGAGGGTCAAAAAACTTTCCTCCGGGGTACAGCCTCTTCTCAGGGTCAAGCTCTGCGTTCCTTTGGAACTCAATGTATCCGATCAGCAAGACTTCGATCCAAATCAATGTTGAAATGTTGAATGGAAGTGGTTGGCCTAGGTAAGATGACCCCTCAACCAGCTCTACCTGAAATAAACAGACAGTTTCTGTTATTCCCTCTGAAAGCAACTTACATTGGCCATGCCGAGTTTCAAACTTGTAAATCTGCTCTAATTTACTAATTCCTGATCAGATAAATGTGCAGAATGACTTCCTCTCTCAAATCCAGAAGGATCAAGACAATAACTACATTTTACCCTGAAAAGGTTTCTCATCAAACAAGTTTCTATTCCCATATGCTACTGAGTTTCAAGATTCAACAATATTTCTAACAAATCCATCAACAAAAGGCATCGAAAATTAAGCTTGGCAGCCTTTCTACTATATCTTAAAGTTAATTAGTACTCAAAACAGATCATGTCTCAATCATGCGGCAAAAGGATGGTTTCTAAAAGCATTTCAGGGCAGCAGGTAATTAAACTAACCTTGCCAGCGTCTTGCCATGTAACTCCAGTGAGCCATTCAACAGTAAGCGCACCAAGAGTAGCCAACATGGCCCACCTCCCATGAATCAGCTCACACTCACGAAACCTCTGCAGACCAAACACCTCGCTGTAGGGCTGAAACGGTGTCGCCTTCACGTCTGAAACCTCTGTCCTGGTCCCAATGATGTCACCCGCCTCATTCTTTGACAGGTTCTGGTCCAAAGAATCCAGATCATATTGCAAGTACTCTGCAGGCTTCCCCAAGCCAAAAGGGTCGAACCCGTAGTCACCAACCAAGCTTCCGTCTAGCCAGTCGGGTGCTACAGCTCCCGGATACCATAGAGGGCGATCGGAGGTTCGTTTCGACACTTTCTTGGCAGCTTTCTTGCGGCCTAAGCCGAACCTGGCCACAACTCTCCCCGAGCTAGTGTAGACGTCAGGGAGGCGGGTGCCCATGAAGGATGATGTAGCGGCGGCAGCGGCGGTGGCAGCCATGGTTTAAGAGGAAGACTACCGGTGAAGTGATGGAAAGGGAAATGGGATATCGTTGAGAGTTTTTTGGAGTGTAACCTTTTGCCTAGTTTGTGTTATAATAAAGGAAAGTGCTTGATCAAGGTTTTCATGGTTCTATCCATGAAGGAAGATGGTGAGCGTCGGATGAAGAAGCGTATCCATCTGACGAATGAGGTAGTATAGGCCTTATCCCTGCCTTATCTGCTTGTGGGGTCTTAGAGATTTTGCCCGTGTTGCTCTTCCGCCGGGCTTGTGGAGCTGCTGTCTAACTGGCGAGTGGGCACTGTGTGTTTTTCGCTCTGATCTTTTTTGTGGCTGATGTTGCTTGGCGAAAAATCTCTTGGATCCTTGAAGATATTAAATAATGAAAATGTCCTTAAACAAATAAAATGTTCTCGTTTTGTTACCTATTTCGTAATTTTACGTTATATATTTTTCAAAATTTTTGAATTAACGTTTAATGTTTAAAATTTTAAAATTATAATTTTTAATTGATAATATAAAATTAAAACTGCTTTAATATTTGGAAGAACTTGTAAGGGTTCAATTTGTGTGCAAAATCTTGTAATTGATTAATTTTTGACATAATATTTGAAACGAAATTTTAAATCATTTAAAAAAATTTTTAAAATTTTTATTATATTTTAATTAAATATATATATTTATTTTATATCAAATATATATAATTAATCAATAATATTATTTATCATTTTATATACATAAATACATCAATATATCATATTCTTATTTATTATATCGTTGTATAAAAAAATATATAAAATTTATTAAAATAAAATATAAATATAAAAATTTAATTAAATATAACAAAATATTAAAAATTTATTTAAAATTTTTTAAATAATTTTAAAATATTATATCTTAATTCTTTACTTTCATGATTGACTTTTAACCGAAAAAAGCTCACGAATTGATTAAAAAAAAAGAACCTCACGAGGACCCCATGAATTTAGTTTAAGGAAATCCAAGAATAGGTTCAATTGGGCCCAACTAAGCCCAATTTCTAAATCCACTTCGAGGTCCAATAGCCCAATAAAAGATCACGCGCAGTAGATAAACGTTCAACCTCCCAAAGCAATCAACGATCCGCAGGCAGTCATTTCAAATCCTGCCGACGAAAAAGCGAGACACTTGTCAACTCTCCACACGTGATTCTGATATCCTCCCCATGTCGTCAGACGCATAGGATAATTTGGCGGCAACCATGATCATCACCGCTCAAAGCCTCGATCGATCGATCAATCAAACCAAAAAAATCCCCTTTTTCCATTACGTAGCCCTAATTAAAAAAAAACCGGCTATATCCGGTAAAATAACCACATTGACTTTTGTGGCGGCAAAACGCCTTCACGCCTAAGCCCTAAAGAAGCAAACGGGCTGATCCGGTTACCTTTTTCTATCAAGTTTTTCACAGCTCTCTGGTATTTTCCTCCTTTTTCCCTCTGCCCTTCGATAACCTCTGAAGATTCTCTGTTTTTTCTTTTTGTTTGCTCTGTTTTTTCTCTCTCAAAAGTATCGTCGTTTGGCTGATATTTTCGCTAAAGGTAGCGTCGGTTTTTCTTAGATCTGATTCCTTCTTTCTTTTTTTTTTTGTTTTTCTTAATCAGATTTTCTCGCCTCTGTTTGCTCGCTGAGAGTGTAGATTCTTTTCTATTTTTTTAAAATTTTATGTTCATTTTTTTATATTTTTTCCTGGTTGAAAGAGAAGCAGAACGCGAAGTAAGCAAGCGAAATTTTGGTTATATTTCATTCAATGAGAAATTAAGAAAGATTCGCAAAACTGTTTTTGATTTCCTGTTTCATAGAGGAATTAAATTTTCTTTAATTAGAAAATAATCATGTATTATGTTTGTGTAAGCACTTTATTATGTTATTAAAATTGTTTAATTACTAATTTTTGATGAATTTTTTTTTTTAAGCTGTGTGATTAAGTTTAGCTGAAATTTTGCTTGACTGATGGTAGCTAGTAATTACGAAATATTATTCTATTTTATTGTTTTATTTTAGATTATTCGATTCTTTGTCAATTTGTTCATTATTGATAATCCTTTGTTTTTGTTTGGTTTACAGTAGAAAATAGAAATGAAGGGAGCTAGAGGCAAGGGTGCAGCGAGGAACACGGCCGAAGCCTTGAGGCCTGCTGACGACAGGTTAGTTGACTTCTGCTATTTGTTTCTTTTTTGTTTGGATAATTTAGTTCTGTTCTATGTTTTTTTAAATTTGAAGTTTATCTTTCAGACTTTGATTTTTCGGTGAGAATTTGTTAATTGCTGTGGTTGTTACGGTTAACGTGTTCTCCATGTTTGCTAATAAACGAGTTTTAATGGATACCTGATGGATGTTCATGCATGGATGGTTGGTACGGTTGGGGAACAGGAATTTTGTAGTGATGGATTGTGTGTATCTCTATTCTTTTCAGAAAGGTTGGGAAGCGGAAGGCGCTCGTCGACACAAGCAGCATTCGGAAAGCCAAGAAGGAGAGAAGGGCTATGAAAGACCCTAACAAACCAAAGAGGCCTCCTAGTGCTTTCTTTGTGTTTCTGTATGTATCTTGCACTGTAGTTGTGAACAGAAATTACTAGGTTTGAGTGTTTTAATTTTCATTGATTTTGGGTCATGTTCGTGTGTAACAGTGAGGAGTTTAGAGCTACTTTCAAGAAGGAAAATCCCAACGTGAAGGCTGTATCAGCTGTAAGTAACTAGCAATCTTTGAGCATGTTGTTGAACGTATGTGTCCTGAATGGATCTTTTGAGTTGTTTATTTGAATTTCTTTGCTTGAAGGTTGGGAAAGCTGCGGGCGAGAAGTGGAAATCCTTGTCTGAGGATGTAAGTTCTGAAATCTTCACATAGATGGTAACATGTAATGATATTTTAGTTTGCATGGACCTTGGGACCACATTTTTCTCCCTCTTTCTGTTGTCTATTGGTTCATTTGTACGTAGTGTCTTTGACCTTTGCCATCTGCTTTGATTGACTTTGGAATTCTTTGTGGTTTACTGTTGTTCAAAATGTATGCACATGCATCTTCATTTTTTACTTCTAAATATTTGCCATGCCATTTCTGTTGGAGGCGCTAATTATCACGGAAGATAGATTAGTGGTCATGGTAATGAAAAGATTTCCATTTCCGAAGAAGGGTAATCATTTCTGGCATTGACCTTATCACCTGTTCATGAAGGAAAAAGCTCCTTATGAGGCCAAAGCTGCAAAACGGAAGGCTGACTATGAAAAGCAAATGAATGCCTACAACAGGAAGCAGGTGAACAATCTGCCTTATTGTTTCCTCATTTCCAGCAGTGCTTTGCTTGACTTGGTACTTGACTTTTTACTTTTACTGTGATGATTGACAGGAAACTACTGCTAATGGTGAGGAGTCGGAGAAGTCGAAATCGGAAGTGAATGATGAAGACGACGAGGCTAGCGGAGAGGTAGTTTAATTTTTATTGACGGCCTGCATCAATTTGGGCATTTTTCCTATGCTATTAAGATAAATAATTTACCCTGAGGACATAATTAGGACTTGCTGCAAATTGTGGGCTAACTTTCACCAGGAAGATTTGCATCTAGAAAACCTTTTCTGGGCTTTTGTTTCGCCTTCCTTTTATATTTCTGATGCTTTACTCCTGCAGGAAGGACAAGAACAGCCGGACGATGAGGAGGAGGAAGAAGAGGAAGAAGACGGGGATGACGATTGAAAAGGTGAATGGTTGACTTCGGACATAAAATGGTTAACATTGGAGAAAAGATTCTAGATTTTGTATGTTTATAATTACACTTGTAGGTCAAATGTGGTAAAAACTCTTTGGAGTACCGTAACATCCTGATGCTATGAGCATCTTTCTTGCTTTATATAACTACTATTCACCAACAAAGAGCCATATCTTCTCGTTAAATATTTCTTCCTTCGTTTCTTCTTTTTTTTTTTTCCATCTTTCCCCAAAATGAAGTCTTTTTGAGATATTTAATGTTTTTAATTTTTTATATTATAAATTTATTTCTTAATAATTTCTTACCCCTTTTTCATACTATTTGAGAGGAAAAAGAAAAAGAGAAATTAAGAATATATAGATATTTAATCAGGGTAAGGTACGATGTACAAACACTTATAATCTTTCAAATTTTAGAATATGTATTTGTATGGCGGAGAAAGGATTTCCGTTTTGTTTTTTGAAGAATCAAGCTTAAGAGAATATCATGTCAAACGATTTAAAAAATATATTTTCAATCGATCGAGAAAGATCATAACATTTCAAAACAACCATTGAGAATCGAGGGCAAAGGAACATTCTGCATCTACAATTAGATGAGAACTTTTCAATGTGGAAAACATACCTTAATAACAAAGAATGTTTATCTACATCTTCTGATATTTTTACTACAATGAAATGAAGAGAACATGAATGATATACAATGGAACCGTACGGTTATATACACCTCTAAAATCCAACCCGAATAATAAGTTGAATCAACGGAGTCGTGGATCGTAAGAAACAATCTTCGGATCCGGAACGATGAGCGGTAACCTCTCGATGTACATGAAGAGTCGCTTCATATTCTCCCTCGATATCAAGGACAAATCGACAATGTCATTGTTGCTGGTATATATCCAAAGGTCACCCGAATCAACCCTTTTGAGGCTGTCCCTACAGAAGGGGCATGACTGAGACTTTGCGTGCCTAAAAGAAACCATAAGGGCAGCAAAAAACATTATCCCCAAAGATGATTATGCCTTAACTTTAGTATAAAGTGACAAATGAAATGTAAACTATCCATCACAAAAGCTAAAGCTTGAGATGCTAAGCTCTTTAAATTTGAAAGACCCTTCATCATACTATCTCTATTATTGCATAATTCAATTTTGGGTTTGCTCCACTTTAATCTCATCACCCCCACGATATTGCTCTCTTGTACCTAGATAGGAAAAGGGAAAGGGTAGTGATGTTGGATAAAGAAAGCACAATTATGACAACTTACCAAGTCTGGTAGCATTTCATACACATTGAATGGTTGCAATTAGGCAACACGATCTTGCTGTGCATCTCCATGCAAATCCCACATTCTTCTTCTCTTTCTAAATCGATTTCAGAGAGCTTTCCTTTATTCATTTCATCCCTTTTCTTGTACTTTGCAGCACACATTTCCTTCTGTTTCCTGTCATCCACGTCGGTGATTCCTCTTTGAAGTTGCAGTAATGAGGGAAAGATCACCCCTGCCATGATAAATCCAAACTCTTCGAATAGTTAGATAAACGCGAATTACAAGCATGCACAACAACAACAAATCCCTTCTTACACACCGTAGAATTCCCTTATGCTAGCTTTCCTTTCATGAATTAACATGGTGGTTTTCCCATCAGCATATGCCTGCAGATAAACATCACAAATTAATGCCATTTGACATGTTATCATTCGAAACTTCAAAAGGAACATCAGGAAATTATTAAATAACATCTTGCAAATCACCTTGTAGATAAGAATTCTGAGCAATCCCAAGGCACCAGCAAGATAGCAATCAGTCCACTGAACAAGGAAAAGAAATAGATGAGCAGCCGGACTGTAGGATAACCTCATCTGAAGGTAGGCACCATCATATTCTCTTGGATAATCAGAAGCCCTGATCATTAAAAAACAGTTACACAAATCAGAAAACAACAAAAAGATGGACTAAAATGGAAAGGACACAACTACCAAGACATCTCAGAATTTGTTGCATTCAGCAAGAACATGTAGTACAAGGCAGTCCCTACCATTTATTAATCAATGCTGATGGAAAATCCTATATTGTAAAATCAAACTACCCGAAATTATTAAGTACAAAAAAAAAAAAAGGAAAACTAGATGGAGGTCCCCAAAAACTTTGGGGCCATCAGCAGCCATGGAAACCACATGTATAAAGTTACATTTGAATGCCACTCTGAACATCATCTATATGATTTGGGCAAATTTGAATCAGCTTGCAATTGGCCACTGGAAGGGGATGAATATCCCTTCACCATGCTCATGAGTCTCATCTGAACCATTCTGTGTTATATGTTGCCCACTCTGTTCCACCTTTTCTGGCTAGGCGAGCTACTGGATCAGCATTGTCGAGAAAAATCTTAATTTTTAAGCTTATATTCTACAAGCATGATACTTTCAGGATAAGTTAACTATATCCCAAGCATCTTAAAGCTTGAACATCTACTAATTTTCATTACTACAGGAGCCATCAAGAATGCTCTCACCAGAAAAGAGAAAAACATCTAAGCCAGTTAAAGTAGATAACAAATATTACCAATAAAATTTTTCCAATTATGTAATGACAATTCCATATACAACAGAACCATAGCCATGATGAAAATTATCATACTTTCAATCAGAAGTCACCCCCCCCACCCCCGAGGTTACAAAATTTTAATTTGCCGAGTGACAGGAAATCCACACCATCGGATTTTTGACAGAAAATTAGAAAATTCTCCACAATTGAAGAGTCAAACAAGTTTTAGTGTTGTACCAAAAAACAAATATACCTTAAAATAAATAAATATTCTTCATGATCCTCAACAGAATATCACAACACTACTAGGAAAAGAAAAAAGAAAGAAGTAATGAAGGCGGAGAGACAGAGAGAGAAGAAATTACAGGGTATTGGCGAACTGAATATCAGCTTCAAGAGCCTTGAGAGAATCCTTAAACGACTTCCTCATTTCCCTTTCACCTTTTTTTTTCTTTTGGGTAACAACACTGTCACTGATTCACGGCTCAAAATCCAAAACCCCAACTACCCATTTACCTCAAACAGCTCTTTCACGCATCATCATCATCTACACTTAAACCAAAACTCAAACCAAACCCCGAGAAAAGTCTTAAGTTTTTCTTTCTTTTTTGATCAAAGAAACAGAACAAAACAGACCCAGATTCCTGTTTCTCCCTGTATAAGAAACTCCTTTTCCAATTCAGAAGAAGCTGAAGAGTGAGAGAAATAGGAGGAAACAAAACAAAAAGAAAAAGAAAAAAGGCTTTGGGTCTTCGCTTAGAGCACACGTAATCGTATTTCCATTTAGAATTCACCTCTCTACTCAACAGCCAGCTAAATTCGTATTAAGTGCAACCACACCCCAAGAAGAAGAATGAAACGAGGAAGCATTTTTAGCTTCCCAAATTTACAAACCTACCCTTCACATTCCCTTCCTTCCCCCTTTTTCCTTTGGGGTGGGGTGCATGAAGGAGTACACGCATCCGCGAGTGACCGTGACTACTAGGTGCTGTTACTGTTTCACGAACACGACAAAGAAACAATAAACGGGCAGGGGGAGGGAAGAGAGATGATGGCGGGAGGTGCAGAAGATGTAACACGTGGCGACCATGCATGATGTGATCTAACGGTTTCCATGATGCCGGTCCCACGTTTTTTCTGTAGTTATCTGGTGCGACGTGTCGTGATCGGTGCAAAACATGGACCCCACCCAGCCCAGAGTTGTCCACGTGTTAATCCAGTGCATGCAAAAATGGCAGATCGAGAGAAAAAATTATTTTTTTTTCAATTTGATTTAATTTTTAGTTTCCCATATTTGCTTGATTGGCATGATTTAGTAAATATTTACTCGGTTGGGCAAATAATGCTAATAAAGAAGCAAGTTTTCAATGATAATTACGAAAATGACATGCAGATCTTTTATGGACTATACCTTTCCATGATTCTCGATCCACACCTCAGAATACGTTATCAATAATACGAATACATAATCGGATATCTTACAATATCTCATTCGTTTATGTAAATTCGGATTAAATATTAAATAAATAAAATACAATTTTTAATATTTATTTTTCAATAAATATTCTCATCATTTTTTATTGAAATAAACTATTTTGATATTATTGAATATTAATCAGATTCGGGTACGATTATCTCATAATTAATGGATACCTTATAGATTTTCCTTCTTAATTTCAAATTGAAAAATTAATAAAAATGAAGCAAAAATGAAATAAAAAAATTAAAAAAAATAAGAAAACAAGAATACTCTTTTTCATTTAGATATACAAAAGGACTAAAACCTGTTTAAGGTGTCGTTAAAAGTGAAAGCAGACCCATGTGTTGCTTTCTGCTTTCACCAACATCCATATGCTTAGAACAAATACCTAGAAGAAAGAAAAGAGAGAGCCCCATGTCACTCACTGCTGAAGGAAAAAATGTTTAGCACAAAAAGCAAGCTGAAGCTACTGTAACCACAAAAGTTTTAAAGGTGAAATTAGGTGCAAGGGTTCAAATGTTTGATGTTAAAGATCTTAATCATTCATTATGTTGCTTAAACACCTTGGGTTTAACCCCAAAAATTCCAAATTCTAATTATACCAAAAGGAAAATGAAATCAGCAGATTAGTACCCTAAGTTGATAAATTAACGTACAAGATAGCTTGACTATGCAGCTGCGAGACGAAATTGACATGAAGATAATATAAAAAAAAAATGTTCATGGTTCAAAGCAGAAATGAAGAGAAAAGAAAGTTATTACCACAACCAACTTGTGAAGACTGCAGATAAACAATTCTAGACTAGTTTTTGGTTAGTGAAATGAACTGAAAAAGTTGCTATTGTCATAATTATTTTTGTTTTTTTGGTTCTGATAAGGACATGCCAACCTCTAATTAAGGACGCTACCAAACAGAGTAAATCAAACTCCTTTGAAGAGTCACAAGCAACCATTTCCTTGGACAACTGACATATCAAACCACTATGCGGATCAAGTAAAATGGAAGTCTCTAGTTACATCTTAACATCAAGGTACCACAACAAAAATCCCCATACCTCCATTTGGTGTCTCGCTTGGTTTTCATAATTTTGTGTCAAGTATTCAGCAAACTTTTAGTGATGGTATAAAACTGAACACATGATGCAAAAGTATAGAAAGAGTACCCAAGCAGGCATCATGCAGGGAAGAAAATTTTCATTTCAAGGTACCATTGATTTCTTTTCAAGGGTTAAACTCTTTTTCGAGGCAATTGTTGATTACCCAATTCGATTTTAAATAAAAATCTTACTGTGCAAACAGCTGTTGGCAGAGCTACTAGATCCTGCTCTCCTCATCAAAGTTCAACACGCAACTGCAAGATCCAAGAGGCTGCTAGCAGTGTCAGTACCTACATATGTGGATCAAGTCAAATTAAAACCAATTTAAGTCATACCGCATCTAGAAGTATGTAGATGACAGCCCATTGACACTAACATAATGTTAAAAAGGAGTATAAGAAAGATGCCATAGAACATAGCGGAAACAAGAAAGTATAGTAACTTTCAATTCTAATATGATGGAATCCCATCAGCTACTTTAATTTACATGGTAAAAAATCTAACACCCCTCAAAATATAGCACTAGAGAAGGTGGATTGTCTTTCGAGTTACAAGCCCAATCATGAGAAATCAGATTTCCAAATTTAATGACAGATTTACAAATTATAGTGTTACTTTTTCAACACAATATAACTTCCTAGCGTTGAACCATGTTTACGCATCAACCTTTCCTAGGGCAGCAATTTCCTTGCATTAACAACCCAATTCTTACCTGATTCCACACAGTCCTGTTGCAGCGTATTCAACATCCAACTTGAATGGGATGTGTATCCTTTATGATGCCAGAATTCACTTCAAATATATGCTCTGAGCAAGTTGATTGGTATACTCCAGAGGCCATATGAAGCTTCTCATTATGCCCTTCACATATGCCACCACAAATCCCTGTCCATTCCATATGTGCAATAACAAAATCTCAACTAAGTATGCTCAAACACTTCATCCACCATAACGTCTCTGCCTTTTCTGAAAGGCTAGCAATGCCTTTAAAAACTCAGCTTCTCCAAAATCAGGCCACAGTGATTGTGCAAAGAATAGTTCTGCATATGCCAACTGCCATAACATGAAATTGCTAACTCTAAACTCACCGCTGGTCCGTATAAGTAGGTCAGGATAGGGGAATTCAGTGCATTTTGTTTCTAGTTCCTGTTCAATTAAAGACTCATTGATGTCACTGGGTTCAATAAGACCACACTTCGCCTTCAGAGCAAGCCTTTGGCAAGCTTGAACAACATCATAGTGTCCACTATAACTGACAGCTACAATTAGTTGAAAACGTGCGTTGTTCTTAGTGGCTTCCTCCAAGTTGATTATCAATTCCTGAAAAGCCTTAGGGAGCCTAGCTAAATCTCCAATAACAGATATTCGGATGTTTTCCCTGTAATTAGACAACAGATCAGCTAGGTTTAAATAGTTCACCACTTTCTTCCACAGAAGCTGTCAAGTCAGAATGTAGAATCAGAGGCAATTATGGTAAGAGAAAATTAAACAGTCACAGCATTGATATTTCATCGATAAATATAAAAGGACACTCAACTAAGACATTTAAAAGCATCCTATTTCAAGACATCCCAGAATTAAAATTTGAGGAGCTTTCTATTTCCAGTAGAGAAAGGCATTGCATAAGCATTCATTGGGTAAAAATTTTAAAGCAGCCCACGCACTGATTTGTAAATGTTGAACACATTTTGGAAGCCATAGTAATAAAAATGAAAGGCTTTAAGGCTTATAACAACAAGATCAAAACCAAGATAATTGAGAAGCATCGAACACTACATTGATACAGATCTAAGTTGGAACCTCCTAGGAATCAGCAACATTCTAGAAACTAAAACATTGGGTTTCCAATGCAAATGCAGTAATATGAGAGAAACTTATAGCACAATATCAACTAAATTCATGCAAATTATGAAGCTATTTGTTATTTTAAACCCAACAATCTAAAGAAGTCCTATCAAGAAAAATTAGAGAGAATCATATTAGCTAGTTTATTTCTCTACAATTCCACTACTTATATAGAGATTTAAAATTCCCTGCTTCTCATTTTCCTCCCCACTTTCCTTTCCAAAGGAGAAAATTTTAATTACTTTCCAGTTTTTCTCAATCCAAACACACCGTAAGTCCGACGTGTATGAGTATTACCTCAGGAAAATTCCCGTATCCTCCTGTATTCCCCTCTCAAACAAACTCATCAAAAATTCCACTTCCACCTGCAATAAAACAATATGTAAATGAACACTCCAATTAAAAGAAACAATTTTAAGGTGAAAAAACGGGGGGCAAAAAACTAACTTTGGGACGAAACCAATTATCACTAGAGAAAGCAAAAACACTGAGAACTTTTATTCCCCATTCGCAACAGAGCTCCACAATCTTTCTCAAGGACCGTACACCGGCCTCATAACCGGACCCCACGGGCAAGTCTCTCAACCGGGCCCACCTCCGGTTTCCATCCATGATCACCGCCACGTGTCTCGGCAATGCCTCTCGCCGTAGTCCCAACGGCAGCGTTTGGTCTTCGACTCTCCCATCAAAGGCTTCTTCTTCTTCTTCAATGCACTGGTGGATCAGTGCGCGCTCAGTGGTGGAGCAGAGTGGGGATTTCGGCACGTGCGAGATCGGCTTCTTGATCCTGTGGTGGCGTGGCTCGTGCGAGAAGGATTTTGACTGAGGACAGAGTGCGGTGATGACCGGAGGGAGAGAGCATTGCAGAGAGAAGTGCATTGCTAGGGTTTTTCCCTTTTTCCTGAACAGTGACGACGGTTCAGTCAACTTTGCCGCCAGGTGGGATTTCATTTTCTTTTAAAATAACGGTAAACATTTTCGCGGTTTAAAGTTTCAAAGTAATCAACGTATGTTTTATTTTATTTTTATGAAAATATAAAAATTTTAATTTTTACGAATTTTATATTACAAATATAAAATTCTTTTTGTTATATAGATATTCAATATTATTTTTAATGTAAATATAAATAATAAAAGTATTTAGGGATATCCCAAAAAGAAAAGCTGGTCAAAAAAATGAGACAAAAAAAGTACTTTTATTTAAGTAAAATATAAAAAATACAATGAAAATGCATATTGTTGCTTTCATATAAAATAAATATTTGACTCAATGTTAAATTTTAAATGCTATTATCTTACATTTAAGTATTTACTTTCAATTTTATAATAAACTTTGATGCTGAATAAAAAGGTTGAAACAAAAAACTAGTGCCTTTTTAATGTAAAGAATAACAAAAATAATAAAAGGAAACAATTTTATACTGTCCCCCCAATGTACAACCTCGAATTATTGCCCCATCAAAAGGATCCTACCATGGCAGGTGGCCATAGTAGCTCAGTGCCTCAGCTGCATGGGAAACTTGGCACTTTTGCTCATTGCCTGCCTGGTAACTCAACATGCAGAGCATGTCTGTTTTGCCCAAGTGCACTTTCCTTTCCGGGCACACGGCAGCTCCGGTTCCTAGTGTGAAAATATGCTGTTTGATCATCATATTTTGAGTGTTGAAACTCAAACATGGCATTCATCAATGGAGATTTCCTTGGGGACCCTCAAATTAATTCGATAAGTGTCCCATCCAGCATTATCCAACTGTTGGATGAATTCTTCGAACCTATCATCCATCTCAGACAAACTTTTCATGAGCGGATCAAAGATATTTTCCGAGATATTCAGGTTTTCGTGTAGCCAGTAAGTTTGCCACAAGCTACGCAAGACTGATATGCTTGTAGCACTAGCCTGTAGTCAGTTTTAGGCATGATTTAAGTTGAAGAGTTAATCTCATGAAAATATGCCAAGTTTATCTTACACACATACCTTGAATGAAACAAAGAACTCGAAATCTTTTCGCTGCTGGTTCACCATGAGAATATATTTTTCCCTTGCATATATTCTCAGGAGAGTCCTCAGCTGTTCCAGAAAGAAAAAGAAAAGAGAAGCAGCTTGAATTATCAAAAATGGAATCTTTCCTGGCAAAATTTGTTGTTATTATCATTATTGATCCATTTACTATTCATATATGAGCAGCAAAAGAAGTCAGGCAATACCATGGAAATGGATCTCCCACCACCTAATATCTCCTCCATTGCCACACCAAAAATAATCCGTGGCCTTATGAATCTCTGCCATGATAATATATTTTCTTCCCTATTGCAGTCATTGCATCCTGTAGAGCAAATACAAAAGAATGGATCGTTTCTGTTGGAACAATATATTTCTTATAAGCAATAGTTCAAAAGGAATATAACTTTACCAGGAACTCTAGAGTGTAAAACATGTGATTTTACCAGAATACGTGCACGCTTAAGATTTATCTGTCCAAAAAGTAAAAAAGAAACCCATATCAAACACTTGAACTCTGTTTCTGCATTCCTATAAGTTTTCTTTTGACCCTTATCCTCACTGTCCAGCATGTGCATAAAATTGATTCTAAGAGAACATAAACAATTATGATAGAGAACTTCACACGTAATCATGTCTCTATCCCAATAGAGTTCACATATTAGGCCCGATTCAGCCTCTGGGGGAAAGGAGTCAGTTAGAACTAGAGCATACTTACTGTGTTAAATCGAAGAGCTGAAAGTGACAGATAACGTAACCAGAGGTGAAGAAGCCGCATGCTTCCCCATGTCGACACCAACGCTGGATATGATTTTACAAGGTCAGGAGTATCCTGCATTTATGATTGTCAATACTCAAATATAACATGTTGAAGCAAGAAACGTTCAGTTGCTGATGAATTGACATCCATCCAGAAAGTATCTTGAATAACTACACTACACACCAGGATCAGTATGCCAAGATAAAGACCGAGCAGCTGAGCAGTTACTTCCCAAACTTCCTCCTGAAAATATTGGTCAACTAATTACTAAGACAACTTCATTTTGTAAAACTGACCTTACATATCAGTCATACTGGGAAAAAAGTTTTTAATTAAGGTAAAGCTCTCTTTAATCTATAAGGAATCATACATGCTACCAGTATATACATATACATTACCTTAGCAGCCACCTCTCCCAGATTTCCTGAGCTTGCAAAATGGTTTTGAATCACACGGAATGAAGGATCTTTTAGTCCTCTTGCCACTGCCTGTTCAAATTTCAATCTTCAGCAAATTAATGAAAGCTACTTTGCACTTACATTAAAACCAACACAAAGGAGCTGACTATAGTTCTGTACTACAATTTAGAGGAAAATAGAGTGGATGCTTGCACTTTTTATGTAGTCATTACACTAATCAACAAAGACTATGTCACTTTTCAGAAAAAAAAAAAACAAAGACTATGTCAGATATAACTGAACTTGGTATAAATCTGATTAGTAGTTCTTCCCTGTTTTCCTTTTCATGAAATACGTACTTATTGAGCATGAATTGAAATAGATAGAAAGGAACTATAAATAATGGTATGACACTCTGTTAGAAAATATCAGGATCAGTATGCCCAGAGCAATACCTTAGCAAGATTCCCAAGAGAAGCCAACGGTAGGAAATAGGCAGGATAAGCTTGAGTTGTTAGATCAAATATACTGCAAAAAGATTAAGACATTCAGTGGTCTCTATCAATTCTAATATTATTTCACTACTCTACAATAAAAACAAACCTTCCAGCACTGCCAATGAAGTCTGCATACATGCGCCACTGTTTAGGATTATCGTCAAAGAGATTTCCAAATCGGCCACCTGGAAAAATAGCAACAGTAACCAATAAATTTCATCACATAACTTTTTCTGAACTTTAGCTCTTTCCATAATTGCCAGACCAATGAACAAGCGCCCAACAGCTCCAATGCCATCTTTGGACACCCATCTGCACAAACAGTCATATAAGTGGTTCAATAACATATAAGACTACTTTGATATAAACAAAATGATTGTGTACTACAGTTATCTCTACACAAGGTACACAGTCAAATGGACGCACACACAGAGAAGTGCAGAAGAAACATTTATGTCTTTCCATTATCAAGCATAGACATAAAGCTTTCACATAGACATAGATAGGTATCTTAAATCATGGAAATTCACCTAATGGCAGCAGCAGAAGCAGCAGCTGAAGTTCCTGAGAAAGATCCAACACCAACAGCCTGCAATAATGGAGAAAGACAGTAAACTAAGGAGAAGTAGGAATGCATTCAAGATGCCAAGAAGAAACAGAAGCTCGTTGAAAAAGAAAGACTACATGGTCAATTAAACTGATGTAGATAATATAAAGAAACAAAAACTTATGCCATCCTTTTTTCTGGTCAGAAAACTTATATGATTAACAGCTCCAAAATGCCACATAAGCATAATAGAATAGGAAGTTAGTAACAGTAATAGATGAAGGATTCATTAAGAACAAGCTAATCTAGAGATGCTATGGAAGCCTCATCTGAAATTTCACAAACTCTAAACATTACTCGTAGTATTCAAAATCCATACTAACAGACACCAAACGATTTCAAATAACAATTAGCAACACCAAATAAAACTATGATCTTTCAAAAGATGATAACACCCGTTTTTGAAGAAAGCAACATTTTAACAGTTTAATGCATGTTGATCAATTCCTAGCATGTTTGTCTTTTTCCAAGCCAAAATGAGGGAGTGAAAAATCCTAGGGCACATACCCAAGTAAGGAAAATGGCTGGAGTTAGATTGACATGCCTTTAGAAGACTTGATGTAACTAGAGTGTGACAGATCCATCCAGTAACATTCGTAGGAAACTGTAACAACATGTATTGCAAGTAATCATCGGAAACTGATCCTGCATTGATCAAGAAGAAGGATAACCAAGTAGATTAGAGCTGTCAACTAGTTAAACATGGTCAGTTGGTTGATACTGATTAACCAATAGCTTTAATTATTAGGACAAGAAGAATCAAAGAGCAAATGGAAGGAAAAGTTGGATGTTAGTTGACCTGGGAAACCAGTGGGCAAGATAAAATCTTTGAGGATGCCTGGTAACCAGGATAAATTTGGGTACGATAAATGCGAGCCCTGGAACTCATTACTTGTTGAATCATGTTTCTCAAGAAAAGATCGAATCTGCAAATCATCACCAAGCATGTATCTGATAATGAAACATTGATCAAGAGCAACAATTCAGATTCCACTTTCTAATAATACCATTTCCATATCTTTCTACCAAATAAACAAGAATGAAATGCTGGGGTGTAGACCTCTTAATAGTACCATTTCCATATCTTTCTACTAATATCACTTGGTCGTCACTTTTACTATTCCTGCAAAAAGAAGAAGAGAAACTACGTTAAATTCAGGGAAATGAAGCAAAACAAAACATGGGTTCGGTGAAGGGTCTGATACCTATCACCGTCAAGCTCTTGTTGACCTTCCTTGGAAGAGAAGAGACTTTGAAGACTGCGCAGTCTCTTTTCAATGCTCTTTCTTCGAGAAGGAAAAATTGGTGAAGGAAATGGGATTTGCAGAGAGTAAGAACAATACATTCTTAGGATTGATTTGAGCTTGTTAGATTTTAGTTTATCTGAATTGAAGATGAACTCTTTTGACTTCTCAGTGTTCCCCCTGCAAATCTTAAGACCAATTGAATAAAGAAAAAGCCCATGACGGAAAACCAGGTGTCGCCTATCCGGTTTCTTCGCACCTTAACCAACCAAATCGGAGCAAACCCGATTTGAGGACTATCGGGCAATGGCCTTTTGTAACTCGGCCCACCAATGGAAGCTGGAGATAATTATAAGACTAGAGAACTTACAAAGCCCCTAGGTTATATTTATTTATGCAATTTGATTTTGATTTTTACTCAAAAAAGTAACAACAATCAAATTTAATATCAACTTACATTTCCTATTTACATAAAATGTATGATAATTGATATTAATAGCAGACATGATTACATGACAATTGATGTGACATGATTATATGTCACGTGAATTAATAATAAAGTTAAAAATTTTAAAAAAATTGACATGATAAATCTTTCAAAATCAAAGACCAAACCCGAAAAAAATTATGTAAAACATAGTACTAGACTAGCAAAAATAATTGTCTTACAACAATACAGCCCCAGCAATTGAAAGAACTGGCAGCTCAAGAATGTTCATGTACAATACATGGTTACTTGGTAATGCAAATTTCCTACCATTATGGCGGAACTTCAATTCCAGTTCCACCTAAAAATGGGAAAAAAGGAAACTGACTACAGCAACCTCTGGCTAAACAGGGAACACAAATATAGGCTGGCAGCTTGAGGATTCTCACATATTATACAGGTAATCTTAAGTAAAATGTAATTCTTGCAGTAGCCGCTACTTCTGGAGGAACATGAGCTCCAAAACAAAAACTGGAGAGCAAACAAATGGTACTCCATAAAAATGCCATGACATGCAAATTCCGAGGATCAGGATTGTTCAGCATTGGTTTCCTTCTTTTCTTTCTGGCTATTTTCCTCCACAAATTTCTGAAACTCTTTCTCACTGGCCGCAATTAGTCGTTTGACAATGTCAAAGCTTGTAAGCCTAATGCTGAGGTTGAAACGGATAACAAATGTCTCAGGCTAGTGAAACTCGAAATTCATAACAAATTGATTCAATTATGCAGCAAGAATATTGAGCACCCACTACATAGACAATTGCATAACAATATAGGCAGAGATCTATCTGCAATGATTGAAACCACCTAAACCATATTGTAAACAAAAAATATATTTTACAAATGGTGTGAAAGAAGAATTACAATATCACCACAGAACGATTGCAACTCCATGGGATATCTATGGCTCCATTTAGCTGATGCTTTTTGCTATTTTTCTTTCGTTTTCTATTCATTTTTTACATTTTGCATTTTGTCTTCAACTAAATTTTTTACAAAAAAAAAAGAAGCAAAAATGCAAATAACAAGAGCATAAACCAAACAGATCCTAAATATGTGATATATTAGCTACCTTAGTTCTATCTCTACCTAGAGCTTTAGGGAACTTGAGTTAACATGACTAATGCCTAAGAAATTGACTGACTAATATGACTATGAGGCAAACATCATCTTGTTCCAAACCAAAGTGGTAACTATATAATTCTACAAGCAAAAAAAAAAAAAATGGACAGGAATGGAAGTGTACCTGCTATTTGGTAGGTTTTTCAATGCATTGGGAACAAATCCTCTGTACAAACCAATAACTCCATCACGTTCAACAATACCTACTCAAGCAAGAATATTGTGTAGTCAGGAAACCATCAAGTCTCAAGTTCTAACTTTTCCATGAACAAATGGTAGAACAGAACACATAGGAAACTTTAATTTGATAGTGAATAGTAAATTGTGGACTTAAATACCAACACTTGGAATGTAAATTGTGGACTTAAATACCAACACTTGGAATGTGATCCAAAGTCAAGTTCTGTTATACCCAAGTCAACGCAGCTCTCTCTTTGTGCTCAGGGAAAAAAAAAGAATGCAAGACACTGGTTATAAATGCCAAATGCAGATGTGATTTTTGTACATTTTATATTGCTGTCAATAATGGAACTATAACTAGTAACATTGGCATACCAGGAATGGCTTCCAAAACTGATTTGTAGGGTGTACCCCTCATTTGCATTTGTCTTCTCACTGTGTCTAAAGGATAGCAGGTGAGAGTGGCACAAGCAGCTGACACCACAGCAGTTAGTAGGGACGCTTCAGTCTTCTGGCGATAATTCTCTGGCAAAGCCTTCTTCACCCTGTTATCAACATAAGAATTTGCAAGACAGATTTAAATTTGAGTTCTCATATGACATATTACAAATAGCAGTGTCATTTGGACTTACAGGTCAAAAATGCAAAAGTTCACAGCAATATACGGAGCTATGCCAAGGAGAGAAGGTCCAAGACCATAATAAAAAGATGCAAACCCTTCCTCTCGAAACATGGTCAAGGCAACCTGGAAACAGCACATTAAGGTTCATCTTCCAATAAATTGGTCATCCCATTGTTAGTAACAATGAAGAGAGTTAAACAAACCTCAGACATAGTTCGATACCCTGGTTCAACTGCCAAACGTAGTCTTAGGACATCTAACGGATATGTTATCTACATAAAAATCAAAGAGAATGAAATTCAAAATCTGACACACTGAGCAATCAAAGAGAGAACCAATATGCAGGAGACAGAAATGCCAAATCCAAATATCAAAAGTTAACCGGTCAAAGACAAATTTAAAAAGCAGAAAGAATTTCTCCCTAACATGCATAATGGGTTAAGACTCTTTCTTGTTTTCCCATTTAATTGAGTAAAAAATATAATAATAATAATAAACACAGAAACTTCTTCTCAAAAAAAAAAAATGCAGTAACTTCAGGAAGCATAACAGTTAGAACCACTAAAATACAAAAAGGCTACTGTATCACTTACAAAAGTTGATGTCATGCCAGCACAAGCTCCAGCAGCAAGTCTTCCAATAACAGATAGTTCACCATCTTTTCCCTTGAAAAGTTTCTAGAATTCAATAGGAAATGGAAATCAAATGACTAATTCCACCCGGGGATATCAGGTACCATGCTAAGATTGGGTTATACCTTTTATTTTATTACCTTATAAGTTTCATAAGCAAAGAGCTGGACAGCACTGTAAGGTACAACTCGAATCACCTGAACCATTTAGTACTAAATCCATATAAAAAAGCAGCTCAATAAATCATTTCAATTACATAATCCAAATATACTCTGAAATAATGATTGAAAGTAAAACTTGCAATGAACCTGAGGAAGGTTGCCCTTCCAATACCCTTTAATTCCTTCGTCCTTCCCAATCAATACGATCGCCTGCAATTTATTCCATAATAGAACCCACATTTTAAATGTCATCTCATACCACTACTTTAATCAGCTAAACTTCATCAAACACAAAATTATCAATTCCAGAATAAAAAAAAAAAGGAAACAGAAAGTAGAGCCAAACACAGCTGAGAATAAGAAAAATAAACCAAAAATATACCTCAATGAAACCAATAGCCTTTTTTGCACTCTCTTGCCCAGCTCTTACACCATGAGTCTGTCACCAAAAACATTTTAAAACAACGAAGAATGAACTCTGGCAAATTAATACAATTCTCAACTCAACAAAAACAATCAAACAAAAGAAAAAAATGGTAAAATGTCCATAATTACAGTAATATATTTCTTAATTCACACTGTTCTTAAGTGATAAGCAACTAACTAAATAACCGACCGATGAATATTCCTTACATAATGAAACAAACAACTACGCACGTGTCAAAGGAACACGAAAGAGGCCAAAAGCGAACCTGCATAAGAAGCTTGATGCGGTCGAGAGGGGCAGTGACAGTTTTAGCGGCGGCTCCAGCGATGGCGCCAGCTGCGAAAATGGCCACGTCTTTCGGGACGTAAGCTAGAGCAGCTAAAGGATGGCTGAGGAACTGACCTCGAGTGGGCGCGGAACCTCGTCGCCGCTCTCTCTTCTCCGCAATGGAAAGGCAGGCGAAATTACGTGCACTGCCGCTGCCGTCGTTGAAACTGTAAGCGAGCCAGGCGTTCCCGTGGAATGGTTCATTACGCGCCGTTTCGAAAGGGGTGAGGCCCGTGATGGATTCGAGGCGGATAATGGGTTTCTCTTCTCTCATGGCGGATTGGGATTGGTTGGGAATTTGGAGAGTTGATGAAGGACAGAGAAGAGATAAGGCGAGGGGAGGTTACTTGCACAGTGAGAGGCGCGGAAGGAGGGAGCGCAGAAGTCTTATAATCTGGAAAACTTTGCCTTTATGCAAAGTCCCCTTGAATCTCTTCTGGTCCAGTGCGTGCGAGTGTACGGAAAATTCTTTTATCTTTAAAATGAGATTAGCAACAACGTCAACGTTAATAAGTTCTAATTAATAATTCATGGAAACTAATTGAATTCAGTTAATTCTTTTCGCTTTTAATCAATTACTTGATTTAGTTTTTAATATTTAAAATTTACAATCAATTAGACAAAAAAAATATTTTATATAATATAAAATATTAAAAAATATAAAAATTAATCAAATTGATTAAATATAAGTCGGGTACAGTTATTTCAATTTTAAAGCATAATCCGATTGGTTCGATTATGTTTATAAGAATTCAGTTAATTTAATTTTAAGATTTTAACATTGAACAGATTAAAATCGATTGAATACTCAATTTTAATTATTTATTTAAAAGAATTTTGAAGAAAAAAAAGTATTTTTAGAATATTCTAAGCTTTCTTCTTCTCCTTATTCTTCTTTTAACAAAATATAAATAATAGATATTGTGGTCTTGAATCCTTTCTAACTACTACTTTGATTAACATTGTTCTTCCCCCTAAAAGTTTTAACATTATTATCAAATACTTGTACTTTTATTATATATGGTGAATATACAACAAGAAGAAAATTAATATAATTGATTATTAAAGAAAAAAAACTTAAGACTTTAGACTTAAACCTTAAATGTGTTATATTCAAAATTTAAGATAAATAAATTGTAAAATTGAAGTAATATCTTATTGTACAAAACCCTTTTTTACGGGGAAAAAAAAATTACTATATCATTCTAATATGCAAGATATGTAATATTAATAAAAAATGATTTTTTATATTATTTATTGTCTTAAAATTTTATTTTTTTAATATTAAAAAGTATTGAACAATTATATTATAAAAATATTAAAATCAAAATTTTTATCTAAATTTAGTTAAAATCAAATAAAAAATAAAGTTCTAAAAGTACTTTTCCGAGTATATTGGGAGGCCCAAATCCAGTCCAATCAAGGCTCAAAAAGGGCTTAAAGCCTTGACCCAAAGACTAAATAAAGGCAAACAAAGTCTATTTTCTTTGGATGAATGCCCACGTTGTCGCTCAACCATAACCAATTGCAGACGACAGAAAAGTGTTTTAACTTTTGCACCCAATCATACTTGGGAAAGCTACTAGTAATTCTTTTTAGTCTTGATTTATTATATTAATATATAATTTTAATAACAAATTTATAATTAATTTAATATTTTATATTCACGTGATACATGAAATAACTTATGATAAAGGATGTGATTAAATCAATTATCATACAATTATATGATATTGGATTACAAATCAAAAGATGGAGATTTTTTGTTGTATTAGAATAGGGAGAATTGTGCTTCTAATGAGGTGAGATTAGCTATTGACTGAACTGATACTAGTGGAAATGTTGGGACCATCACTTTCTATTGACATTGGAGAGTAATTATTTTTCCCCCCACCTAGCTTTATTCTCATAAGCTAACGCTAGCCATGGCTTCCACCAACCACAAAAGCTCCTTTTTCTACTATTAATATCCCATGCCCAAACAGAAGCCTACCATGGGTTCTTCTGCTTTTCTTATGGGTTCTGACAGACAAGGACCCAACATTCTGTTTTCACGTTTGAGGATCAGAAGTCGGTTAGAATACATCTATGCTTAATGTTATGAATTACTTGTCTATGATATTGTCTGATGTCGGCATAGATTATATTAACAAGGTGTTAGGTAATGTTGTCAAGTGCTCATTGAACAGCTGCTTTTTTTATAATTGTTCTGAACAGATTTTTTTTATAATAGCTTTCATATTAACAGGAGTCTTCAAATCTCAACGTTGAAGACACTCCACGATATTCCAGCTCATCGTTAATAAAAACTATCTTTCAAAAAAAAAAAAACAGTGTTAGGTAATGGACCAATTATATGGTGAAATCTGATTTTCTATTGATTCCTTTTTAGGAAGTAAAATGACTCTCCCCTTTCATGTTATGCAGGCGTATGTTGCACGTGATTTGTTTCAGCAAGTACCAGAATTCTACAAGTAAGCAAGGCGACGGATATATGACGAAAACAGTTCAACAAAACTGTCAGAGTAAGACAAAACATATTATTTAGTTAGATACAAAGAACAACACGACAAGTAGACCAAGAGTACAATAACAACAATGTCTGCTTAAAAACTATCAATGCCCTCCCACGAAGAAATTGACCCTTTTTTGTATATCTTTTGAAAAGAATATGAGAAATTCTTGGATATTTTGATGGAATCTTCTTTTTTTTTTTCTTTTTTTCAATTCTAATTTAGTCTGATCAATTCATTTTATCAAATAATCTTAATGATTCTAAAGTTAATACTCATAATATATTTCGTCTTTTAAAAAAAAACTATTTATTACATAAAAAACTAATATCGGTTTATTTATTGATACGATGATTTATGATAACTCAACTGTTAAATTACTGTTTTTTTACTAACAATTTCACTTTGTGTACTTGTTTTGATGGATTCCTATATTTTTTTTGTTCATTCTAGTTTAACTTGGTCAATTCAATTTGAAGAGAGAACCACTTCAACTTTTGTTTGCTCATCGGATAATCGTAATAATTCTAGAGTTAATATGTTCAACAAACATCGATTTCTAGAAGAGATATATTTATTAAATAAAGAGTCAATGAGTGCTTTGTCCATTATCTTGATGATTCATGATAACTAATGCAAATACAGATGGAATTATAAGCTATAACTACTATTGCAGAAGTAGCCAAACAAAACCAACAACGATTTCATTTATTTTGATGAACTGCAATTACAAGAGGGGAACAACCCTTTTAGCTAGCTCATTTGCTACTACTACCATACAAGCATAATCAGAGACAAACCTCAGTTGAAATTAAAAAAAAAAACACACACTGAGAGATCTGTACACAGAACCATGTGTTGTGTACTGCAGCCTGTCTTCATCAAGCTTCAATGGTAACCGAATCTGAAGCAGGTATTCAGATATATATATATATATAGTATCCATCTCAACTTTGAAGGCATGACAACTTCTTCGCGGTGGAGTAGTAACTGAGAATCTGTCAGCTTTCCGGCAGGCCAGACCATAGTGAGAGAATAACAAATGCATGAGATCTGTTGAAGTTCCAGACATATGTTCATCATATCGATAAGGGGGAGGGACCCCCAGACGGGGAAGCCTGCATTCGTAGATTTTAATCTTTAGTTTCATAATATTTGAGACCATGTTTATACAATCACAAGCTCTTTGAACTGCACTTACTTATCAAGCTCTGACGATTGTCTCGGTTGGTGTTTGGATTCCCGAGTTTGTTAAGTTTACTTGGTCTGAGGTGAAAAAGGGTAAGAAAAAAAAACAAGTTAGCAGAAGAAATAGAGAAGATGAACAAGTTTTGATCAGTGTATGACTATTCTAATCCTTACTTAGAGGTGTTTTGAGTACAAAAAAGCAAAAGCCGATGACGATGTAGAGCAGTAGGAGAACCAGTCCTTTCATGTAGTGAGAAGTGCCATCCTGCAAAACGAGTAGTAACAGAAGATTTTAGCTCAACTGAATCGTTAACATAAGAAAGAAAAATGGCGTTTGCATGATTGAAGATGGTGTTTAATTACTTGTAAAGTGAAGGCAACGGCAATGATTGATAGAGCGAGAGAGCCAGTTTCGAGGAGATTGAAGTTAAGATCCATCTTAATGCCCATGGTCCAAGCGACAATTACGCAGAGTGGAACCTGAGTCGCATTGAAAATGTTGGTAATTTTTAGACTGCTCTGATCTGAGTTAAAAGCCTATGAAAGATTCATTTATTTTATTAAGTTCGTACCACAAACATGGAAATCTGGGTTGCAGATCCTAATGCAACACCCAAAGAAATATCCTGCATTTTCAGTTCCGAAATTTCATCAGAGATTCTGTCAAACATATTGTTTTATGGCCGAAACTAAAGGGAAAGGAATCAAGGCTGTTACTCACCAGCTTGTTTTTAAAAGCAAAAATGATAGCTCCTGCATGTTCTGCTGCATTTCCGACAATGGGAAGCAGAATAATGCTGATGAAGCTAACAGAAATTCCCCAAGAATCCGAGGCATCCTGAGATTTAGTGCTTGGATAGTTTAGTTGATTATACTTTAAAGAAGATCATGACCAGGCTTTGATAAATGATATGATCAGCCAAAGGGAATTTAAGAAAGAACAAGGTTGGAGCCCTCAATGGAAATGATGTAAATTACCTCAATTGTTTCTACAACATACTCAGACAGCAATGAGATGACACCAGTCATTACAACTAGCCAGATAAATCCACTCCAAAATCCAATCACCGGTGCTTCTTCTGATATTCCATTTTCGTCATCGTCTGATTCCTGAACAATTGCACCACACAGTATCAGTTTCATGCTCTCTTGTTCATCGGTAGAAACAGGCTTTTAGAAGCGTAATGTGGTTTCAGTTGTTCTTGTTAAGATCATTAAAATGGACTACCTCTTGAGCTTCAAACAATTGCCGGTGTGTGAATAGTTGGAAGATCAGGTACGAAAGATATGCAATCAACATTACAATGCTGCTTGCTCTCGACAAATGCAGTGTTGAGTCGGCTGTACTGACAGCATTGGATGCCCCAGCCATTCGAAACAACAATGGCAGCGAGTGGCACAATAATGCAAGCAGCAGCAGGAGAGAGTTCACATCGGCTTGTCTCTGTCAAACTCAACAGTGTTAGAACCATAAACAACTCCCACTATGTAATAAAATATTGAAGCGTGTAATGTTTTGACAAGTAACTTACTCTATCGTATTTTTGTTCCTTTCTCAGATTGGCAATACCACCACAGAAGAGAGAGGTCCCAAGAACCAAAAGCAGGTTTGACAAGACAGAACCCAGCAGGGAATACTTGACCACATCTATTTTATATTGGCTTAGTGCTAAAACTGCTATGATCAGCTCAGTAGCATTGCCACAGGTTGCATTCAACAGCCCTCCCACTGCAAGATTAAAACATAATCCAGACAACAATTCATTAATTCCATGATTGAACAGCTCTTTCATATTCTTCAAACAAGAAGTTAAACGGCAATGTTATTTTAAAAAACGACTCAGCCAAAGTTCAATACAACAATTAAGGTCAAATGATTATAATAATATTGATGATGATTACACAAAACCTAATCCCTTCCTTTCGTGATCATTTCAAGATTGGGAAAAGCCAATCTTGCCTTCCCAAAAAAAAGGGTTGATCACCATCAAGTAAAGGAAACAAATTAGGCAGAAAAAAGTTGTACTTGTCAAGAATTAGAAATGGTCATTATCTGACAAGGATATAGCACCAAGCACTCACAAGAGGATAAGAAACCAGAATTGATTTCTGCGTTCTTTTTTGGTTTCTTTCACAACACTTGGAATCCCATGGTAGGTTTAGACTGACAAGCATCGAATGTACCAGAAATAAAATAGCAAAGTTGGCAATCATAGAGGAAAAGAAGCTGATAGGACCGATGTTTTATTACCCAACCTTGAAAACTTCAGTAAAATGTAAGCGTAAATGAGAGGGAAAGTTACCTGTTGGACCAGTGTAATAAGCAATTTGCCTGCAAGTACACAGAAACGAAAGAAACAGGAATTATATGTCATATGAGGAATTGGTAAAACTAATTATATAATTACATAAAATAATAGAAAATGCCTTACTCGGTGAGGAAGCTGACACGTTCAGCCAATGGTGTAAGTCCAAGTAAACTTAATGCAAAGACCCATGGCTGTGTTTACAGGAAAAATCATAAGTTAGTTCTACGGTTGAGGAAAAGCAATGAATATTGTTTCAGTGGAAATTAAATTAGATGTTGAAGGCTAGCATTATCTGCAAAACAGGCAGGCTTAGACTTTGCAAAGAGAAAACGATAGTGAATGATGCAAGGTGATGAATACCCTTTGATGCTGTCAAAAACATGTTGATCGATATCATTGATTAATTGAGATTAAGGTTGGGGTAGTTGAAATTTTACAGTCAACCTTTGCTCTATCTCAAAGTTTGAGCATCATTTTGATTCAGAGTCAAATTGAGTCGAATTCCGTTTAAGATTCAATCTTTTATCGGCCTTCACCCCCGTCAGCAACCACTGTTTTATTCAAGAACCCTGAAAGCAGCATTCACAAAGCAAGAAAAGTAATTAGAAACTCACTCTTCCGAACCCGTAGCTCTCAGCAACGACCGCCAGAGGGATAGCGGGGAAGAGAACTGAGAGTTTGGTCCCTAGAATGACCTCCTGAAGGTTGGTCAGGAACTGCCTGAGCATTCCACACCGAACCTTGGAAACCAGGGTCAGGTCAGACTTCTTCCGCAATGACGAAGACGACAGGTTGTGTGCAGTCCTACCATGGCGAATCTCCTTGCTGGACCCTTTCAGGTTGCCATTCTCCAATAGCCATGGTTCTTGCAAGGAAGCCATCTTCTTCCCACACTCAAACCCGAAAATATTTTTCTTCCAGGGCGAGAGTCTTGCGCACAAAAGAATAGTGTAGACCCTGACAAAAACCAAATAAACTCTTTCAGATATTATCTCGATGAGTTCGAGAGTAAGATACATACAGTTATAAATAGAAGACTCATGTTTGTCTGCAGCAAGCATCAAATACTAAAGAAAGTGCAACTTCCAGGAAACTTCTTCTCTATATTAAAAGGAAAAAAAAATAATAATGAAAAAGGGGGGAATGTTTTATTTTCATGATTGGATTTTATGCTTCATAATAATTGTATATACATTTATCTTTGAATGGATCTTATATATTAAAGTCATTTATTCTTTTTAACTTAGAAGATGCTTAATTATTATGTGATTGAAAAACTATACTACTATTTGTTTTGGATGACGGGAAGGAAAAACACAACAAATGATTGTTAAAAGAGTTAAATAATTGGAATTGTCCAAAAATAACGGAATTGTTTTCATCGTATTGTATTCTATTATTGCTAATGGCTTCCTCCTTCAATTATTTGTTCTCTTCTTTATCCACATAACCAACTCTTTTTTTTTTTTATTCAAGTTTCTTTTGCCTAATTTCTTCCTTTGACTAAGAGTTGAGTACTTAGGTCATGAGCAGTTTCAATACATCAATGCTCTATATTATTATTTATTTTCTCAATCAAATTATGAAGGAAAGAAGTCTTGTTTAAGTGAAAGTAAATATAGAAATTTGGGTCTTCAAACCCCACATGAATTTTTGATAAAACCCTTTTCTTGTCATATATATTACAAACAAAAATTGCACTTCCATGCATTAATGGATGAAAGCAACTCCATCTTTAAGCTTTAAGGTCACATTAAATTTTGATTTTATTTGCAAAGAAAAAAAAAGAAAAAAAAAACCCGAGTCTCGAAATAAACCTAATATCGTGTAAATTAATGTTTCGGATTTTCCAGAACCAGAAAAAATATGATATCTAAGTACCACCCAAAGATTTTTCTGTGGCTATGTAGTTGTCCTTTACTATATACCAAATCGTACCTTGGTGTCAACATGTTGCTTTCTGGAAGATATATGTAAACATCAACTTGAGTTGCTCCTTGCTATGGGTTTTACGTCTTTCCATAACCTTTGAATGTCGTTTTTTCTGTTTTGTTTAGGGTTGATCATGTGAGTGACGTTGGAAAGCTTTTATTGCATGGATTTCGAAGAAAAGGAAGCAAAGTTTTAAACCATCACTGGACATACAGTCTTCCGTACTGATACGGTTATAAGAACTTTCCTTGTAACTTCGTTTGAAACTAAATATTCGAAACAAAATTTATGTTACGGGTTTATTAAGAGCTTTGTTGTATTAGTCATCATTCGTATCAAAAGAAAAAGATTACTTCTATTACTTTGTTTACCTAGCATTGATCTTCCAGGAGTAAATTTCGAAGAATTCCAACTCCTAATTCAGGCTAAATTTTCATCAAAGATGACTAAGAATTCTAAAACAAGCGTTTGCACCAACATAAAATAGTCAGGCTTTGAATTCCAGTGGTAGAGAGTAAAAGGCGAATGTGCACTTTACAAGTGTCAATCTCTAGACATAGATAACACCAAAATCCCTTGTAACTAGAGGCAACATCTACTTTTACATTGAGCATAAAGTCAAAGTAGGGAAGGTGGAGAGAAGTTTCCATGTTACAAAGTGTCAAGAACTAAAGCCTTTCCAGGGCTATAAATTTCATCCATGGAGGTTTTTTTACTCAAATCTTTATGCTTGGAAAATGTTTTACTCTGAGGAATGCTCTGGAAAGGAATGCTATGGATGACAATAGAAAGATATTTTGGTAGCTTCAGCGAAGGTAGAAGGCAGTCCACTGCAATTATTTGGTTTTGATTATGGTAGGCGGGGTAGGTATGGTATTAATATTTTTTTATATTTTGCATGGATTTTATTATATTATTATCATTTTTTTTTTAAGGAGAGAGAACAAAAAAAATTAGTTACAGACAGCAACTTAAGAGTTTCAACTGTCTGGTTCAGATTTGGCTGAACTACTCAACCCTTCATTTGCAGGAAGGGTTTAACTTTGCAGATTTGGTTTTGGGAAATCGTGTGACCATCGAAGCAACCAGCAAGTAGCTTCCCATGTGGAACATTAGTTATCTCTATCCCTTTCTTCATTTCATTTCCTTTCGGTTTCTGCTTTTTGATGGGATCTTTTATCTTTCCTTCAGAAGTTACTTCAATTGAAATTCTTATAGAAAAATAAGGATCCCGTCAAAAAGCAGAAGCGGAAGGAAATGAAATGAAGAAAGGGATAGAGATAGCTAGTTAGCTCTTCAAGGTCAGCAATGTTCCACATGGGAACCTACCTGCTGGTTGCTTCAATGGTTGGAGGATTGTTCAGTTTCATATCTTTCAATTAGTCTACACCTCAGAAATGGGAAAAGAAAACCCATATTTGCAAAGCAATGTCTTCTTCATTAGTCGCATTTAATCATTCACTTTTGAAATCAATATTCATTATCAATTTGATCTGCTGAATTTTCTGAAAACATTAGTTGCAGGCCTAATGTTCAAGTATGGGTGGAGCCATTGGGGGGCCAGGATATCAGGAAGGAAAAGCATGAAATGTTGTTGTCTTCATCAATAGCTGCCAATGCTGGATTGCACATGCGGCTGGTCCATGTCCATTGCCATAATAGCTTCCTGATAAAACACCCCTTGGTTACTATACTCTAATCCTTGTTTTAGAGTTATTTCCCAACCCAAAGATCTGCCCCACAGGCATGTGCATAGATCCCTGGACAGCTTCCAGGAAGTTTCCTCCATCAACATCTGAAAATGTAGCTTGTTTCATGCAAATTATGGGGGCATGGATCAGCACTCAAGCCCCATAATAATTTACAAAAAGACACAAGCTCTTCCTAGATTTTCCTACTCTCTAAGATGTCAATGTCATAAATTAATTTCATTTTTTTTATTCCTTTTCAAGAAAGCGGAATTATACTTGCACACCCAAATCAATGATGTTGGTTTTCTTGAGACTAACATTTGAAATTACTAGAATATGATCCGTGCTTTGCACACGGGTCTCCTTGTACCTCTTTTTGTTTGGACATTTTTTTCTAAAATAGAGAATAGAATTATCAGAGAAGTTGTGATATTTCTTTATTTTTTTTCTAAATTGAACTTTAGTTGTTGTTGTGTTCAATAAAAGTTTTACCTTTTATTCAGAGATTGAGTCCAACTCTATTTGCTTTTGTTCTTTTTAAAAAAAAAACTCAAAAAAAAAAAAAACAAAGTCTAACCTTTTTATGGATTTTTGTTGTAAATTCATCTTCTTCTTTTGTTTTTTATTTAGATTTGTTATCAGCTCTTTTTTAACATTGTTTCAAGTATACTATTTGTTATCAGCCTTAAAATCCCCTCTTTAAAGCCTTACACGTGACAAAATGAGGATGCCCCAAAGGGTTTCCTTTCAATAATGTTATAGATATTCAGCAGAGAAGGTATACATATACATCAATGATAGGGGAAGGGTAATGGCAAATGCAGTTTCCAGGAACTTTCCTCTATATCTGTTGATAAGAGCCAGACAAAAACCAGTGCTTGTAGATATGTCTGACCATCTTATTTTTGGTTAGAATTTACATGGCTTGTCGATTTTTGAACTTAATAATATAAAGTTGGAGAGCTTTCTATAAATTCGAGTTTATATGGTGTGGTCAAGTTAGGTTAGAATTAGATATTCAACCAATTAAGTTAGCCACAAGTTAATGTGTCTTGCTGTTTGATGCTTTGAAGTTTTAACTAAGCATGCCAAGATTACATGTTCCCAAATGAAAACTGAGGAGGAGTTCATTTTCAAACTTTTGGATTGCAAATGAAGTGACAGGAAACAGAAGCAGAAATGCCATTGAAATGAAAATGGAAGACTTCTACAGTGTTCCAGTAAATGATGGCAAAAGCAAGTGGTGGCACATTTTGATGGAAGCTCTCCTCAGAAAAGGATAAAAGAAAGCTCAAAAATACCTCTTATTTTTTTGGAATATGCTAGAACAAAGTTACAAATATTCTGCAATTAGTCTTTTCCATTTTTCATGAGATGAAACTGTAGCAATCTTTTCAATTTTTGGGTACATGATGATCAGAGGATTTGTCTTTGTTGTCACATAAAACAATGCAAACTTGATGGGAGAACCACCTTAGGGCTTTATTCAGTTTATTTTTATCTGGGATATACTAGAAATTTTGAGCTGATCTTACCCTTATCTCCCTGTTTTTTTTTCCCTCCTGCATCTGAATTAACTGTAGTTATTGAGTGATGCCAGCAAAAAAATAAGTAAATCAAATATAAGGGGTGTAATCATTTATCAAGAAGAATGCCATGGGTGAAAGTAGCTTCATAGAATTTGTATTTAATCCATTTAGATGGGTTTTTTTTCTAAGAAATGTTACAAGCTTTCAAGAGCTGACAGAAAAGTAATTCATCAATTGCATCATTGAGGCAAAATTAGTACCATCTCAAGAGAAGCATCACATCTTGCATTCCAAACTTTTAAAACAACCATTCTAGGTTGCCTACTTTGATTAATATGACCATGGTCCTGAATCCTGATATAGACTGCAAAAAACAAACTGCCATTCATAATTGCATACCAGCTTCAATCATCCACTCTCTTGGGGGATAGTGACAATATTTTCTCTTGGTTTGATGCAATACACACGGGATCCAATGTGCTCCACCTCGAGACCAGCATTCTCACAACCGGAGAAGAAGAGTGATTCATCCTCCTTCCCAATTCTGCGTCTCCAGCTCATTAGAAATGCTGGTGCAGGCAACCCCATACGCATTCCTGGCAGCAAGCAGTAGAGACAAATCAGCCACATATGACCAATGCCAGAGTCTATCCTTTGTGGACAGGTAGTTTCAACATTTTTCCAAAATAATAAATAATAATATTCGCTCGCATGTTACCACTATTCTGGTCATTTCCCACAGCACAAACAGCTTTGTCATCCTTAGGCTTGTAAGATTTTAGGAGATAACAGAGAGACTTTATCAAGTTAGGGTATTGTTTGACATCTGCAAGAGCCCAAGATACGGATATAGCATGCTTAAGCATTCCTTGGTAAGAAAAAGGAGATTTAATCACAGAACATCAAATCCACTCTGTAATCCCATACAATAAATCAGTTTACTGAGCATCAAAGCATTTGGTAAGACTCGCAAGGAAGCAAAATTAAAACCGAAACAGAAAATTGCTCTAAACCATTCCAAAGATGATAATAGCATCTTCAGCTTTCATAACCATATAAGTGTAATCAGTGGATTTACAAAGATAATAGAAATTAAAAAATCAGCACCACAAGAAGCTTGTTCCTTCTTGAATTTCGATTTATCACTCTTCAGGGTCCACATCATTCAACGACGGTGGCACTCATAATTCTACTCTAGAGTGCTAAGGTTTTTCTGTGTTTATGTTGAATGCAAATTTTGATGTACAATGAAAGGAACAGAAAATTCAAACCATTAATTCATTTGTGTATCTGCCTTTCTTCAAGCATATAACGTAAATTGCAGAAGCTATATTAACAAGAAGCTCACACAACAGGATATCACTTGCTATGACCAGGTCCCAGTCTGGGTCAGCAGTTGGAAAGGGGTCTCCCCAAGAATCTGAAAAGAATGGACATTTTAATTTAACGAAAACAATACTTAAAATAATAATAATAATAATAATAATGAGAAGAAGAAGAAGAAGAAGAAGAACAAATAAGAATGCATAGCTATCTGCCATTTCACAGTTAAGCCAAACACCCAGAATCAAAGATAATTTACTTTTAAACATCTAATAACATGTAAAAAATATGACAAATAGCACGTGCCATTCAGACAATATTAATCAAAAAAAGGAAAAACCATATAAATGGTACGAAGTTATGGAAGATTCCATCCACCAGATATCCCGTGCAAAAGTATTCAGGATAATCATCTGATATTTCAAATTCATTTTATTGTAAAATGATTAAATGAACTTTTCAACCCAACAAACAGCAAAGGAAATAGCAGTCTAATCAAAATAGTCCATGAAATTATTGCTTCATATTTCTTTGCACTAGAATTTGACCATATGAATGCTAGATTACTGATGACCACAAAGAGTAAAGAGAACTCACGCTTTATATGAGGAAGGACAGGTGTAATTCCATTTGCCAGGCAGTTATGAGCTATGTTCTCTTCAATTTCCTGATCATCATAGTCTGATGTTGTTATGTCAAGATTAAATGATTTTCGGAGAAAAATAGCCAAAGCTCCAGTCCCACTGCCGATGGTTAAAGAATCAAGATCATCAAGAAAAATATTGAAAAAAAAAATTCAAATGCAAAACTATATCAAGAAATTCTTAGAACTCAACTGGAAGCAGTAGAAAAAGAATAATGTACTTAGAAGTTCAAACCAAAGGTAACTTGTTTTCATAATTCTAAAAGGTGAACAAATCTGCAGCTAAGGCGACACCTCAAAGCTTTAAGTATTTAGAAACCATGTCTCTGCAGTGTAATGTATAGACACATTTAACCACTGATATTTGGCTCTGCTCAATATTTAACTAGTGCTGATTATAAACAGCCCTCCCAAGAACAACAATACTGAATATAAAATAAATGAATGCAGACTAGATAGATGCACTACAATAGAGAACAAACAACTAAGACAAGGGTTCACTCTCATAGATCATACAATTTTTTTTACCCTGCAGCTGAAGGTAATACCTGCCCAGTTCAAGGCAACGCCGACCATCTATCCATGATTGATGTTGAACTAGCCATTCTGAAAATGCAAATGTACCTGGCCAGAGTAAGTTAGCATTCAACTGGTGAAAGGAAAATTCTCGAATAAGCAACTCCTGCACACAAGCCAAAATGCGTATAATGATATAAAGGTAATAATGGGTGAACCTCTGGTAAACTCTAAAAGCAAGTACTCAAAAACCAGAATAAGGTTTCACTAAACTACTGTGGTCAAATATGATTCCCACTAATTCTAAGAGCTACAGCTTTCTGATAAGGTATCAGAAGTCAACCGTGGCAGTGGTAAAGTTGCTTAAATCCCAATATAATATAAGAAATTCAAGATGATGTTACAGTTGAGCTCTATGATGCTCATTTAAATTTATGATCCAATTCACTCCCCAGTAAGTCAAGATTTGCATTTACTTCTTCCACTACTTATAATACTACATAGCATGTGGCAACCCTACATCTAAACCATCTCATGAGGGCCTTCTACAAAACAATAGATCTGTCTGCATTCGTATAATTTCAAATTTAATGAAAACTGATCAAAGAGAAAACTTTTTTTTTTTTGGATAATTGAGCTATTATTTAATTAAAAGAAGCAGAAGATTCAAGCTACAAGGGAACAACAAGTCTGCAGAGAAGTGACAATCCCATCTTTGCAAAACCATTTTCATACAAAATTTATCCAAGCACTGACATCGATGTGATCAAAGTATTCTCGAGAACCAGGTTGGCAGGTACTCGGTCAAAAACCAGTTCCATTATCTCTTCCCCCGCAGAAGCATTGTTGACAAAAAAGCATCTTAATACCACACAAAAGTTAGAAGTTTTCCATGCAATACTAATGCTAATCCACCTTTTTGCAATGAAAGCAAGGTTTTTTAAACAGCTGATGGGCATATCGAAATGGATGAAAACATGACTAACAATGCAAAATGATACTGGAGGTTACAAACACAGCTAAATATCCACTCGCTAAAGCAAAGTTATGAAAAGGGTTATGAATATATTCTAAAAGAAGAGACTTACCATGCCAGGAAACTGGTGCTTCCTCTCCACATAGCTCTGATGGATCCCTGTATTTTCCTCATCTGCAAAGAGAAAAAGGTTGAAGAGCTTATTCGAAAAAAAAACCATCAAAACAAACTGAAAATAGAAGTAAATATAGCAGAGAAAGAATACCAACAGAGACTTCTTCGTCGTCGCCGTCGTCGGCGAAGAGTGAAGATGGAGAGAAGAGAGCTATGTCCATTCTCTTCGTTCGTTTTCCTTCTAACCTCAACACTGCAATTAGAAAGTTCCTCTGCTAATCGAAGGCCGAAGCTCGCTTGTTTTTTCTTCTTCTTCGTTCGGCTGAGGCCCGAGATATCTCAGATGGCCTTTTTTGTCCAACAATGTTACATACGGGCTAAAGTGGGGTAAATATGGGCCTTACCAGGCCCACATGCTTGTGCACCTGCCCGAAAGAGAACAGTTTGGGGCGGGCGTATTTGGGCCAATAGGGTGAGCAATGTAACCCAAAAGATCACTTGCTTGAGCGGACTTGGTTGGTCCAATAAGGTGAGTTACCAAATATACCACGGATGTTTATAAAAATTAATAATTTGGTCCGTTAAAAATTAACAATTATTTAATCATGGTGAAAAACATTTGAAGCATGATAACAAAAAAAAAAAAAAGATGATGAAAAAATAATTAATCAAATTCAATAGTCATTGTTAATTCAAGTAGTATATATTAAGTGCCTCACTCCACATTACTCTATATATTGGTCTCTTCTATTAAATTGTGATTAACCACATTGAAGATATAAATTAATGGTGAAGAGTAAAGAGAAAATTTCACACACTATGTATAGAGGTTCGGCCCTCTCTCTAGGTGCCTACGTCCTCTCCCTTAGCGAGCTAAGGAGTTTAATCCACTATTAAATAAATTTAATACAATGTGCCTTTTCAAAGGTTCAAGCACAAACCTTGTCTTTTCAAGGATAAGACACAACCTTCTTAACTTTTCAAAGCTAAGTTAAAACCTCTATGCCTTTTCAAGAATATGGCACAACCTCTAAATCTTACCTTTTGAAGGCTAAGGTAGAACCCGTTTCTCTCTTTTACAAGATAAAAGAAAGGGTACCTCTACAAAGAGGGCTTTGGTAAGCAAGTACAATGTAGATACAAAGATACATACAAGGAATGAGAATGAAAGCACAAAGAATTTGAATAACAT